CATCATCATCATATCGTCGGGAGCGGGCTCTGGGACGCAACCCCCGCATAGCAGCATGTATGTAAAGCGAGCTAAATCGGGTCAATGAATTCATCATCATCATCATCATCATTCTCTGGGGCTTCTAGGGCGCTTTTGATTGAAAAAATGAAGAATTTTCTGGAACAAAATTCCCCAGGTGACCGTATACAAAACAAGACCGGACCAGCCAAGATTCTTGGAGTCTTCACTGGCCAGGGTGCCCAGTGGTCTCGAATGGGAAGAGAAATTATCAAATCTTCGCCGCTGGCCCGGTGGACTGTGCAAAACATGCAGCGGTCTCTTGATTCCCTTCCTGATCGACCTTCTTGGTCAATCGAAGATCTGCTTGTCAACATGGAAGACCCATCGCAGATTCAAGAGGCTGCGTTATCTCAGCCACTGTGTACCGCTATCCAGATCATGCTTGTAGAGCTATTGCGCGCTGCTGGAATCTATTTTCACTCAGTCGTGGGTCACTCTTCTGGTGAAATTGGTGCTGCTTACGCTGCCAGGCTACTTTCCGCAGAGGATGCTATTCGCATAGCCTACTACAGAGGGCTTTTTGCTAAATTGGCAGGCAGTGCAACCGGTGGATCCGGTAGTATGATGGCAGCTGCTTTGTCATTGGATGACGCCAATATTTTCATATCAGCAAATGGACTTGAGGGGCGAGTTTCCATTGCGGCTAGCAATGCTCCTCAATCGGTGACGCTTTCTGGCGATGAAGATGCCATTGCGAAGGCTAAAGTCATGCTGGACGAGCAGCAGATTTTCTGTCGCTTGCTCAAAGTTGACACTGCCTACCATTCCCACCACATGATTCCTTGTCTTGAATCCTACTGTGAAGCACTTCGTGCTTGTAATATTTCTCCTATGGAATCCACAGACGGATGTTTCTGGGTCTCCAGTGTTCATGGGCGTCTAATGACAGTCGCCAAAGAACACCAATCCTTGAAGGAGACATACTGGCGGGATAATATGGCACAAACTGTCCTTTTTTCACAGGCCGTGCAAGCATCCCATTCAATTAATGGTCCCTTCGATATCGGACTGGAGGTCGGACCTCACCCAGCTTTGAAGGGACCCACCACCCAGACAATCAAGGCAGAGAGTAACCATGCTCTCCCTTATAGTGGGACTCTCTCGCGCTTCAGAAATGATGTCGACGCTATGGCCGATTTATTGGGATTTATTTGGAAAGAACTAGGTACCCAAGCAGTCGATTTCATTCAATATAGTCAAAAAGCATTCGAAATATCTACAGGCAAGCTGCCACGGCAGTCACTTCCCCGTTACTCTTGGGATCACAGCCAGAGATTCTGGAAAGAGTCAGTCAAATCACGAAATTATCGCCTACGGTCGCTAAATCGCCATGATATCCTCGGTGCTCGCTGCCCAGATGACCATGCTTATGATATGCGTTGGCGAAACACCATTCGCGTCTCTGAAGTGCCTTGGCTATCTGGACACAAGGTGCAAGGACAGATCATTTTCCCGGCCGCTGGCTATTTTGTCATGGCTATGGAGGCGGCAAAGGAATTGTCGGACAACAAGCAAATCGCGATGGTCGAGCTCCAAAACGTTGAGATATCCAAAGCCATTATCCTGTCCGAGGATAGCGCCGTGGATGTGATGTTCCATCTCAAACCCTTCCTGGGCGCCTCTCCTAGGATGGCAGAATTCTCCTGCTACTCGGCAACGTCTGATGAGAATGGCGCAAAATGGCACCACAATGTGTCCGGGCATGTCACAGTTCATCTCTCCCATGAGGGACTGTTTGAACTTCCCCGGAAACAAAAGTCCCCCGCCTCTCTTGTTCCGGTCAACATAGAGTATTTCTACTCGTCCCTTGCTAATATAGGGTTAGAATACACCGGAATGTTTCAGCGTCTGAATCAGATCCAGCGACGCTCTGGTCGCGCAATTGGGTATGCTCAAGACATCCCCGATGATAGTAAAATGCCAGTGATGATTCATCCCGCTCTGCTCGATGCTTCATTCCAGACCATTTTTGCTGCTTTTTGCTGGCCTGGAGACGGTACTCTGCAAAGCCCATACGTCCCGACTTTCTTGCAATCCCTCCGGGTGATTCCTACACCGATCGGCTCTTGCGCAGAAAATATGGTGGTTGACTGCACTATCACTGATTCCAAGCCCCAGGTAGTCACAGCTGATTTGGAAATATTCTCATACAGTCAGCCTCGTGTTCAGTTGGAAGGTTTGACTTGTACCCTCCTTGGGCAACCTGTTTCTTTAAATGACTGTGAACTTTTTGCAAAAACCCTCTGGAAGGCTGATGTGGATTATGGTCTTGAAGCTCTAGAGCTACCCACGGATAGCACGAGTGATGTTGAGCTGGTTGATCTTTGCGAGCGGCTATCATATTCCTACCTTCGAGAACTCAACTCCGTGGTCAATCGTGAAGACGTAAAGAAATTCGTCTGGCATCACCAGCGGATCTTTGAATTCATAGATGACCTTTTTCCACTGATCGAGAGTGGTAAACACCCCACAATCCGCAAAGAATGGGCCAACGATTCGCATGATTGGCTCTTGTCTGAGGTTGAGAAGCACCCTGGCCAAGTTGATCTCCAGCTCATCTCGGCTGTTGGTAACAATCTTGCTGCTGTAGTCTACGGCAAAACCACCATGCTAGAGCATATGATCGAAAATGATGTCCTTGATCGGTTTTACAAATACGGCCTCGGCTTCCAAAGAGCAAACGGTGCACTCAGTCATCTTGCCAGCCAGATTTCACATCGTTATCCAAGAATGAACGTTCTCGAGGTAGGTGCTGGTACTGGTGGTGCTACAACCGGAGTTCTTGAACAGCTATCGGGGACCTTTGCAAACTACACTTTCACCGACACTTCCACTGGTTTCTTTGAGAAAGCTCAAAAGCAGTTCTTAAGTTGGGCTTCGAAGATGACTTACAAGGCGCTCAATATCGAAGGGGATGTTGCTGCACAAGGTTTCAAAGATGGCAGCTTTGACCTTGTTATTGCGTCCAACGTACTGCATGCTACCCAGAATCTGGAGTTCACGATGCAGAATGTGCGACGACTTCTAAAGCCTGGTGGCTATTTGCTGCTCTTGGAAGTGACAAGCGATATCTTGCGAGTAAAGTTGATGATGTCTGGCCTTCAAGGCTGGTGGCTAGGGGACTCGGACGGTCGTCGTTTTGCCCCTACCATTTCTGATGCGCAGTGGGATAATCTGCTGATCAAGACTGGATTCTCTGGAATTCAGCATCGAATAACGGATTTCGAAGATACCAGCAAGCACATGACCTCGGTGATTTTGTCCCAAGCTATCAGCGAAGCCTTTGCCCAACTGAAGAATCCACTGGAACAAACAACCCCCTGCCTCCCTGTTAACCGGATCGCGGTCATTGGAGGTCAATCCCCAGCAACGAAAGCTCTCGCTGATGATGTTGTGTCACTTCTCTCCCAATGGAGTACTGTGTCGCCCCTACAATTGAATGCCTTTGAAGAGACACTCCGACATCCCAACGCTGGCATCACGTCTATTATATCCCTAGCGGACTTAGATGAGCCACTCCTCAAGAAAATCTCCCAGGAAAGACTGAGTGGAATTCAGAGTGCCATTGAAGGATGTCGTCAAATTGTCTGGGTGACCTCTGGTGCACACAATCAGAATCCGCACGCCAACATGACGATTGGACTCGGTCGATCTCTGATCTACGAGTACCCTCACATCCGGATGCAGTTTATGGATATTGCGCACGATACCCATAACAAATCCGTGCATGTGGCCACCGCACTTGCACGTCTTCTTGTCGAAGACAAATGTGGCCTCCCTTCTTCGGAGATGCTGTGGAGTGTGGAGCCAGAAGTCATTTTGGAGAATGGCAAGACCATGATTCCTCGATTAATTCCAAACGATCAGATGAACAGTCGCCTCAATGCAGGTACTAGGCAAATTACAAAATCAACCTCCTCCACAAATTCCTCAATTCTAATCTCTCGTGGGGATCACGGATTTTCTCTTCATGCGAGAGAGAAGCCAACTTTCTCGACATCAGACGCCATCTCGATCCGCGTAATATGTGCCCTGCTGCACGAGATCCAGATTACTAGTACAACAAGAACAAACATCGTCAGTGGTATCATTGAGCATCCAGGTTCCAGTAAGGCCTTTACTGCAGGTGACAGTGTCCTTGCATTGGCAGGGTACAGTGCTTCATATATCCAAGTACCTCCTGAGCAGGTCATCCCGATCGATAACCTAAATCCGGGAAGACTGTTGCAAGTTGCTATTGCTCTTGTTGCAAGAAGTGCTTTGAGTGCGGTCAAGCCGCGTGGAACTGTTCTTTTGCTTGACCCCGATATCAGTCTGCAGCACGCCATTGAGGCTGAGGCTGCTGAAACCGATATAGCTGTGATAGTGGCCACCTCGGACTACCAAAATCCATATGCTATCCACATCTCGCAATTTCTGACCCAGAGACAACTCAAAGCACTCTTTCCGCCGAGTATTGATCTAGTTGTTGACAGTTCTTCTCAAAAGAACCAGTCATTGAGAAATTTTCTTGCCCATTGTCGCACAGTCACAATGGCAGAACTATTTTCTTTGCAGCCCGCTGTGAAGCCAAATGCCCTCTTCGGAAACACGGTTTGCCACAGGAACTTGTTAAAGGCACGAAATATGATCGTCAGTAACTTCCCTGGTATCGCGGATCGCGCTCATCTCATTCCATTGAATCATTTGATGAAGTTGTCGCCTAACACTGCCAGCTGGCTGTCAGTCATTGACTTTGCGTCTGCATCGGTTATTCAAACAATAGTTGAGCCAATCCAACCTCGAGATCTGTTCCATCCAAATTGTTCCTATCTTCTTGTTGGCTGTACCGGCGGACTTGGGCAATCCCTCACTCGCTGGATGGTCAAGAATGGCGCTCGGTACATTGTTCTAACCAGCCGCCAAGTAAGCAAGGTAGATCGCGCATGGTTAGATGAATTGAGACAAATGGGAGCCGAGATACAGCTCCATGAGCTCGATATATCCAATAAGCAGGCGCTCCTTACCATGCGTGCCAATCTGCAAAACTCATTCCCACCTATTGCTGGTGTTACAAATGCGGCCATGGTACTGTCTGATCGGTTGTTTAGTGACATGACCGTGGAACATCTGAACATGGTCTTGGAACCAAAAGTCACGGGCAGTGCCAATCTAGATGAAATATTCTCAACTCCAACCCTTGACTTCTTCGTTTTGTTCTCATCCCTGGCAAGCGTTGTTGGAAACCGTGGCCAGTCCAACTATGGTGCCGCCAACTTGTTCATGACTAGCCTAGCAGCTCAGCGTAAGCGCAAGGGCTTGGTTGGCTCCGTTTTGGACATAGGCATGGTTCTAGGTATTGGATACGTGTCACAAAACAGCATCTACGAGACAACCCTTCGAAGGTTCAACTACATGCCTATCTCTGAGCCCAAGTTCCACATCATGTTCGCCGAAGCTATCTCTGCTGGTCGGCCGGAGAGCAAAACACAGGCTGAGATCATAACTGGTCTCCATCGAATTGCCGAATCTGGCGATAGTGGTGAAAATGCATTCTGGGCAGGAAACCCCCGGTTCTCGCATTACACTATCCAAGAGGGCCTGGGCCAGGAGCAATTTTCGACCACGATTCTTCCCCTCCAAAAGCAATTGGCCGATGTGAAAGACCTGGAGCAAGCCTCGAAGATTGTTCTTGGAGGCTTCCTCTCTAAGCTCGAGCGTGTTCTACAGGTGCCCGCGGCCAAAATAAATCCTGCCCAACCACTGGTCAATCTTGGGGTCGATTCATTGATGGCTGTTGAGGTTCGATCCTGGTTTGTCAAAGAGATAAACACTGACATCCCGGTTCTTCGCATCTTAGGAGGTGCATCCTCGGCCGAGCTGTGCACGGAGGCAGCTCAGAAACATGTCACGACGAAGACGCCTTCGAATGATCGCCTAAATGAAAACTTCTCAACTGCGTCTTTAGCCAGCTTTAGTCAAGAGAATGATCATTCACAGGCTAATAGCTCTGCTACTTCCGAAACCGGATCAATCACCAAAGATTTCCCTGAGAAGGAAGAGGACCTGACGGCCAAGGACGTCAAAATCCAAAGACTCATTCATTCTGCTTCAACGATCCATCGCATGTCTTTTGCGCAGGAGCGATTGTGGTTCCTTCACTTGTTTTTGGAGGACCCATCGGCCTACAATGTCACGATGATGTATCACGTCCATGGTCCCAGCGCTGTGGCTATATGCAACGCAATGAACATCGTTCTGACTCGACATCAATCTTTACGCACTGCATTCTTCTCCGACCCCAAAACAGGTCTTCCTAGCCAGTACGTGCTTCCAAGTGCAAGCACGTCTGTGAAACAGCAATCGCTCAAGAATGAACGCGCTGCATACGAGGAGTTTAACCAGCTACGCCACTACACTTACGACCTTGATAATGGAGAAACAGCGGCTGCCACTCTACTTTCGGAAGCAGAGACCGATCACATACTGATCCTTGGTTTTCACCACATCGTGTTTGACGGCTTCAGTGCTCAAATCTTTGTCAAAGATTTTGCTTCTGTCATCGCAGGAAAACACCTACCTACTCTGGAGCATCAATACATAGAATTTGCCGACCGACAAAGGCATCTCGTGCAATCCACTATGGAGACAGATTTGAAATACTGGAAATCTCAATTTTTGGACTTACCAAATCCCTTGCCACTGTTTGAATTCTCTTTAGTGAAGTCGCGCAAGCCACTGACTACCTACGACATGCATGGTGCCCAGCACATAATCCCATCAAATACAGCCTCAGTGTTCAAGTCTAAGATCCGGGGGCTCAACGCTACTCCATTCTATGGCCATCTTGCAATCCTCCAAATTCTTCTCTATCGGTTCTTGAACGTCGACGATGTATGCATTGGAATTACTGATGCCAACCGCACCGACACCGAATTTCTTGACACAATCGGGTTTTTTGTTAATCTACTTCCGTTGCGTTTCGCTCTCGATGGCAACTTGTCCTTCGAGGATTTACTGGTTCGAACGCTCAAGGTCACATTTGAGGCGCTTGAACATTCCCGCGTGCCTTTTGACGTGCTGCTTGACTCTTTGAGTCTTCCCCGATCGACAACGCAGAGTCCATTGTTCCAAGTGCTGCTGAACTACAAGATGGGATCAACAAACAGCATCACAATGACTGGCTTTGAAGCTCATTTGGTGAAGTTTGAAGATGCCAGTAATCCATACGACTTGATCTTTGATATCGAAGAGCAACTGGATGGCACTACTCTAGTCGGTCTCAAGTCGCAGTCCTATCTTTATAGTCAGCGGGACCTTAGTATGATCCTGGGAGCTTACAACTGCGTACTCGAGTCTTGTCTCTCAAAGCCAGATCTTAACATCAGTCAACATGAGCTCTACCACCTGGAAGACGCTCTGGCGGCAGTCTCACTTGGGAAGGGACCTCGTTTAGATTTTGACGACTCAGTCACACTTTCTTCTCGCATTGATGATGTTGCAGCATTTCATGGAAAGGAAGTTGCTATCAAGGACAGCGAGGGCTCCTTTCTTAGCTACGAATCTATGAACAGGCGAGTCTACCATATTGCAGCAACCCTAGAGGCCGACGGCATAGGCTCTGGGGATTATGTTGCTGTATACTGCGAGCCATCCATCAACTCTGTCTGTTATCTCTTAGCAATCTGGCGACTGAATGCTGTTTACGTTCCACTCGACCCGCAAAATCCAATTGAGCGTTTGCAAACAATTTTGGATGATTGCAGACCGCTTGCAATCATTCATCACGAACGCACCAAGGACAACACCCAAAAGCTCAATCTGGGGGCGATTAAGCCAGTCAGCTTCTCAAGCTTCGACTCTTTCCTCTCTGTTGCTATCACAAACAGAGCCCAGCCAGTTTCTCCAGCATGTGTCTTGTATACAAGCGGTTCCACTGGAAAGCCCAAAGGCATTGTTCTAACCCATGCAAACCTCAACAATCAGATCATGTGTGTCAAGAGGACCTTGGGGCTTGGAAAAGAAGTTGTTCTTCAACAGAGCTCTCTTGGTTTCGACGTCTCCATCGACCAGATGATGCAGCCTTTGACTTCCTGTGGCACGCTCATCATTGCATCTCGCCATCTTCGAGGTGATCCCCTGAAACTCACGCGCCTAATTGTCGCCGAAAAGATTTCGTACACTTATGCTACACCTTCTGAGTATGCATCTTGGTTACGCTACGGATCTGGCAATCTCCATGAATTGACTTGCTGGAAGACTGCAATCGTTGGAGGCGAGGCTCTTCCCGCTCATTTGATCCGCCAATTCCAAGAGCTAAGTCTACCCGGTCAACGCTTGATCAACAGATACGGCCCGACAGAAATCACTGTTTCAAACTCTTGTATGTCATTCAATATTTCAGACCCTACCGTTGCCGATTCACCAGCCATCAGCATCGGGACCACACTCCCGAACTACTCGACCTACATTCTGGCCCCCGACGGATCCCCTGTACCTGCTGGTTTTGTGGGAGAGATTGTTGTGGGAGGTAGTGGTGTTGCTTTGGGCTACCTTGGGCGAGATGAGCTGACTTGTCAAAAATTCGTACCCGACCCGTTTGCCAGCAAAGAAGACAATGACCATGGGCGTACTACCATGTACCATACCGGAGATAAGGGTAGGCTGCTATCAAACGGTGAGATATTCTATCTCGGCCGCATGGATGGAGACAATCAGATAAAATTGCGAGGATTCCGCGTTGAGCTGGATGAGATTGCCAGCAACATCTTGTGCCAGGCAAATGGTCGCATCATTGACGCCGTTGTATCAGTTCGAGGGGAAAACGACGAGGACGGAGACCGGCGATATCTGGTTGCCTGGATTATACCCTCTCGATTGACCTGCGCCACAGATGATCTTGAAGAGTTTCTTTCCGCACTTCCTTCCCGTTTGCCTCTTCCATCTTACATGATCCCTCGGATCTGTGTCACCGTGGAGGATTTCCCTCGGACCCCCAACGGGAAGCTCGATAGGCGGGTCTTAGACCAGCTAGAACTTCCCAAGGCTGCGGATCACGGTAGTAGCCTCGAATTTACGGCGGAAGAGCAGGTCATGATCGAGATGTGGAAGACTTGTTTGGGTGAATCTGGTCTTCTGACTACCTGGAGTCGTTCGACGGACTTCTTCCAAGTCGGTGGCAACTCACTGTTGATGATCCGATTAAAGGCGCTCATCCAGGAGAAACTCGGATTTGACCTTCCTTTGACTTCACTTTTCCAATCGTCTACTATCGAAGGAATAGCTAAGCAGTGCCTTTCTAAGACATCCAAGTTGTCTAAACCGATTATTGACTGGCCTACCGAAACGAGGCCGGGAGAAGAAGAGCGCAGATCAGCTTGCTCGAAACCTTCCACGGTGATACTCAACACTGACGGCACGAAAGAATGCTTTGAAATCCTTCTAACGGGGGCAACTGGGTTCTTGGGTTCAGCCATCTTACAACGGTTGGAGACCTATGATTGTATCTCGCATATTCACTGTGTCGCGATCCGGCCATCGAAAAATGAAGCCACTCCTCGAGATCTTGAGGTGAAGTCGGCGAAAATCATCCAGTATGCAGGTGATTTGACCTTGCCCCGGCTTGGACTGGACCGCGATACATGGGAACTTCTTGGAAACACAGTTGATGCGATCATTCACAACGGTGCCGATGTCTCCTTTTTGAAATCCTATCATTCTCTCCGAGCGGCAAACTTGCAATCGACTCGTCAGCTGGCCTGCTTTGCACTCAAAAAATCCATTCCCCTTCACTTCGTCTCCACCGGCGGAGTTTCTCAGCTCGCACGAGTTGTGGAATTGCCACCACAATCCGTCTCCCATTTCACGCCACCACTCGACGGTTCCAACGGATATGTTGCCTCGAAATGGGCGGCTGAGACATACTTGGAAGCCTGCGCGTCCCAGTTTAACCTCCCGTCTACGATTCACCGACCATCCAACATCATTGGAGAGGGTGTGCCAGCCACGGACCTGATTCAGAGCATTCTGAAAATCTCAGTTGACCGTGGAGCCGTACCAACCACAGATGGCTGGGCGGGGGCTTTTGACTTTGTTCCGGTCGCAGATGTTGCTACGGGTATCTGCAATGCTATACTCAAAAGGGAAGATACCGTGTCTGATCGATTACAAATCTTGCACCACTGTGGAGATGTGAAAATCCCTGTTGGGGATCTGAAAACTTTCCTTGAACATCGGTTTGGAGTCGAACTCCGGATAGTTGATGTGGATACCTGGATGGAAGAAGCCCGTCAATCTGATCTACCAGAGGCCCTGGAGAGTTTGATCGGGGCTACTCTCAGGAGCGAGAACGGGCAAGTGGTGCCTTACTTGTCTCGATCATGACCTCTTGGGACCTTGCGTTTGACTATCTGTTTCTAAATCGTTCATCCATATTTGATGTTCTCAAAGTTATCGTCTTAATTTGAACTACAAGTGCACGCTTTCATTGTTTACGAAGGGGCAGAGCGGCCAAAAGTCACAGAGATCTATGGGTTCAACAATGTATCTACTACCAATAGATGTGGCATGAAAAATACTCTGAATTCTGTAGCTGAAAATTGATAAAATCCGCGCCTTTTAACAATCTGTACGGACAAGGCTGACTAAACGTTACTGTTGTACAACTATTATGGAATTAACCTGGTTGTGGTAAAGATGATCTTATTACTATGGAATCGTTGCGTAGGATCAGTACGCTGCTTAATAATACGTGTGTCATCATCCATCCTTCACAGGTTTCGTTTTGAAATGTGTAGTGTGATTAGGTCATCCCCCGGGGGGATAACCCTACCCACATGAGCATTGACCATGGTGACGGGAGATCTATGGTTTCAACACTGTTATGGAACTCCCAATACTACGTAAATGGGGCATGAAAATTACTCCGAGTTCTCCAACTAACTAGAATGACAAGATCCGCTCTTTCTCCAATCTGTGCGGACAAAGCTGACTAAGCATAACCCTCCAAGTTGTGTGGGCAACACCATCAATGGTGGTCCGTAGATTTCCCGGGTATTCTACCCTGTTTCTACCCATGGGTTGCACCATTGGTTTCGACACATGGGACTAATGCCAGATGCCGGCCCCCCTGGTGATGATTTCTAATGAAAACCGCATGGCGTATATGAGTTCTTGGCGGAGGCCTAAGGCATCGCACAAACGTGAGATGTCACAACCCCCCTGGTGTGCAGTCACCTCTACCCCTTCCCAATTGTTCGTTTTACCCTACATCGTTTATCAGGTAGCGTCATTCCCACCTTGGAATTCGATGCGTGGAGTGTAATCTTCCTACGACGCAGATATCTTGGATGAACGACGAAGCATCACCCTTTCTCTTGTCAGTCAAGGAAGAACATTCTTCTGCCTGATCGGTCCAATCGCTGCGAACGTAGAGCGCTCAAGTGGATAGTACAGTTGAGATCAGACCACGCAACAATCATTTGGCCTATGTGGGTCTGAAGGGTGTTCATTTGCTGACGATGCATACGGCAATGGTTCCCGGGTTGCAAAGAAGATGTGTACCGGGAATGAAGCCCGGGAGCATTTAGGTGTGGATTGCCTCGCGGTATAGCCCTCCCGATCTGATTGTAACGTTCAATCGGGGATAGATGACCTTTAAAAGCAACTGAAAACGCCGAGTTAGATCTAGTCCAACTATCACACGCTGATCTTGGAATTTTCCCGAATGAGATCTACAACATGGCTATCGGGTCACTATTCGAGTGTTGGAAATTTCTTTAGCCAACGGAAATAACTCATGCACCTGCTCCGATTGAATCATCAACACGATCTTGATGGAGCATTTGGGGGCGAATCCCGGTCCCTGCCCTTGTAGGGTCGCAGGATCAAAATTCCGAGTTGATGCACTCACTGGTCAGTGGTGAACTAAATTTCACCCCGATCTTTGTGCCGGTTAAATTTGCCCCCATAGCTATTCGGAACTCTTCCGCTTCCTTCCCCTGCGACGACAGCCCGAGAAATCCGCTGCGACATGCACGCCACTGGTAATAAACATGGTATTCTTTCAAATTCACGTAACTTTGGAACTTTTGATGACATGAGAAGCTCTGAACTACATACTAAGAATTGATGGCCAATGACTATTAGCATTGGGATCACTAGCAAGAGAAGCGAGTATGCGTATATACATTAGCGTAGTTCTCGGTCGGGCCGTCGTGGCAGGGTGGGAAAAAAGCCACTTTTCAATGCCTGTACAGCAGGTTCAGAATGGTTAGTTTGATAAGACGCACATCTTACCAAAATTTAAATCCGGGTCGCGTCTGTAGAGGACCTGGTGCACCAGTTGTGGTTCTGTCTCGCCTTTGCCAACCTTTCTTTTTCTATGCAAATGGATTCGACCGGTTCCTCCCAGGGTCAGCCAAGTAAGCGTTTAGCTTGCAACCGATGTCACCAGCAGAAACTACGCTGTCATCGAAATATACTCCCGGGACGACCATGTGCTCGTTGTGAGAATGCTGGCACAGAATGCATATTCGAGCCGCCATTGCGTCCGGGTAGACCTAGCTCGCGATGCAAAGTACAGAGCATGCAAAAATCTGCCAAAGACACCGAAATGGCAATCACAAACGGCGATGAACTCAACTACGCTTCGAGGCAATGCACCCATTCTGTTGCGCGACAGGATGTGGGCGTGGACTTGGAAGGCTTGGGGGATTCAACTAGATGCGATAACCCGGCAGCCGCAGGTTGGTTCTCACTATTGAGTTGTGCCGCAGGCTTCGGTTCATATAATTCTGACGCCAGCAGGGATCGATTCTATGAATCTTTTGTACGGCTCTCCATTTCCTGATCCAGATGGCTCAACCGATACAGCTCTATTCTTTGACGATTTGCCTACAAATCACGACTGGGTACAACTACCCGTCGCAGAGTCAACTATTCACCAAGCCCAACCACCACCCCTGCCTCAATCTGGCCTGCAGCCTACGCCTCCATCTTCCGGCCCCTCAAGAGTGTTTTCATGCCCACCTCAGCTCGCTACAGCAGCGACTGGTTGCGCAATATATCGTCTCGTGGACCTCACCAAGGCACTTTATGAGTGCTACTCAGCTCTACTACATAATTCACCAAATGATGCGGGGGCCGCCAAGAGTACAGATTTAGAGCAAGGAGACCAGGCGCTAGTCGATCCGACGCCCCCAATCGACAAAATCCTCTCCTTGACACAGTCGTTAGCCGAGACTCTTAATGGCATGATAAATCAATATCCCTCCACCAGAGCCACAGATTCATCGGCCGCAAATGCTCCAGGCCCAGATACACCAACCATCCTCATGACCCTCTCATGTTATGTTAGACTTTTGCACATCTACAACTCGCTTTTCAGGTCCGCTAAAACGGTGAAGCTTCTCCAAACTCATTCAAGCAGCCAGTCCGCGGAAACTTGCTCTGAGCCAATTCGAAACTTCATTCATTTCCAAATGGGGAGTTTCTCTACATCGGGTGCACCATCTTTGTCTCTTTTAGTTTGCTTGAGTGCGCATCTACTAGAAAATCTCGAAACCGCCCTCGGCAATTTGGCATCTTATGTCGCACGATCTTCAAAAGACCGAGCGGCACAATGGGAGATGGAAAGTGGACCAGCAAGTGTCGCCATTCTAGCAAAGGTAGCTATTTCAGAAGCGCGATCGGCGCAATTGGATCTACGACAGCAGTTACAGGCTGTGAGTATAGGATTGGTTTCGCCTTCCATTTCACAATGGGGGGTGAGACAACAATCACAGTAACATTTTTAAGTAGCCAATTGAATGCTGCACTTAGGCTTGACGTATAGAATTTTCATCAACGGTAGAGATCCGAGTTAGGACGTTTACATCTTGCTTTGGAGTTTAGAATGTTGGTTGACACACATCGGAGTCCCATAGACATTTTAACCCAGAAAACAGACTTCGACCAAACTGCAGCCAAAGTGCTCCCTCCCGGTGATATCAAGATTACGGCGCATAGCGCTTCTGGTGCGAAGCTGCTAAGAAAGTATGCTGACGGCTAGGTGAAATCCTTCGGCCCCGCAGCATATATTAGGAAGTCGACGTAGGGGGTGGTAGCTCGCGGTATGGATACAAAGACGATGATGCCAATACCGGAGCCGATGGAAGGGATAGCGAAGGAGCTAGTGCGATAGAATAGCTACTTATAGAGCGGACCCGATAATAGTAGGGAGGTTGAAAATATATCTACCTTGGCCAGCTAATTAAGCTGGGTAAGCGTTGTAGAGACTATAACATTTTGTCACAAATAAATCATGTGCGCTACTATATGTTGGTCCTGGGCATGACCTTTACACAAAGTAGGTATTAAACCAGGTACTAAACTAGATACCCAACTAGATTCTAAACTCGATGCTAAATTAGCTATTCAACTAGGTTCTGAAAATAACCCTCCATCCACCCCACCCCGAGGCTGACTTGCTCAATGCCCCCTTCATTGTCTATAACCCTATACTGCGGCATCGCCGCTAGGCCGCCTATAAGCCATTTAACCTAGCTATAGGCCGTTCCTTAAGCCTTATTCAAAGCGGACAGTATTTGCTTCCCCTTCGCTCAGCAAATGATTACACGTACGCGTGTCGAACCCCGGTGGTCGCATTTTAGATGTTTTGTGTAGATGATGCCATCGTGGTGGGTGGTCTGTGAATATTCGGGTAGTCTACCCTATTCTCAACCATATATTGTAACATTGGTTTCGACAACCAATACTATAAGAAGCCGGATCCGACCCCTGGCCGCCATGCGCCTGCGTGCCCATAGATTTCTAGTTCACAATACAAAATCTCATTGGACGCCTCGTGGGCCTAAGAAATACCAGGCTACCTAAAGATTGTCGGCTCGGAAACTTTGCTACTATAGTTAGCACTCTTTAAGATCCGAAATTCATTTGTTCGTGAAAGACTTGGAATTCGAAGGCTGAATTTGCCCAAGTTGGGTGCGCCCTATGCTGTGCCCGGGAGCATTACTATATCCATGGCTTGAACCGTCTTTTACCGGCTGGGGATTGTATGACTCGCTAATAGTTGCGCGGCAAATCAGCTAAGTAATACAAATAATGTGAATATGTGAGGATAGGAAGCTTATTGACTCAGGAATTTCCATATGGTCGCATTCGCTGTTCTCCGCAGCCTGCTGCAATAGTGGGTAAAATGGATGTTTTGATAGCCATTGATTCATGTGAACACTAAATATGCCACTCAAAGAGGTACACATTAGTTGTCCGATATGAATTTGCTGTTTTGCGGCACCTTCTCCTCGCCTGGCGCTTCAGTGTGCCTGCCAGATCAGCAGAGGATGATAGGCAAACCCGTATGGCGTTCTTATCTCAAACTACCTATACTGATCAAAGGGAAGTTTAAGGATTGCCCGAAGGCACAGAGGGAAACAGTGAAGGCTGCCTTAATCGTTCCTGGTTGCGTTTCGCCATTTCAATATTGCGCATCCGGTCGATGCGCATCTGATAGAAATTCCTGTTTCGCCGTTAGGAGCCACCACCATGAATTAGGATACAATCACGTACTTGTGCAAAGAGAAAATTCGAGGTGAATCATCCGGTCTTTTCTCCGTCTCAGAACCTTTCCTAATAGAAGCGATCTTTCAGGGGTAATCAGTCAACACGTTTGTACAACTCTTTTTTGCTTGGTTCCCTTCACTACGACAAGAAACGAACCTTTTCATCTCTGTCCTTTTCGTCGTTGGCGTTTGACTCGGATGGATCTTTATCTTTGCCCTTGTCTTTTTCCTCTTTGCTGTTCTTGCTGGACGCCTTCTCGCGCTCTTTCTTTCGTCGCTGTTTTTCTTCATATTCTTTTTTCACCTTTTCGATCTCCTTAGCCATTTCCTCTTGCTTCAGACGTTTTGCTTGGCCCTCTATGTCAACAACTGGAGAGCAGAAATGCTTGTCTTGTAAATGTGCGGGGCACACGTAGAAGAAGTCCTAGTGAGAAAATCAGCCACTTTGCGCACATGAAGATAGGGAACCAAGCAAGGAAATGGTTTAATAGACTTTACACCAGATCGGAGATCAGATTACACACCTTGTTATCTGGTGTGATCATCACGCTGCTTGATGGCTTATAGCAAATCAAACATGCTTTTGCAGAGGCATCCGCGACCCGACGCACATGGTAGACGTTTGTCAATGACATGAGCTCAAATAAAAATGGTCGCTCTAGGCTACTGGGTAAATTTCTTAGTCTCTGTTGCTGCTTGGAGGTTGTGCTGAACAAGTGTACAGGTGCTCGATGAAGTTGGCGTTGATGGAGAGAGGGCGTCATGTGACCTATACTTCCAAGAGCAAACAAGATCTATCCAAGTCTTAACAGAAAAAAAATTGGTTGGGATTCAAGATGATCTCGATGATAGAAATAAGTTATTCATTTACTAGGGCTGATATCGAATTTCAGCCAACACCCACACGCCCGTCTTAACAGAACGCCTAACCATGCATTTGTCCAGCGATATCAATCCCGATGGGACGAAACAATGGAACGAGAGATAGCAATACATGAAGTTTTGTGAAGAGAAATCATGAGATATAGTGAGCATTAAAGAGATTGCAGCAATAAAAAAACGACCATCATGATCATGAGACCTCCTCCCCGTCGATGCCAGCTGCCTCCTTTGCTAGTCTCAGATCCTTGCCTGCGATACCGATATCCCGCAAGTAAGGCCTGAAAGCCGCCAGTAGATCCTTGAGACCATCACGGAGTGCAGAAAGCACAATTTCAACATCGGGAATCCGACGGGCAACTGCTTGCGCTTGGGGATCGCTAGATGGGGGAAAGTTTATATCGGTCCAGTGGGCATCCAATCCACCCTGGTGGGCAAATGCATCCAGGGTGAGGACGGTTCGCGTCAGAAGTCGCACAACCGAAGGCACATCAGCCTGAACTTTTCCGTAAGGGTCTTCAGCCAAGCTGGCTATGAGAAGTCGAGTCAACGACTCCACAGCATCTACAATCAAGGAAAGAGAGGACTCTGGTGTGCCAAGGACAATGGAAGAGAGGCGTTGAGCGTAAGTTTGACAGAGAGGTTGGCCGATAGGCGAACGAAGAATCCGCGCCAGAATTGGGTTCATGTCCTTGGGTGTATGAGAGGCGTAGGGGCCGCCAGCCAAGAGCTTGAACTTCTGAGTAGAGCCGAGATATTTCTGTTTCTGCTCAGGGCTGAGCATTGCTGATGATGCCCGGTCAAAAGCGTCGCGGACTCGGGCTCGTGCTGTTGGAGTCCAGTCTTCTGACTGACCGAAGGATTTAGCCGCCGAGCTAAACGCATCGCCAAATTTGTCCTGGCGTGAAGCAGCCTTCGGCGCCGTGGTGAAGATGTTTTCATCTTTGATCGGTTCTGAGAGTCGCGGGAGAATTTGAAGAACAGGTTCAGATTTCTTAGTTTGTGGCAAAGAGTTGGTAACTGGCGCGGGGTTTTTGCTTTCCTCGATGCGAGTATTGATGGCCTTGATTACATCGGTAGTGCAAGCGAGTACTTGGGACCAAGCCGAACCACCCTCGCGTTCAATATCGTTGAAAATTGCCTTCCGGCGGTCCGGAACGCGCTGGCTAATGAGACTGAGTTCCCAGAGTGCGAAAGTCTTGACAATTTCCTTCCTCGCCTTAAGGCCGCTAAGAAGACTGCCGTTGGGATCCTTGGCTTCTGTAGTGAGTGGCTGGCCCCGCTTCGAAGGCTCCTTGCCGATGAACACAGAATAGAAGAGATTCGCCGTTTGCCAGGAAAGTACAAGCATAGCTCCTGGGATCAGAGTTTTGAAGAAGAAGTAGGGGAAAATCGATGGAATGAAGCTCTGAGGTTCAGCTGCAGATCTTGGGAAGCTCCAAAAGAGCTTGGCAAAATACAAAGACCAGCTCCACGCAAAGCTTCTGAAAAACATCGGGTATATGACGAGAGATGCTCCAGCAACTGTGATGCTTCTGAAAGCCCCGGCTGCCAATTCTGGCAGTAGAGCACCCCGAAGATACTTGGATGTTGGTAGTACTGGGTGGGTACGCTGATCATTTTTTTTGGTGCATTTCTCCGCGATTGGCACTGCAATGCGGTCGTAGTCGTTGTATAGGTGAAACACAGCTTGCACGCATGCTAGAAACGCATGGAAGGAATGAAGATAAATCGGCCTTTCGTTCAGGGTCGGTCGCTCGTGTGGCCTGCATCTCTTTAGTCCAGATCAGACTCATTTAAAACCATAATCAACGCACCTGCCCCGTTTCACAAGCTCGAGGTTGGAATCATTCGAAGAAGACCATACGTATACCACGGTGAACCACCATGCTGAGAAGATGTACCAGCCAAAGGTTTGCGCAATTTGCAACAGAGTAAAGGATTTCAAGGTGCCGAACGAGGAGCTAGCTGTTCTTGAGCCAATGTGCATTTGACTGACGCGAAGGACAAAAATTGTGAGCGAGGATATGAAGAGTAGCGTAGTTCGGACACCGCAGCTACCAAAAGGAAACCATGACCAGAAAACTGCATAGTGTTCTTTAATCAGTTCTTTGTACTTTCGGGACATGAAACTGGGCCTTTGAAACTCAACCCGATAAGGTTGCGATGTACTCACAGGACGATTTATCCCCAATCGTAATTGCGATAACATAAGAGACCAGCAGTGAAAGTGCAGACGCATGAACAAATCTTCGGTGTAAGGCCGAAGTCAGGATTCGCCTGTAGGGCCGAGTTTTTACGACGGCCATGGTGTAAGCTTAGGAGTGAGATGCGCTCGTGGAAGAGGATAAAATAGTTGAAGATTAGTGCATGATCAGAACAACCGTCATATGGAGAGCTCCGGGAGCTGGAGAAAAGAATTGGCGGACCAAGGATGGTGTTGACGAACGATCTCGGCTGACAGCTGGTTGTATCAAGCTGGTCGGATGGAATCAATCAACGGCGAGGCCCACCTGGGAATATTTTGAGGCATCAAAACACACCAGCCATTCTCAGTCATGTGACTTGTGGCTCAAGCGAGTGCTGTGCCACTGGGGCTAGTCCATCTATAGCCTAGTGGTTTTATGGTACGTCATGTAAGGGCGGTCCGCACACCAAGACCGCTTATCGAAGGCAGCAGGGACCTACAGATAACCCCATCTTGGTATCCAGTCTTCTTCTACCTTCACTTAAACAATTCTTTTGTTTGCTTTTTAAATACACATAGAATGTCTTTTGACAGACTAAACTCGTTGGAGGCTCAGCCTACCACCATGCGCAGGGATGAAGACCCACAGTACCGTGATGATCCGGACTTTGACCATCTAGCTGAGCAGCTCTCAGATCAGTTATTTACATTGACATCGAACATCTCTCGCCTGTCCAACCAAATTGCCCTTCTTGGAACCAAACGTGACACGGAGCGTGTGCGCGAACGGGTGCATGATCTGCTTGAGGAGACTCGTACGGGGTTTAGAGATGTCGGAGAAGGAATTAAGCAGGTCCAGACATGGGAGGACGTCAATGTATGATCTGTCTAATTTCACTCACTGCCGGGCAATTCTTACTAACGCCCTGATCTATAGCCCTCTCAGAAATGGACACAGCAGAAGCTATCGTCCGAATTCAAGGCCACTTTGGATGAATTTCAAACTGTTCAGCGTCGTGCACTTGAGAAACAGCGCGCTTCTGCAGTTGCCGCCCGCACAGCATTCGAAGAAGGCGAGCAACCGTCTGGTGAGAACAATGTCCAATTACAAGAACAGCTATTGGAGGAACAACACCGTATGGCCAACCAGAGCGAAGTGGACTTCCAAGAGTCCCTGATCATCGAGCGTGAGGCAGAAATCAGGAACATTGAACAAAGTGTGGGGGAGCTGAACGAGCTCTTCCGGGATGTTGCACACATCGTTTCGGAACAAGGAGGGCAATTGGATATCATCAGCGAGAATGTTCAAAACGTTACCCAGGACACAAGAGGCGCCACAGTCGAGTTACGCAGTGCCAGCAGGTATCAGAAGAATGCGCGCAACAGAGCCTGCTGTCTCTTTGTAATTCTTGCTGTCATCCTTGCTATCATTGTGCTTGCAATTGTCCTCGGATAGACATCTACCTTTCTTTTTCTTGTTCTCGTTCATTGTTTATTGACTATCACCACGGTCTTCGTCTTTAACGTTGTCATGTATGCGCACGATATCCCTTTTGTACGATTGCACTTCCGTTAGTCAAGGAACTCGCTCTTTTTCTTCTTTATACCGTATTCCTTCTGGTTTACGTACGCATTCCTTCCCAACCTTCAGTATATAAGTGGTAGAGAACATTATTTCATCGCTGTCTCTTAATCCTGTAGCCTGATATTGTACAAAATTATCTTTGTTATACATGCAAAATACACCCAATAGGAACCAAAAATCCTACCCGTGTTCCGCCGTTGTCATATGTGCAGTGCGAAGGCATATTTCGCTAGAAGACGATCATCAATGATGCTTTCATAGACCTATGAAGCGGTTGAACCTTAGTCTCCAGCCTTCATAAGTGTTCAATTTGGGTCGAACGTCAAGGAAGAAACTGAGCTTTCCAGGTGTGCCATTAGCATTGGCAGCCAGACCTGACGGGTTCTCGCTGCCCCCGGACGGCTTTCCCTGGTAAAAATCGATAACATATTCAATCCTTTCACCACCACAACGCTCAACAACCCAGTCATGTCGATCAAATGGGTGTTGGTAGCCAAGCCATCCATTAATACGCGCACGCGGACTCAGGTACTGTGGGTCGACTCCAAGTCCCCGGAAAGAATATAATTTCGGTCCTCCACATTTCTTGCTCCCGGGGTCGGCCGAGGGGCCTTTTTTCTCCCATTCGAGAATTTGATCCCATGCGCGCTCATTGACGGCGTTATGAATGGGGATTATGGAAGCTACGGAAGTCGCGAGCTCTGAGGCGGAGGCAGCAGACCCAGGAGCGTTACCCTTGCGCATCAAGGCCTCAAAGAATTGTTTCTCCGATGGATAGATCCAGTTTCCAGTGGCTTCATCGCGGCCAGTCTCGGATTCAGCATTGGACGGGCTTCCGTGCGAGGCGGCATATGGGGACGGAGAACCTTTGTTTGCCTCGGGGCAGGCACTCGCTGAGCTGAAATCCCCGGCTCGAGGGATTGTGCTCACTTCACGGTCTGTTGATAGGGGTCGTTGTGCTTTAGCACGTGGTTGTTCTTGTTCCGCAGGGACATCGGAGGTAGGACGAGGTGAGTTGCTATTCTGTTGCAGCCAAATTTCACGGGTTTTGTGGTCCACGGGACAAGTTGCTGCCGGTGGATCCACGGAGGGCATGGATGGTGTACTAGCTGCAGCTCCCATTGTTGAATGATTGGAGGTCACTGACTGGAGGATGTCGCATCGACGCGGAACTAGAACTACGCTGTAGAAATTATTTTGCCATCTCACCGCCCAGACAAATCAACAATCCCCTAAGTAGGAAATTCCCCCTCGGGTCTCCTATGCCTCTTTAGAAACTTGTTGTTCTTTCTCATATTTATCTGGAGCAAAATGGCGTCTACATCAAACCAGTCAGTTTACCGGGCCACTACTACCGCTCCGGTGAACATTGCTGTCATCAAGTATGCCGCTCCGCGATTACCCCTCATAGTTCTGTTTTAACAGTAATATTCTAGATACTGGGGCAAGCGTGATACTACTCTCAACCTCCCCACAAACTCCTCCCTTTCGGTCACACTCTCTCAGCGCTCTCTCCGTACCTTGACCACTGCCTCCTGCTCTGCCGAATACCCACCTGCGGATACCCTGAACCTGAACGGTAGTCCCCAGGACATCCAGTCTTCCAAGCGGACACTCGCTTGCATTTCCAACCTTCGTACCCTCCGCAAGGCCCTTGAGGATGCCAACTCCTCTCTCCCCAAGCTCTCTTCTCACCCTCTCCGGATCGTCTCTGAGAACAACTTCCCCACTGCGGCCGGTCTGGCCAGCTCTGCGGCTGGCTTCGCGGCGTTGGTCCGCGCCGTCGCTGATCTTTACGAACTACCCCAATCCCCCAAGGAGTTGAGTCGCATTGCGCGCCAAGGTTCCGGATCTGCCTGCCGCTCTTTGATGGGCGGATATGTCGCGTGGCGCACGGGTGAGCTTGCTGATGGAAGCGATAGTCTGGCTGAGGAAGTTGCTCCTGCTTCACACTGGCCTGAGATGCGCGCTCTTGTTCTGGTCGTCAGTGCCGAGAAGAAGGATGTACCCAGCACTGAGGGAATGCAGACTACTGTGGCCACCTCCGCTCTCTTTGCTGAGCGTGCCCAAAACGTAGTTCCCGGCCGTATGGCTGCCATTGAGACCGCCATTCAAACCCGCAACTTCCACGACTTCGCCGAGATAACCATGCGTGACTCGAATACCTTCCACGCCACTTGTCTCGACTCGTGGCCCCCTATCTTTTACATGAATGACGTCTCTCGTGCTGCTGTCCGCCTTGTGCACGACATCAACCGTGTTGTTGGCCGTACGGTATGTGCTTACACTTTTGATGCTGGCCCAAATGCTGTCATCTACTATGAAGATAAGGACTCCGAGGTTGTGGCCGGTACCATCAAGGCTATTTTGGGCCCTAACACTGAGGGCTGGGATGGTGCATTCTATGAGAGACTAGCCAACGTCACCGCTGGCATTTCCTTGGATCTGGTTGACTCTCGCGCTGTCGAAGTTCTGAAGGATGGTGTGAGCCGTGTCATCTTGACTGGCGTCGGAGAGGGCCCTGTCAAGGTTGAGGACCACCTTGTAAGTGAGACTGGTGAGATCCTCAAGACTCTTTAGAACGTATGATTAAGCTATACCGTGCAATCGGTACTCCCATTCTGACCAACCTTGGAAGGTCTGTCAGCCTGAAAGATACCCCACCGTTCTTGTGCGGATATGTCAACTCGGCCATGCAAGCGTGACGCAGATATTCCTTCGTTGTATTTTCTTTTGTTCTCTGTTGGAATATAGTTACGCCATAGCAGCAAGATTTCGGTTTATACTAAAGCAAAACTTCTGGTTTCATCATTCACAACAATGTATCTTGCACATGATACAATGCGGCACAACATAATACAAGTTCGCTTTTAACTTCAAAATATCCAACATCTGTCTTACTATCCTTTGAACCAAGCGAATTGCTCTGTCCTCTCAACAAGACCGGCAATCATCACAGCGCCTAAAGCCGTATCCAAGCGTCCTACAGGTCTCAATGAACCTAGTTTGTTCGTTGTTGGCATAAACACAGCATCCCGCAAAGCCACAGCCAGCAGCATTGAAGCTTCCACCTGTCTGAACACAGGCAGTCTGAGAATGATCGGTGATACCATCACAAGCACATTTGATGGACCTAGCTGCCACTTGGGCTGTCGCCAGCGTGCCCAGACCCATGAGTAAAGTGAGATGTGTTGAGATAGAGAGGTACATAGTCTGGATTGCGACAATCAGAGGATAACTTCCGCTGACATATAATCTGGCAGGCTCACCTACCGTTCTTGAAAAGGAGTGACCTTACTTAGGGCTTTTTTGGCATCTTTTCTTGGCTGCAGTCATGGTATTTGGACGTGGAATATGGCCATGTTTTATATCCCCATCCTGGACACCTTTTACACAACGCTCAGTTGACTTGACAATTAGCACAGCATGTATGTGTCAGTTTGGTGTCATCCAGTGAGATCATTGTGTCTATTGTGCTACTTTATCTCGCTAAATGTAGTCTATGTCTTGATTTCTTCGGGACACTCCACGCATTTTGGAGTCGTGTCACATTACACTTCTCGCCTTGTGAATTGCCATACTTTCTTCGTGCAGCATGGGCCTGCAGTTAACTCTTTTAAGTGTTTGTTCTGAGGACCTAGATCCACAAAGTTTATGAGCTCACAATAAGAATTGGCTTCATGCAAAGATATTTGCTTCACTCGCTAACATATTGGAGTGCATAGAATGAGTACCTAGATACTCAGCCCTTTCGATCAAAGCAAAATAAAGTTAGATGAGTTACCACATAGCCCTAAGTGAGAAGAAGTCCACAGTTAGTGGTGAGACTCGTCCTTTCCTACAACCATGCAAAGGCAACTTTCGGCCCCAGTTTCTTGTCGAGAATAGGCTCCTGCGTAGAGAATTCTATTCCCGTTATGGGGGCCCTTGAGTAACTCGTAGAAGCTACTAGGGAGTCTCACAAGTGTAACCTATGGATCAAAGTAGAAATACAACATGGGGAACATGGGGTAAGGACTTTGCCGCGAAGATGCTCTGTGCCAAAAGCCAGCTACCCCTTTTTCTTCTTACTCAACAGGGCTATTTAGAAAAGCCTTGTGCCGTTGGAAACATATCTTGACACAGCTATTCACTGGATGAGGCTGTGGTATGTGGGAAACGCCGAACTAGCGGAGGCCTGGCCTACGTCAGATGTAGTTGCTTGGTTGGGGGTTGATCAAGATGGCAAATCTTTGCGTTTGCAAAAAAAAACAAGTGGGCACAACAATACTATATGTATAATGAACTAATTGTAAAAACATAGTTCATTTAGAAATTTTAGCTATTATAGCTACAAAAGTGGTTTGAGTAAATGTTCAAGTCATTTTAGAGGGAATCAGCCGACTTAAAAATCCTAGGTCAATTTCTCAAGCAACACTTTATGGTTGAACTATTAAACTGAAGCAACTTTTCTCCTCTTTTTTTTTCATTTCGCAAGCTAGATGCTAATTGGCGCAGGCAGTATATTCATAGACTGCTTCAAGCCAACAGAGAAGACTTCTTCATCTCCTTCACAATAGGAATCTCCTTTACTCGAGCGGCACCACCTCCCTCGACGATAGCTATACTTTCTCTCAAGACGCTGGCACCTCCACCTCCGTAAGTAGGAGGGACGATAGGCTCGATGTCGTTCTCTTCATCTTCCTGCTCCTCGTTCTTTGCATTGGAGGGAGGAACTTCAAACACCTCGTCCCGGCAATCCACACACATAGTCAGGACTTCCTGTAACGCCTTCTCGATAGCGGCTGCACGCTCACGCATGCCACGACGCAGCAGAGCATCGACAAGAATCTCAGTCTCCGCTACGCTGGAGTTAACCCGTTCAATGAGTCGTCGAATACTATTAACGAGGTATTCTTCTTCGTAAACGGTGCCCTTCTTACCACGAGCACGCTTACGCTCCTCCCGCCGGCGAGTCTTCGAAGTATGACGTGACATTCCAGTTTTACCTGTTTTCCCGGTGTTACCAGTGTAACGGGTGAACATGGAGCGACCAGCGAGCGTGGATGCATCTGTCGGGGCCAGCGAGACATTATCTGGGATATCGACGCCCGCGTCTCCACCGGTTGGATCACCACCGTAGAAAGCAAGTGGGTCGGCGGCGCGAAGCTGACGAAGTTCGTTGAGGCGTGGGACTTGGGCATTGATCTGAGATCTGCAGTCAGCGAGCAGGTCTGTCATGTTACCCATTGCTTCGGCGAGGCCGGAGTCAACGATTTCGGCAACCTGGCTCTGTTTCCCATGGAGTGTAAGGAGACGCGCTGCGTCGGTGAACTTCGATCCCCGGCAGAGCAGTCGTGCAGCTGTGACGATGTCATGCAAATGGTCAGCGTAGATGGTTGCTGCCGAGACGTAGTCTTTATTTTCGTCGACCAGGGTTGTGACAAGACCTTCGATGTGGGCTGCCAGATCTTCCTCGGATAGAGATGCCATCATGGCACAGTACAATGATTCACGCCATTTGTGTGCCAGATTGAAGCACTTGTAAGCACTCTCGTAAAGTCCAAGAGATTCATACGCTGGTATCAAAAGTTAGCAAGCTCTCGTTTTGTATAGCTGCATTACAACTAATCCACTTACCAATTGCTGCGTCTTTGAATTTCGATTGATCGTGTAGATAATCAGCGTAGAGCTCGGTGATTTCCCGTAGTTGCTCTGTTTGGTACTTGTATAGCCCAAGAGCTTCCTTATACAAGACATGCTTGACGACATATGCGCTTATCTCATCGTGAACATTGAGAGTATACAAATGCCCCAGAGCCTTTTCGAAGCGAGAAAGATGATTGTCGATCTCAAATTTACGACGAGTCGCTGGAAGTTGTTGTAGCTTACGAAGGAATGGTAGGTACTCGCGAGGATCCTGTGAATTTTTTAGTAACAAGTCATGACACAACCACAGTCTCCATCCGGTAATCTTACCATCTGAGCTTGTTGAGCAACCAACAATGTAAGCTCAAGGTCATATACACCCAACGCGTGAGAATAAAGCCGGTGAGCATCTGTCAGGAAACACATGTGCGCAATAGCGTCTTCGGCCTGTTCGGGGTGTTGTGCTATAACATGTTTAGTTGTTATTCGATTATCGAAAAAGACGAAAGGGCGGAGCACTCACCTCTTAGTCCCGCAGCAAGTCCCAATCCTGCTTCCATGTCAGGCGGCGACTTGCAAACATGGGCTGTGATCAGATTTTGCAAATTGGTATCGACACGGGTTTGAAGAGCCGCCAGGAATGCATCACAGATCTTGTTGATTTTGCTCTCCTTTTTGCCAATTTTGGGGACCGAGGGAACAGCTGGACCATCCGGCTGGGCAACAGCTGCCGATACATTCTTAGAAATTTTCAGTGTGTCTTTATACAATGTCTGTGACACATCGTCTTCCCTATATGAGCGTTGGTATATTGCTTCTTTCGAGACTGAATTTTGACTTACGAAAGGCGCGATATGAAGTCATCAATATAATCAATCTTCTTGACTTGATCAATGAACAGAACGATGTTTTCCATAAATTGCTCAGGAGCATAGTCATGGAGAATATTGAGATCAACCATCTGACTTCGACATGCAAGGAATGCAGACCGGTATTTCTTCTGGTCGATGAAGGTACGGATTCCAGCCAATACTAGAGCGCGAGGGAAAATTGTCTCAATGTTTCCTCGGGGAGCTTGGAGCACGACCGCGAAGATCGAGGGTATCACTGAAACCAACCGAGAGCCACGTTCAATACTTCTGCAACGCTCATCGGTTTCTGGTGTATCCTCGGGAACTTCCATTTCTGCGATCGCCATGTTAGCTCGTGAAGACACAAACGCCCAATTAGTCAACCTTACCATCCACATGGTTCAGATGAACAAACTTCAGAAGATGTGCTGATGTGGTGAACAAAAGATGAGATGGAGTCACTAGGAAAGACGTGCAATTCCTCGCAAGGACTCGCTTGTTAGCATGCAAGGCTCCAGTTCTCGTCAATGTAATCAAAATGCGCTACCAAAGTCAGTAGGAAGTTCCAAATACAAAGCGAATACAATCTTACCTCATTCTCGGAAATAGAGACAACACGGGCCCAATGGCTGTCAACATTGGGGCTCTCACCCCATGGAGCAATATCAAGATTTCCGGATGACGACTCTTCAATGCTCGAATAGCTGACAGGTCGAGCTGGTTGGCGGGCATGTGAGAACCACAGAGTTTGGTGTCCAATGCCGGCGAAGATCGATGCCAGTTGCTCTTCGTCTGCAGCCTGATATACAGATTCAGTGGTTCGAGTGTCCAAGATCGTTCTCTCAATGTGGCTCGAGTTTGGTCCAGTGTCCTTGAGCACAAATACCTCGTTCTCATTCAGGAACGCAATCTGCCGGGGTCGACTGGCTACGGTATCTGATAATGGACAGCTTGACTCAAGGATAGGAATAGGAACAGGTCGGCTCTTCAGAGACCATAGGTAAATGGAGAGCTTGTTGCTCATCAGCACAGCAATGCGGGCTCCGGATTTGCTAAATGCCACGTCAATGGCGTTGGAGTCTAAAGCCAGCTCGTTGTGCGCCATGGGAGGCGGCACACCAGCCATTCGCAACGGGGTCAGTTTGAGAGTTTCTAATGCTTGTGTCAGTAGTGTTCATAATCAGTTTCTATTCGAAAACATACTGCCGTCGATGACTGCAATGGCGCCAACATCATCTGGAATAGACGTAGAACCATGGTTGATATCGAATACATAATCCGCGTCCAGTATCGAACCTGTACTAATCAGCTTTTGTTCTTACGTCGCTCTTCATGTAAGGATATTGTACCAGAGGAGCCAGCAACAAACCGTAATGCCTTCTCTTGGTGCCATTCGAAAAAGCACGGAAACGAAGACTTTGTGTCAACCGTGACACGAAGCTCTTGCTTCAAATACCAATGGTAGTTGCCCGTTGTCCAGAGCTGTACACGGTCCTGAAACTTGACAGCAAGTACAGTGGAATCCACGTTCCAGACAAGATGAATGCGGGAAGCCCATGATTTCATTTCCTCTTCAGAAAGACGGAGAGAGAACTCGCCGTGGCGGAGTCCGTTTCTTTCAAAAAACACCACCTTGATGTGTTCGCTAAGCCGCTGAATTCCAGCAATCAAGCTTCCAGACGGCCGCCAGCTTAAAGCGCCCTCCAATCCGTCAACGGGTTCGCTCACACTGTCCAAGGTGCCTTCTCTCGAGTACACCCTGATCACACGGCGAGTATCTGCTTCGACGCTGTTGACAGCAACATAAGCCCCATCTCCTCGCCAGCTAATCGTCGTGCTAGCATCATCGTGGCTGCTCAAGATTCCTTGATCGATCTTTTCCGGTACTGTCGGGTCTCGAAGAGCCTTGGCTCTCTTTCCTTGAAACTGTGTTTCTTTCTTACCCCACCCGACCGACACATGTTGTGATGATTGCAGGTCACTGTGGGCGAAAGTAATGTCGGCCACATTCTCAAAGTCTCTGGTCATATACAAGAACGTCTGAGCTCTGGTGGTAAGAGCCAGCATTTCCTCATCTGGGGACCATGCCGCAGCTGTGATTCCCACATCGACTGAACCAACAATTTCGATCTTATCTTCGCCGGGAAGGGGCTCTTCGCGAACAACAACAATATCACCTCCTGCTAACACCAGACAGGTCGTCAGGTTGTCCGCAAAATAATGCAGGGAGAGCACACGATCACATGCCAGGTCCGGTAGAGGGCACGGAGCATCCCAGGAGGCAATACATTCGAATGCTTCGGGAGACAGGGGATCGGTTGAAACGATCTCAGGGCGTTTCCGTCTGACCTCGATGATTGCATTGTTCTCGGCCGGACCAAAGGTGCACACCACTGAGTCCGAAACAGTATCCCACGCTGTGGCAGTGAGAGACAGCTCACTCTCGATTTGGGTCTCAGCGAGACGGACGTTTCTCAAATTGCGCATCTTCCAGGAACGGGGAACTTTTTTAATGCTGTTTTTTTTTTACCCCGCCATGAAGCGATCAAGGCAGCAAATGTATGGAATTCAAGCGATGAAAAAGGAAAATCAAATTCCAGAGACCAGCCTTTCTTCCTTGTTGGCAGTAACTGTCTGGTTGCTTGGGAATGGTTGCGTTCGTGAGGACTGATATATGAATCGCACCGACCCAGAGATTTTTTTTGGTTTTCCATAGCGGCTCAGCCAATGACTTCATTCATATTTCAACGTCCTCTAAGCTACGAATTTCCACATCTACACAAGTACAATGGGGTCTGTGACAGGCGGAACCAGTTTTCGATAATAATCTCTAGCTTTATAAACGTCATCCGCATCTGCTTCAAACCGAATCCAAGTTTTCGACCACCTAGTCGCCCAGACTGCTATCGCAAGAAAAATACTGTGTGAAGGACAATTTATTTGGTCTTGTAGGTTTGCCAGACTGTTAAGAAGAGGTGTTAGAGTATCCTGAAGGTGTAAACCCGTAAATCGGAGGTATAACTCACCAGCGATGGCGAAGGGAGCACCGAATCCGGTAACTAGATGATGCCCGGGGTTAGTCATGGCACTGCGCATGTGTCCGTTGGGGTTCACCAACTCATGAATCCCCAGTAGCGCCAGAAGAAGTACTTGGTGAGAGGGTTGAAGGGGATGTTGGAGCGAGGACCCTCAGGGTAGTGGTAGGGGCTGGCAAGCTGGGTGCGAGAGGTGGAGAAGCCACGACGGGCAGCGAAGGAAGTGGCCATTCTGGCGCGGATAGCGGAGGAATACATCTGAAATTGAAAATTTTAGCAAGAGCAAGGATTCAGTTTCTAGTGGGAGGCAATGACCTTGAGTAACAAAGTGGAGAGCGTGGACAATCGGAAGGACGCGGACGAGGCCAAATTGAACATCGAGAGGTGTGGAATGGGATGATCAAAAATCACGTGACTAGGGAGTGCTTCGATTGGGCTTAGCGTCTTTTGCTCGGGATCTCCCCCACCGCTTGCCCCATGTGGATAGAACTTTTAAATTTCTCGACTTTAAAAAAGTCCAGACCGGTTACCTACGCCGCTCATTCTCCTCCTGTGGTTGATTCACCAATCCCAACCGCTGGAGATGGATGAGCTATTTGACGTGTTTGAGGATCAGCCTCAGGCGGTTAAACCGTCAGAAGTTGCGCCAAAACGCTTGAAGAAGAACAAGAACAAAAAACGACAGATGAATGGAGATGTGAAGAAAACCGCAGATGCCCAACCTGAACAGAAGGAGGATGTTGCAATGACTGATGCATCTGCTGGGGAAGTTGAATCGGCAGATGCCGAAGCCCCCACTACTCCTTCCGAACCAGAACAGCCCGAGACGAAGCGACCTCGATTGGATCAGGAACCCGAGCCAGTAGTCGCCGATTCTTTCGAAACCGAGCAAGAGCGCGAAATCGCAGCCTCTGGAGGACTTTCAGGCGCCACAGACACATCTGCAGTCGTGGTGTCTCATCAAGTGCGCCATCAAGTCGCAATCCCACCAAACTACCCTTACGTGCCTATCTCTCAGCATAAACCTCCGGCGAACCCCGCAAAGACATGGCCCTTCACACTTGATCCTTTCCAACAGGTCGCAGTTTCTTCAATCCAGCGCGAGGAAAGTGTGCTGGTGTCAGCTCATACTAGTGCCGGAAAGACCGTGGTGGCAGAATACGCGATTGCGCAAAGTTTGAAACAAAACCAGCGAGTGATCTACACTAGTCCAATCAAAGCGCTCAGCAATCAGAAGTACCGTGAATTTGCTGCTGAGTTTGGCGATGTCGGTCTGATGACTGGTGATGTGACCATCAACCCCACTGCTACCTGTCTTGTTATGACTACAGAGATTCTTCGCTCCATGTTGTACCGTGGCTCTGAGATTATGCGTGAAGTTCAGTGGGTAGTCTTTGATGAAATTCACTACATGCGAGATTTGAATCGTGGTGTTGTTTGGGAAGAGACCATAATTCTGTTACCCGACAAGGTCCGCTATGTTTTCCTGTCCGCCACTATCCCGAACGCAATGCAATTTGCCGAGTGGATTGTGAAGATGCACAATCAACCCTGCCATGTTGTTTACACCAACTACCGTCCGACCCCACTCCAGAACTACTTCTTCCCCGCTGGTGGAGAAGGTATCCATCTTGTTGTGGATGAAAAAGGAGTCTTTCGCGAGGAGAACTTCCAGAAAGCAATGAGCGCAATCGCTGACAAGAAAGGTGACGACCCGGCCGACGCTTTAGCCAAGCGTAAGGGCAAGGGCAAGGACAAGCAAATCAACAAGGGTGGAAATAAGGGCCCATCGGATATCTTCAAGATCGTCAGGATGATCATGCTTAAGAACTACAACCCCGTCATTGTCTTCAGTTTCAGCAAGCGAGAGTGCGAAGCAGGTGCTTTACAGATGAGCAAATTGACTTTTAACGACGATTCCGAGAAAAACATGGTGTCCAAGGTTTTCGAAAGCGCCATTGAAATGTTGTCTCCAGAAGATCGTCAATTGCCACAGATCCAAAACATCCTCCCGCTATTGCAACAAGGTATCGGTGTTCATCACTCAGGATTGCTACCAATTCTTAAGGAAACCATTGAGATTCTGTTCCAAGAGGGTCTTATCAAAGTCCTATTTGCAACCGAGACTTTCTCCATTGGTCTCAACATGCCTGCGAAGACTGTAGTTTTCACCAGCGTCCGCAAGTTCGATGGAACTAGCCAGCGTTGGGTTACTCCGTCTGAATTCATCCAGATGTCTGGTCGTGCCGGTCGTCGAGGTCTCGATGACCGCGGTATTGTGATCATGATGGTCGGAGAGGAGATGGACCCAGCAGTGGCGAAGGAGATCGTGCGCGGTGAACAGGACCGACTCAACTCCGCATTCCACCTTGGCTACAACATGATTCTCAATCTGATGCGCGTAGAGGGCATCTCGCCTGAATACATGCTCGAACGATGCTTCAAGCAGTTCCAGAACACTGGAAGCGTTTCAGGCCTGGAGAAGGAGCTCGAGAGTCTTGAGGAGAAGCGCACCAATATGATCATATCAGACGAGGGTACCATCCGTGAATACTACGACCTACGGAAACAACTGGACGCATTTGCCGACGATGTTCAGCATGTCATCACCCACCCAAATTACTCTTTGACTTTCATTCACCCTGGACGACTGATCCACGTTAAGTACAAGGATGCTGATTTCGGTTGGGGTGTGGTGATCAACCAGAAGAAGCGCAAGCAAGCGAGTAATGACACTGAGAAATTGACTCCTCACCAATCCTACATTGTTGATGTCTTGATGAGGACTACAGAAGGGTCATCCATTGGCACGAAGTCTTTCCAAGATCTTCCGCCAGGTGTTCACCCCGCAAAGGAAGGGGAACCTGCTCGCAGTGAGGTTGTGCCCATTGTGCTGAGCTGCATCACGGAAATCTCTCACATTCGCATCATGCTACCAAAGGATATCACGTCACCCAGCTCTCGAAATGATGTTATGAAGTCTGTTGGTGAGGTTAAGAGGCGCTTCCCAGACGGTGTTCCGCTACTTGATCCGATTGAGAACATGCAGATCAAGGATGAAAGCTTCAAGAAGCTGCTACGAGTAAGAAGAGATTCTGTTGCTTTAACCTGAGATTCGCGCAGCTAACCACAAGATAGAAAATCGAGGTTCTTGAGTCTCGCCTGCTGAGTAACCCTTTGCACAATTCGCCCCGGTTGACTGAATTGTACGAGCAATATGCCGAGAAGGTGGACCTAACTGTAAAGATCAAGGCGATTAAGAAGCAGATTGCAGAAGCCATGTCGATTTTGCAGCTTGATGAGCTGAAGTGTCGTAAGCGTGTGCTCCGTCGTTTCGGATTTATCAACGAAGCCGAAGTTGTGCAGTTGAAGGCTCGTGTTGCTTGTGAGATTAGCACAGGTGACGAGCTCATGCTGAGCGAGTTGCTGTTTAATGGTTTCTTCAACAACTTGACTGCTGAGCAAATCGCTTCTGTCATGAGTTGTTTCGTGTTTGAAGAAAAGGTCAAGGAAGCCCCTGCTTTGGCCAAGGATGAGTTGGCGAAGCCACTGAAAGATATCCAATCACAGGCCCGCATAATCGCCAAGGTGTCTCAGGAGTCTAAGATGGCCGTGAATGAGGATGAGTACGTTCAGAGCTTCCACTGGGAGTTGATGGAGGTGATCTATGAGTGGACCCAGGGCAAGTCTTTTGCAGATATCTGGTAAGCATCGCCCGCCCCACCATATATTAGCATTTTGCTAACACTATCCTAGTAAAATGACCGATGTCTACGAAGGTAGCTTGATCCGTGTCTTCCGCCGGTTGGAAGAGTGTTTGCGGCAGATGGCGCAAGCTGCCAAGGTGATGGGCAGCGAGGACCTGGAGAGCAAGTTCGAGGAGGCCCTGGGCAAGGTCCGCCGCGATATTGTTGCTGCCCAGTCCCTGTACTTGTAGATACGATATCCCTCTTTATGATCGCTTGAGTTTAAAAAAAACTTGATTACCCACAACGTTTACCTTTTCCTCAATTCGTAGAATGTAGATAGTAGATGATGCGGGTATTTGTACGGCCTCCGAAAGCAGTGGAGTAGCTTTGTGACACCATTGATGAAACCAAAAAGAAACGTTTGAAGGCATTGGATTTTGCAAAATTTTTCTCAAGACTTTTATAAAAGCACGAAATAAAAGGTACTCTCCAATCCATGTCAGACCTCTTTTGAGGGCACAGATCTTCAAAAGCTGCGCAAAGGGAGTGCGTTGCCACCTGCAACGCCTACTTTTTCTCCACCGCTACCTTTCCCGACCTTCTTCTCCCCACTTCAAACTCCTTTATCCTCTTCATCTTCAAGCTTTCTTACTCCTGTTATCTTTCACTCTTTTGGATTTCCGAGCCCTTTGGACTATCACATTTCATCTTCGCCATCCGGCTGTCACCATGAATAGCTTGGTGGCCACACCTCCTGTTCCGCCTCACTTCTACGAGAACTCCCGATTCTCTCCCTCCCGTATGAGTAAGACATCCCTTTCCCGGACACTAAGATATTTTCTTCTTTCGGTCCTGAGGTGGTTCTCTTTGATGCATTTGTGTACTAACAGTATGAGCCAGTGTCTACACCTTCGTCGTCTTATGCCAGCCGTAAGCGGAAAGCCGACGACGACACTGATCATGATGGACGCATGTCTGCGTCGCCCACAAATTCTCCCGCCTTCACTCCTCGACAACTTCCACACAGCCGTAACATCAAACGTTCCCGACCGAACGTTTCAGGCCGACCTCTATCTTTGCCTCGTCTGCTAGAGACACTCGACACAGATGCCTTGCGGACGGTTGTACGGACCATGTGCGAGCGTCACCCTCAACTCGCTGACGAGGTTGTGCACACATCCCCACGTCCGAATGTATCCTCGACACTTCAAGTCCTTCGAAACTATCAGGCTGCCCTTCAGTCGTCGTTCCCGTTGGGTGGCAACACCGAATCGGACTATGCCTACAACCGAGTCAGACAGCCGCTCACCAACCTTCTTGACGCCTTAAGTGATTTCACCCCCAATTTTCTTCCTCCAAATGAATCCCAAGCATCTACATCCTTGAGCTACCTAGATGGGGCAACCGACATCATTCATGCCTTGCCTCGCTGGAGCACGCCACAAAACAACCTCGAACGAGATTCAGCTTACGACGAGATGTGCAAGGCATGGATTCTGGTCATCCGGGAAGCTGCAAAAAGAGGAGGTGGCATCCAGTTGCAGTACGGAGGATGGGATCAAAAGCTGGCCAAGCACAACCAAACCTCTGGAGGAAAGTTACAGGGAGCTGTCAACGAGCTGGGCTTCAGCTTGGGATGGATGGGTGGATCCGATACACCATCCCACGGAGCTAGCAATGACATGGGCTCCATACGGGATCAGCTCTTCTCCGGAACTTACGGGCTGGGAACACCAGTCAAGGTCGGACCTTGGTGATCATCACGTCACTCCGATTTTCTTCATGAAAGACCACCATTAAATTTACACGGCTCTTGCGTGTCGGCCTCACGTCCCCCCATTCATGCCGGCTCTCATTTGAGCTTGACCCACGGTCCATACCCCTTTGACCGCGCAATTTTCGACGTATGTCACGATCACGATACCTGCTGCATGACCCTAGAATCGACATGGTCAGATGGCGTTATAGTACTCAAGGCGGATAACCCTACAGCCTTTCTTTTTCGGTTGGGGATTCGGAAGATGAATGCTGTTGTAGCTTGTTCGATTTCAAATCTTTCAACGAACTCATTCAGACATTATACCTTTCGTTTTCTTCCTTGCTTTGCTCATTTGTCGTACTCAGAATGATGCATTGTCTTTCCTTTCTCTTTCCTTACATCTGTGTACTTCATTCCAACTCTGATACTCTCTTTGTTAATCTACTAGCGCCCTGGTGCCGCATAAATTTCTCAATCTCATATCATTCAAGTTACATTGTTTTATCTTCTCCTCGATCTCTTTTGCTGTTGTGAGTTGTCTTTTCCTGTTTCGCTTTTAGAACTCGGCTCCAATCTTTCTACTGCTTGTGTCATTCTTTCTCTCGCACATTCGAATGATGCGCGTTCGAGCGACAACGTCTTTCTTGGGACATTGAACCCAATCCTTGTGCTCTTTAGCTTTGAAAAAATGGTAGTCTGATCCTGTTCTACACATTAGAAGAGGACTACTCGCCATCCAACTCGGTCTGCAACATGCGGTCTGGTCCAGTCATTTCACGCAACATACTCTTGAGACGTTGTAGGTGGATAGAGCTTTTTTTTCACGCTAGCTTTTTTTCACTTGAATCCCATCAAAACTGGTAGAGCCTTTGATCATCCATCAAGTAGAGAATTGTAGGAACCGGGCGATTCCCCTATTCTGATGGGGCTTTTGCTTGGTTATGTATAACCAGCTTCATAGATGCTCCAAGCAAAGCTGATTGATAACGACCAAGAGAGCAAGCAAATCAAAACAAATGTAGAGACAACCCCCAACCAAGAACGTATCTCAAAACAATTCACAACTCATAAGACCACCCGCTTCATCAAACGAAACAACCACCAAGCATCCTCCCACCCACCCTGACTCCCAGGCTTCTCAATAGGATCAGAAATGCCAATAGAACTCTCACCATCCGACAAATACCCATCCCCAACCGACCCAAGCGAAATTGTATCATCAGCACGCCCATCCACCAAGTCAGATTCCTCGAATGTAACAGTAGTAGTAGTAGTATCCGCCGTGCCAATATGCGAAGCAGCCGTCGCAGCCGGAACACCCGCAGGCCACTCATCAATCCCGAAAAGCGTCCACGCAACCAACCGGTCAATCCAAGAGCCGAGCCCGAACCCGTGCTCACGCGTCAGTTGCTGCAGATCCGCTTCATCAAAGTCATCCGGCGTCTCGTCAGAGTCGAATGAGCACTCAGACAAAGCCTCTTCTTCATCCGAGCGCGCCCTATCCCAGTACACAGAGTCTTCATCCGGAGATCGATGCTGTAGAGACGCCATCTCGGCGCGGATGCGCGCATCTACGAAGTCTGGCACTAGAGGACTACGACCGCGCGCTTCGGAACTCGCGGTGCGTGTCGCGGTGCCTGTATCCATGCCAGAGCGTACGGATACCCTCTCTGCTGGCGTCGAGGATGTAGATGATGCAGCTGGGAGCGCGGTCATGGTTAGATGGACTCTGCTGCCCCGTCGGCTGCTGCGTCTGCTACCGGAACGAGAGAGGGCGCCTGTTCCTGGTGTTGAAGCTCCAGAGCGGGAAATGCGTGACGAGGCGCCTGATTTGGTGCGGTGGTGGTGGCGGTTAGTTGATGTTTCGTTGAAGGGAGAATCCGGCACGAGGCTTGTTGAGGTCTCCCGCTTGGAGAGCCAGCTTTGGCCTTTTTCTTCGCGGGTTGATGACGCTAGTGCGATGCCTGCACGGAACACCCACTCTGCGTCGGATTTGGATTTCGGCGTGGTGTCTGGAAGGGGGCGTCGTCCTTGCAATTGTGAGATGCCAGACTGTTTCCTGTGCGGAGTTGAGATGTGGTGGAGGGTATGGCCTAAGTCCCGGTTGTGCAGGTTTGTATCGCTTGATAGACCTGTCCTTGTAGAGCTTTTGCTGCGCGTGTGGCGGCTTCGCGAGTTGCTACGTGAGTGGGCAAGGATCGGCGGCGTGCTTGGGACTGAGACGCTGGCTAAATAGGATGATGCTGGGGGTGTGCGGGTGCCACTAGCTGCAGTTTCATCGTCGCGGTAGTTGAAGTAATCAGTTTGATCGGTGTCATCGTCAATGGGAAATCGTGGGTTTAGGGGTGCTAGAGAGATGTGGCGGAGGGATGGGTATGAGCGACGGGACTGGAAGCCCCCAGAGGTGGTGTTGAACTATATAAGCCATTTTCAATCCCGATTCGGTTGCTTGATTCAAATTTTTGTCCAGGTCAAGATGTAGTATTTACCTCCATTATGGGATTCCAGTTGAAACCTCAAACCAAGTCAGGGAAGAGATCAAGATGGAAATGCGGAATTGCTGCACGTGCGGTTGGCATGTGAAAAGGATCGGCCCCGGCAATTGTGTTGTAATTACCATGCCCAATGATACAAAATTAAATCACGAGATTTGAGATAGATTGCGTGGAATAATGCATGGAATAGTGTTGAGTGGAAATTATAAGCGTGAGATGGAATGACCGACAGATGACGGATCCATAGAAATCGGCCTGCGAACCAGTTGTACCCGTGACCTCCAATTATTCTAGAACAAGAGACTCCATAATTCACTTCATACGTTCCATCAAGGCATCCGGGTTGAAGTTGTGGATCATCTGGTCGGGAGAGTCTGAGCTGGCCAACTTGCCAGCTTCGTAGCTGGTCTTTGAAATCCTGTCAGGATAATGCCAGCATCCTTCTGTCCACTATTCATGTCATGCCACTTTTTGATCGGGTCACGCATGTACAACGCCTATTAAAGCATCTGGCCATCCTCAGAGCTCTTGAAAAAACGTGTAATGCTGTGCTGCACCTCCTAGCACTAGTCACGGACGTGCTCCTAAAGAATGTCAATTATAGAGCGGGATATTCAGATCTCAGAGTCTTATGCCTCAAGCGAGTCAGACATCATCCGGTGACGGCAGCACGGTAGGTCACCTTCTCCTAGTTACCGATAGGCAAGATCAGGACATGTCGCTTGGGTCCATGGAAGTCTACAAACTTGTGCAGCAGCTACATCATCTGAGCGAATAGGTTTATGTAATCGACGAATCTATGATAAACCAGCTGGCCAGAACATTTTGCGGTCGTCTTCTAGGCCATACCCCGGGGCCAATTTGACTTGATACCATCATAGCCGACCACTATGTCTGTCAAATGTAGATGTTATGTACCTAAATTTCTTTGGGTAGACCTGGAGATTTTAGATAGCTAAAAAGAACTGGCAAATTTTATATACAATATACAACATACATTGTAGTCAATCCGGATGATCCACATCAGAACAAAATAAAGTGTCATGTCTCAGAATCGGAAGCCCCGCCATTTTAGATAAGCCACATCCGAAAACCGCAAAGCTGTCAGTTCATCTTTTGATTGGCTCACCGGCAACCGAGAACCCTCGGCGTTCCAAGGTTGGGTTGACTCCGCAATATCAAATCATCATCCCTATCATTGGCCGGGTAAAGGTATTTCTATAGACTCCGTATTTTAACCGGTTTTACTCCACAATTTTTCCTTTGTTCACAACGAAGCCTTCCAACGCAGCAATGGCCGCCCACAAACGATTTTCGGCTTCAGGGAAGACTAGAGAGCGGGGGCTGTAGAAGACCTCGTCATTCACTTCCTCGGGGTGGCGGGGCAGGCAGTGCATGAACTTCCAGCCTTCCTTAGCGCCACCGCGCTTAGCCAAATCAGCAGTGATTTGGAAGCCCTCAAAGGCCTTCATACGCTTCTTGGTTTCCTCCTCCTGGCCCATGGAGACCCAGGTATCCGTCACTAGGATGTCGGCGTTCTTCACGGCTTCCTCCGGAACATTGGTCTGGGTGAGTTTGCCGGGCTTAGTGACACCCTCGCCAGCACGCTGGATAATTTCAATCATATGGGCAGGGATCTCATAACCCTTAGGAGTAGCAACAGCCATGTCTACTCCCATCTTAGTAGCGCCAATGGCCAGATCGAACAGAACGTTGTTCGCATCACCAACCCAAGCAATCTTAAGACCCTCCAGACCCAGGCTGGAGAGCTTGTGCGCCTGAGCTGGGAAAGACTCGTAGATTGTCAAGAAGTCGGCGATAATCTGGAGCGGGTGGAAGGAGTCACACAGCGCATTGATCACAGGCACGGTGGAGTGCTGTGCTAAACCTGCAACGTCCTCGTGCTTGGCAACACGCGCAACGATACAAGAAACCATAGACGAAATCACAACGGAGGTATCGTATAGAGACTCGTTGACACCGAGCTGGATGTCATCCTTTCCGAGGAACATGGGGTGGCCACCCATCTGAACAGTGGCGGCTTCGGTGGATACACGGGTACGAGTGCTGCGCTTGTTGAACATCATGGCCACGGTCTTGCCAGAAAGGGATCCCAGTAGGTTTTCCGGGATGGCTCCAGACTTGATGGAACGCTTGTGCGAGGCAGCGTTGCGGACCAGGGTGGCGAATTCCGTAGGGGTCAGATCTGCGATGGAGAGAAGGTGACGAGGGGCGAAGGGGGAGGTGGGAGGTAAAGTCGGTGTCTGGTGGGCAAATCGTCGGATTCCATTAGCCTGGAGTGTTCGACGCAAAGATGAGGTGGAGCCGGCCAATTGGTTTACACTTTGGGCGCCATAGCGGGCGGCAGCTGTGAGACCACTAGCCATGATGATCTGGGGGGTTATTGGGTAGGAATTAGAGTGTTGTGGGAAAGTGCAAGTGAAAAGAGGAACGGAGGAATCCTAAAGTGAAGAAACCTTGGAGTGACTCAGTAAATTAGTCTAGTGGATGTGCGAGGGCCTTGTCGCCCAATAATTCAGGTGCCAAGGTGTCGATCTCTCCACAGTTCCAAGGTTCCGTTATCATCGGCTTATCGTCATCGAGGGCAAGGTTACGTCTTGCCTCTCTCTTTCTCTCTCTCTTTCTCTCTCTCTATCTCTCTCCATCTCTCTCTCTCTCTCTCTCTCTTGCTCTGTGTTGTGTATTTTGGATTCATCCTTTTGATTTCAATGCTATTCACTCCAGAGACTACGATTTTCTGTGATTTTCCATACGTTTAGGGCAATAATGGCTGACGAGGCAAGGCCTGTGCTAGATGCGCAGTTTGGCTCCGGGGGAGCATCCGATAGCCAGCCTAGGCTATCACATCTATTATCAACAGACTCATCACAAGTTTTGCACCACTCTGCAGATAAATCGAAGGGTAAACTGGAGCAAAGAATATCCCAACCTCATTCAGGTGGGGCTGCGATGTCAGATGCGGCGAACCGGGCTCTGTTGGATGAGCAGTCCAGCCCTATTGAACGGTCCCCAGAAAGAACCTCCGCCAACCAGCATAGTCCATCATTTGAATTCTCATCAGAATCAACGCCTTTATTACACCGCCGTGAAGGTGACTTGATTTACGGGACCGAGCAAGGACTATCGCGATCCTCTTCATTCGCATCACAGAACACGCCCGAAGATGGCACCAGGAAGAAGCGGAGTCATGTACCATGGCCCACTGTTATCTCTCTCTCTGTTTTAACGCTCAGTGTTTTGGTGATACTGGTACTTGCGTTTGCTGCTCCGGCGGCGGTTAAAGAATATGCGCAACAAGCCGCCATCTTCAAACCGACAGCGGTATCAATCGATTCTACAACACCCGACGGCGTTCGGGCCCGAATTCAGGGTGATTTCGTCATGGTCTCAGACCGTGTGAAGAATAGGTCGGTACGAGGCATTGGCCGATTGGCGACGTGGATTGCCAAGGAAGTTGAGACTGGCCCATCGAACGTTGAAGTTTATCTCCCAGAATATGGGAATGTGCTTGTTGGAAACGCAGCGCTGCCTTCCATAAAATTGAACATTCGCAACGGTCATCATACCAATGTCGACTTCCTCACCGATCTAGAGGCTGGTGATGTTCGAGGAATCCACGCGATAGCTATTGACTGGATTGAGGGAAGATTGGGTCGCCTCAATGTGAAGGGCAAGGCGACATTGCAACTCAAATCAGGGTTGTTCGCTTTAGGAACTCAAGTTCTGACGGACAACATCATCATCGAAGGTACAGATAGTGCGTTCGGTCGTTTTGGGTACTGAAACATACGCTGACCCCTTTTCAGAACATGATTTCCCTGCTCTGCCAACAATCAACCTTCTCAAGCTAAATGTCCACGATGCAAATAATGGTGCCATGGCAGTGGAAGTCTTGCTTTCGTCTTTGATTGATTCCCCCGTCGCTCTCACTGTTCCTGCCCTCGGCTTTGACATTCTGGTGCCCAACTGTTCACCGGGAGATCCATATATTTTGGTCGCCGATGCGAAAACAAGAGTAATGCAAGTTTTCCCTGGCCAAGAAATTGCAGTCGGTGTTGATGGTCTCATCAAACAGCTCCCCGATGAATTGACCTCTACCTGCCCAGGACGGGAGAGTTCTCCTTTGGATCTTTTGGTTTCAAGCTTTATGCAAGGTCTCGAGATGACTATCTACGTTCGTGGTTCCGATGCACCATTGCCCAATACACCAGCATGGCTTGTCGATCTACTGCGCAGCGTGACTGTGCCTCTTCCATTTACGGGGCACGCGTTGGACAACCTCGTGAAGAACTTTACCATGTCCGATACACATTTCTCCCTTCCTAACCCTTTCGCAGAGCCTGATTCTCCAGACTCGCAACCCACTGTTTCTGCTCTAGTGAATGTTCTCATTGCCTTACCAGAGGAGATGAATTTTCAAGTAGAAGTCCCGAAAGTTCGTGCCCTTGCAGATGTCTACTACAAGGAAGAGAAGTTTGGCGTCTTGAATATCAGCCACTGGCAAGACGCCAACTCCACATTGGTGGAAGATCAAGATGGCTCGTCTGCACTCCTTGTAGAGTTTGCAATAAAGGAAGCACCATTACAAGTCACAGATGACGGAATTTTGGCAGAGGTTATACAAGCGATGCTTTTCGGTAGCGATGCAGTCATACTGCGGGTTGCTGCCACCGTAGACACAAAGGTCTCAACTGGTTTGGGCCGCTTCGCCGTGCGAGGGATTCCTGCGGAAGGGATTGTACCCGTGAAGAGTATGTTTTCATGAATTAGAAGATCTTAGCACAAATTAAGAATATTTCGGCAATTGACTAAATCATAGCTTCTATCGGCAACTCACTTGACCAAATCAATCCACGCGTTGTCTCATTACACCTGGGAAACACGACTCAATCGTCAATGCTGGTGCATACGCAGGCGAACTTTACTAATCCCACCAACTACTCGGCTACAGTTCCATTTGTTGACCTTCTCGTACTCTACAATGACACTTCCGTAGCCCATATCACCGCTCACAATATCTCTGTTGGGCCTGGCAACAACAGTTACGTGCCTATCGACTTGTTTTGGTGCCCGCTGGACGCAGCTGGGGTAGATGGTGTTGAGGCAGGACGGGCGTTGCTGTCATCCTATATATCTGGTGAGTTCCTTCTAGATGGCAAGAATCCAACTGGTAGATTATGCTGATGCTTTCACTCAGGCTTTAACACAACAGTCACCCTCAAAAGCTATCGGAACACTATTCCATCTCTACCAGACCTTGGCGAAGTGTTCTCAGCCCTCAACATCACTGTTTCTGTCCCTCGTCTGGCTATTCCGGGATCCCCAGGTAGTGATGATGGGGAGCAGAAGCCTCATTTTATCCATGATGCTACGGTGCGTACACTTTTCTCTCTAACCATGTTTCACACAGAGACCAGAAGGAAAGACTTCCTACCAACACTCACCATTATAGTTCTACCTCTGGTCTTCCACCGCAGACTTCATTCTCTCCTCGCCTCTAACAGAGAACAACATCCTAATCACCTCAATCGACGCAAGGGCTTTCTATGAGAATGAAGAGCCAATAGGCCGAATCAATAGCCGTGAACCCTTCGAAGTACCGCCTGGTACCTCCAGGAGCCCACGATTGCCAGTCGATCTTGACATGGGTGGGGTTGGATACGACGCTCTGCGCAAGGCACTCGGTCAGTCGTTGGAGATGGATGCTGTCGCTAAAGTTGGAGTGCTGATTGGGAACTATGCGGATGTCATTCTCTACCATGGGAAAGGCATGGCAGCTAAAGTGAGGATTTAGAGTTTTGAATGGGTGTTGAGGTAGCAAAGCTGCCATGTTCTGTATATTGGAGATTATGGTAATGGCCTTGGGTTGTACTAATTGCTGCTGGATCGGCGATGCCCGGATGCCTACAATGTCTTGATGACTGATGCATGTGGGACTTGCTCGATTGAATCAACGACAAAGGCCTTCACTCTTTCCATCCAGGTAGCATTTGACTGAACAGGTAATGCCTTCTAGATGCTATCTTGAGTGTTAAAGCAAAGGGGTTGCCGCAAGTAGCATGCAGTGAATGAGCTCCTCTGCCGACCTTTTGCTAGAGTCCCACATAAGAATGTGACGGTAACAAGCTGTAGTTACAATGCAGAATGGACCCTTTTGATACTTTGTATGCATACGCATGCTAGTGAGCTCAATGGATGTCATAAGAACATCTTGTTCATTGTAGGAAATTGGAAGAGACTACTCTCCGATGGATACTTGCAGTTTTATATTGCTCCCTGTCTTGATGTTGTCAACCTAGTAACACCATTGACTGCAAGTTGGTACACCAAGAAACTTTCATTAAATACCATTAGTGCCATGCTAGAAATGTCTATTTCTTGACATTCAATTCTTGGGGTGTTGATGGGAGCATACGTTGTAGGGGAGGATGTACTATTTCTGATCTAGGAAACGCCACAGCAGACACACGGAACATGTCTAAACAACCTTACACCGCCACTTGAGGTATCATTGCATTGTGTTTGAAAAAGCAAGGAACATGGAAAGATGCGAGGAAAACATTCTTAATCATTTTACACACAATAGCTAAGCAGTTTACTTAAAAATTAGGTCAACTCCACGGGAAAGCCAGATGATACACAAAGCTAAGAGACCAAACCAATCCTATTCGGGTATGTAAGTTTTTGAAATGGAGATTCGACATGTGGCTTCTTAGCCAGGGGGCAGGGTGCTGGCGTCGACAACGTCGGCAGCATCCTTCTCGATCTCCTCGCTGGGCTCACCCAGAGGAGAACGGGGAAGGGCCATCAGACCGGTCCGGGTGGATTCGAGAATACCGAAGGGACCGATCAGCTTGAGGAAAGAGTCGATACGGAAAGGCTTGGCAGAGCTGTAGAAGGCCGAATAAGTCAATTGTGGTCAAAAAAGCATGAGTCAGAGAGAATACTTACACCTCGACAATGCAGTTGTTAGTGCTAATATCCAGAATCTTGCCACCGAACTGGTGAGTCAGGCGGGTAATGGCATCCAAGTGCTCGTGCTTGTGACGCAGAGCCTGACTCTGGGGAAGGTGACGGGGGTGGTATTGCTGGGCAGTGTGGTCAAGGCTGTGGTGCTTATGGTCCAGGGAGTCTGGCGAGGTGGTGATCTCGCGGTGGTGCTGGAGAAGCTCCTCGAAAAACTCAGGACCAAGGATAGAGACCTTAGCCAGAAGAAGCTCACGCTGCACAAGAGCGGAGTCGGTGTAGTCCAACACAGCCCAGACGGGGACAAGGTCGTCCAGCTGGCGCCGAGCCTGCTCGACAACACCATCCTGGCCCTGTAGCACGATGGTCATGCGCGAGAGATCCTCAACCTCGGTGTTGCACACCACCAGACTGTCAATGTTGAAGCCGCGGGCGGCCAAGATACCTGACACACGGGACAACACACCGGGCTCGTTCTGCACGAGGCAGTTCAGGATGTGCCGCTTGGGTGGGTTGGATGGCGTCACGGGAGTCTCATAGAGAATTGAGGAGACAGCAGTCGGAGCATCCCATTGAGGGGAAGCATCGGAGACTGGCAAAGGTAGAGGAGAGCGACGGTGCAACGCCTTGTAAGCAAGAGCTGAAGTTGAGCTCGACGATGCACGAATAGAGGTAAATTGAGGAAGCGCAGCCGCACGGTACCGGGCACTAGCGGCAGCAGATGACAGCTGCGACGCTGACCCCAGAGATAGCGTCAATGGGCGCCTGAAAGCCATGAGGAATTCAAGTAATGTGAAAAGGTTGTACGATGATTCACTCCAGATTCGCCCCGGGGATATTCTCTTTACTCGGCCGATCTCGGCGAGCGCCCGCTGACTCAGAGCTTGCTAGACTTAATAAGGCTTAGTGCGTCTGCACAACCACGTGATTTATGACACGTGACTTTCGTTCTTCAACATGGCCAAAAGGGATTGCCAGGAAATCCGGATCAGTTCTTGGAAATGAGGAAGATACATAATTCCGAGCTCTCATCATCACCTGGAGCTTTTCAATTCAATTAAAATCTCCTCAGATTTGTCTTGGGTGGTTTTGTTTATTGGCTGCTCAGCCTCGGCCTCTTAAAACTCCTTCCCGCAATCGATCTGGGACCCTTTGAGCTTCTTCTCCCCGACCTCTCCTCTCCTCTTTTCCACTTTACCCCACCTTTCACCATGGCGGACGATGAGCACCGAGTTAAGCGGTCTCGTTTTGACCAAACTGAGGCTGAGCCTCGGCGATCCCGCTTTGACCGACGCTCTCGATCCCCGTCTAACAGACAGTCAGAGTCGGCCCGCACTCGCAGCCCGCTGAGTCGCAGCCCTGGCGCAGAGACTCCAGCGAAGCCATCTGCAGTAGATCCGGCCGCCGCCGCAGGTGCGTTACTCTTGGGCTCATCTACAGTCATAATTGAGACCATCAGGCTAATCAATGTGGTCTTTATAGCAGCAGCAGCAGCCAAGATCAATGCGCAGCTCCAGGCGAAAAAGGGCATTCAACACGTTGATGTCCCTCCTATCCGTTCTGTGAATTTTACCCTCACCTCGATTAGTTACAACCAACTTCTAACATTGTCGGACAGGCCGACAACGCGACAGAGAATTCCCAGTCGCCCGCCGCCGAGGGCGCCGCGAAACTGAACGCCGAAATCTATGTCGCAGATGGAGACTACATCAAAGATATTGAGATCAACGATCTGCGCAATCGCTACACTCTGACGAAGGGATCTACTCAGAAGATGGTAATAATCCCCTTTGTCACTTGCTGATATTCCAGTCACGTTCCTCGTAGACGGGGTGCCCTGAATTTCGCTCTCTCGTCGTTCTGCTCTCTTCTTTCGGACTGGATGAAGCTTACCCTTCATTGAAAAATAGCATCCAATCCACCCTCTGTTGCATCTGCTGACCTCCGCTGCGTGAATTTTAGATTCAAGATGAAACCGGCGCCGGTACGACTTCCTTTTTGTTATTTTTAACTTTAGGCAAAGAATGTCTCGCTCATTTTTTTCTCTCTCTCAAGATGTGACAACCCGAGGCAATTATTACCCCGACAAGAACATGGCGACTGCTGCAGTAAGGAAACCCCTCCGACGACTGGCGAGATTAAGTGCTGATAATTCCGAATCAGAGCCCTCCCCTTTACCTTCATGTGACCAGCACCAATAAGGAGGGTTTAGAGAAAGCAGTGGCTATGATTAATGACCTGATGCAAAAAGAACTCCCGAACCTGGTTGATGAGCGACGTTTCCGCCGCCGTGAACCCGAGCAACAGGTGGAGCGGGATGAGTATGGCCGTGTATGTGATTGTTCTTTCCCCCTTTTAAATTCTCAACTTGGCTAATTTCACACAGCGCAAATGGCCGGATGAGCGCATCCCCATCGATCTTGAGCCGATTCCTGGTTTCAACCTACGTGCTCAAGTCGTTGGACAGGGCGGTGCCTATGTGAAGCACATCCAACAAAAGACTCGTTGCCGTGTTCAGATCAAGGGCCGCGGCTCTGGCTTCATTGAATCGAGCACTGGTCGTGAAAGTGACGAGGCGATGTTCCTCCATGTGGCGTGAGTTGTCATCTATTTTCGTTCTGACTTTCTTTCTCCATTGCTTTTTGCCTCGATCATTTCTGTCACACTGATGAGCTTCCACTAACCAATATTTCAAGTGGCCCTGACGCCAACGATGTTCAGCAAGCAAAGGAGCTTTGCGAGGACCTTCTAACCAATGTCAAGGAACAATACCAGCGTTTCAAGGAGAACCCACCTCAGCATAACTACGGCGGATACCGCGGTGGTGATCGTGGAGATCGTGGAGATCGCTACCAAGGTGGAGGTGGTGGCGGTAGTGGATACGGCGGTGGCTACAACAATCGCCAGCAGCATAATACTTCCTCTGCTAGCCCTGCAGGCCAGGCTACTGCTGCTGCTTCCCCGAGCGCTGCTGCCACCCCCACTGCCGCTGACTACAGTGCCCAGTACGCCCAATACTACGGCACTGCCGACCCATATGCTGCCTACGGTGGATACCAGAACTACGTCGCATACTACCAGTACTATCAGCAAATGGCTGCCGCCCAGCAGCAAGCAGATGGCAGTGCCCCGCCTTCCGCTCCGGCTAGCGAGGCTCCTCCTCCACCTCCCAGCTCGGGATCCCCGCCGCCTCCGCCTCCTGGTGCAGGTGGCAGCTACAACGCGGTACATTGTTCGCCTATCATCCATCATAGTTCTGAATGCTAACATATGAATTGCAGGTCCCCCCACCACCTGGCCTCTAAGCCAGAACCTGTTTTGGTGGGTTAATGTTGTGCCTTCCACTGTCCAGTCGCGTCCAGTCGCGCCCAGTCGCAGTCCATTTGATACACACAGCGAACAAAAGCATTTCCTGGTTGTTTGCAAAAATGAGGGTGATGCAGCGATTTTTCACCAATCTCTTTTTGATCTCCTTGTCTTTGCTAAAGAAATTCTAACAGTCTGCCTTGTTCTAACCTTTTGATTTACCTATTTCCATTCTCGGTAAACTTCATAATTGTGTTCATAATAAAAAGCTTATTGACAGTGGATTTCTGGCTGTGGCTAAACTCTTTAGAAGCGAGCACAGGTTGCCGAGCGACTCGGACGCTGGATTCCATGTCTTTGTCTCTGTGGTATATGTGAAGTACCAAAAAGCCCCCCCATTCCTGCGCCATTGATGCTTTCAGCGCCTCAGAAATGCAAGCAGAAAACTTAATGAAAGTAACAAGATGACAAGAAAATTTAAGGAAATGCTAAACCATGCAGCACAATCCAATAGAAGACGATATCCGTCAGTCAAAATCCGCGTATAGGAGAGCCATCTGGGTCTCAGATGCCATTTTCTCCCGTCTCTTCGCCAATCCGGCACGACCCTCTTTGCAAAAGTCGCAGGCGAAGTCGCAAGGGGATGAGCTTGTAACAGACACACCCTGCCTGGCCGGCAGTTGTGACCCCATCTCCTCTAACTCGAAATCACCAAAGAACTCCTTGATCAGTTCATGTCTGCACCTCCTAATACTCTCACAGTACCGAATGACTTTGCCAAAGCTTTCAAGCTTGGCCTCTCGATTTTCGGGGCCATTCGCACGGTGAGATTCCGTATCACGGTAGATCATCGTCTCTATGAAGCTCCTCTCTTGAATTCCGTAGTAGACAAGCGAAGCAGCGGCGCGGCCGTCTCGACCTGCACGGCCTGATTCTTGCACGAAGCTCTCAAAGCTTCGTGGTGGCGTCCAATGGACGACAAAACGGACATCTGGGTTATCAATGCCCATCCCGAAGGCGTTGGTTGCCACAATAATGGAGAAAACGGGTGTCTTCCCCCCATCAGCTGGCTGGACTGGCCGAGATGACTTCCACGTTGATTGTATGTGCGCGCGCTTGGTGGCTTCCACGCCAGCGTGGTATGCCACCGCCGTGACCATCTCGCCCGAGGAGGAGGATAGACGGCTGGCAAGATGCTCGGCCATAGCTCGGGTTCCTACGTATACGATTCCTGACATTGGATGGAGCAGTGCCACTTCGCTGCCAAGTCGGGCCTCTCGTCGGGTTTGGATGCCCTTAAGCCATCTGAGCAGATTTTGCAGCTGGCTGTCTTCTGCACTATTATTGTCACCAGCGAAGTCTGCAAGATACCGTACTTCGTAGTGAATGTTTGGCCGGTCAGACGGAGTATTGAACATGCGGAGGTTTTCAAGATTCAACCCTAATATGTTGATCATGTCCGAGCGAACTCGGGGCGTTGCAGTAGCTGTCAAGGCAGTTATTGGAACTGTTGGATGGACAAGGTTCTTTCTGAACCAGCCCAGCTCTTTGTAAGCTGGCCGGAAATCATGGCCCCATTCACTAATGCAATGCGCCTCATCAATGGCCAGGCGGACGAGCTGACCTTGCTTGTGAACTATGAGCAGGCGGCGGCGGAAGTTTTCGGTTAGGCACAACTCCGGCGTGACATAGAGCAGGCGTGTGCTTGGGTGACCGCAAAGCATGTCCTCGAAGACTCGTTGTCTCTCGTCATGCGTAGTATTAGAGTTGATGGTAGCAACTGAAACACCGAGAGCTTTCAAGGTGTTCACTTGATCTGTCTGTCAGGGATTAGTTGTTGGTTGCAAAATTTCCTGAATTAGACTCACCATCAAGGAGAGAAGTGGACAGACGACGACAGTCACTGGATAAATTGAAGTCAGACTATCCATCATTGAAAACAAGAGAAGTTGAAAACTCACAGCCCCAATCTTTGAGAACTGCGGGCAGCTGATAGCACAGGCTCTTTCCAAATGAAGTGCATGCTTGGAGGAAAACATCCCGTCCTTCTATGACCGACGCGATCACTTCTCGTTGAAGTGGACTATGAGGTGGAGTAAGTACACTGAGCCTCTTCTCTGGTTAATCAACTCACCGGAAATCATTCTTTTTGAAGGTATGTTTCAATACCCATCGCATGTTAGCTTTTTGGCGCGTCACTGCTGGGTTACCATCCATTTCTATTCATAGTAGAGATAAATAGTATGAAAATAGCAAGTGAAGCCGAAGAAGAATATAGGGTCTTCAACCGCGTCCCGAAACGCGGTGTCACGTGGCGACCCGCTGCTTCCCTTTTGGGATTGAGTGGACCAATTTGATTCACTTTTGTGCAAGAATGATGAGGATATAAGGAACTAGAAGGATGGAGACCTGGATAAAGTCTTCATGTAAAGTAATACATTTGCGCCAAAGACACGCTAGAAATCGCGGCGGTATATAAAATATCTATGTAGAAAATAATGTACAAGTGCTGGCTCCAAAATTCAGCTGCTTCCTCTTCATGTTCAGCGGCTGCGATGCGGATCCCTGGACATCTGTTTGTCAAGCTCTTCCTTGACAGCAAAAACATCAATCGCTTTGCGCTGCTGTGGATGCCAAAGCCGCTCAAGTTGCAACCAAACCTCGAGGACCTCTTTGGGGCCACAGCACGTTCCAAATGCCTGCAGGATAATGGTGATCATTCGACGTCCAACAAATAGACCATTTTCGAGACGCTGTTCGGGGTCCCAAAGTTCTTCTTGCTCCGCTTCGCCGGGAAATTGCAAACGAGGGTTGAAGACCTCATCTACATCAAGTTCCTCTATTTCCGTGGTTTCATCTTCGTTTTCATCCAGCTCAGGCTTCGCGTCTTGTTCATTGTCTTGCGAATCATCCATGGCAGAACCCTCTGCGGTTTTTTCAAATTCCCCTGGATAACCAACTGTGTCTTCTGTTGGCAAAGCCATGTACAGCCCGTTGGGAGAGTCGGTAACCGGTGGCTCCTCGACGTCGAGTGTCACGCTCTTAGCCAGTGGATTCTCCCACTTCATCTTTCGGTTGTTCAGATTCAACCCCCGGAGTCTTGCATTCGAGTCGCGCAAAGCCCGGATGTATGCATGCCATGTCAGCCGAAGGTTTTCCGCGCTCCATTGTTTTTTCCTCCGACCATGAAGAGCGAACCCTTCAAAGAGGAACAGATAGATTATAGCACGTGGTGGGACGACAAAGGTCTTCTCCATGTCACGCATGACAGCCATGAAGCTATCGAGCTGGCCAGTGTTGTAGGCGTAGTGTCGTAGGAAGATGTAAAAAGTTCGCGTATCGGGTGCGATGGAGAGAGAATCCTGGAGAGCACGGTGGTATTCCGGAAACTTCTCCTTGAGTGCTGATGACTTCTTCAATACGCGGCCCAACTTCCGGGATCTTTCCCGATATTGGGGCATGTCATAGCTCAGATTTGACCCGCCATCGTGGGATCCATCGTCCGAATGCAAAAGGCGTTTGTTGTTGCATGATTGTTTCTCCAGCATGCGTGCGTAGAGCTGCTCGGCAGTTTGGGTGTCGCCTGCCCGGAGGAAAGAGGCAATGAGACAGTTCATGACAACTGTGTCGACGATCTCGCCTGACTTCACAAAGTCGTCAAAAGTCTCTCGAATACCTTCAACATCGCGCATCATTCCAAAATAATAGATCTTAGAAGTCTTTCCACAGCGCGAAAAGCTCAGGCCCCGTTCAGTCATTTCCTCCTCCAGGCGATCGGCAACTTTGAATGCGCCAGCTTTGATTGCGATGTCAAATAGAATATTGAATACCACCTCGTCAGCCTTCACTCCAGCGATATGCTCCATCTTCTGCCACATGCCCACAGCTCGGATAAGATCCCGTTTCAATACCCTGCCATTGGCTCGGCCGGAAAGATGTATCGCAGAAGACCAAAGCGACCGAGATAGAGGCAGGCGAGCAGTTACCATGTCATCTACCAATGCAAGGTAGCGACGGGCATCTACCCATCGTCGATCTCGAGGATGTGCGAACAAACGCAAAAGAGCACCGCGTGTGCGTTTCGAAAGCAAAGCTACCCCCGGGGCAGGAATATCTCTGTATAATCGGAACAGGTATTGAGTGGACGGGTTTGGCTCTTCCCACAATGTTCTGACAAGCTTCTCAACAGAGTGGATTTCCATTTGATCGTGCGACTCGTCTTTGTAAGTCTTTGTGTAACGTGAGTATGGCACAACAGCATTCACTGCTTCTTCCCAGTTATAATCTCTCAATGACCTTTCGTACAGTTTTGAGGTAGATAGGTGTTTCTCCTTTTCGGGATGCAGCCATGACGGGAAGGATTGGCGGGGGTACCTGTCTGGCAATTTGAGATCGATGTCGGTTTTAGTGCGTTCTTTAATCTCTATTCTGCGGTCGAAATCGTATGTGAAATCAAATCTTTCACGGTGGGTTTGTGATTCAGCGTCCCCATTCGTTGCTGGCCACAATGGAATATAGTCGTTGTCTGTCTCCATCTCCTCCTGGGACTCGGTCTCAATATCATACTCCTCTTTATTTTCATCATTCGTACGTGCCAATCCGTTACTGATAAATCTCTTCGATTGCGACAGATAAAACCTTGAGCTTGAATACTCTGGTGGTCGCTGGGGTGGTAGCTGCCTGCGACTAGTGGTGCCTTTGCTCTGAAATTTTTGAAGATTATGATCTGAGGCACCCCAGGCTACAGTCGAAAACCCCCGACGATTTGGCGAGTGTTCGTGGCAGAAGCTTGCCAGAACCAGCGAGCCGACAAAAATATCTGCTATTGACGCGACGGATGGGCGAGGACGGCGGGGACAAAGTCTTCGAACCGAAGAGGTGTGAGAAGGGGGTTTCGAGGGAGGCATTGAGGTTTGTCGAAAGAGGGGAAGCTCGTCCAAGGCCTGCTTGGGGTGAATTCGCAGGCTTGGGGAGCTGGGGGACCTATTTGGATGAGGCATGAGATGACAGACATCGTGGCATTAGGTTGGCCGCATCCAAGAAAAAGCCCTTTGCCACTTGCACAAGAGAAAGCCGTCCACTTTCTGGGCACAAAGGGCAGACACGGGGGGAAAGGGTCAAGATGTGGAAGACGTAGGTGTGTTTTTCTGAAGATGAACGGCCCTGCACTTTCTGGCCTGGCGGAGTCCGACTCTCGACCAATCGGAGTCGCGCTTTGCCAATCCCATCTTTTTCACTCCCGCATCAACCACCTCGTCCCCCTTCAGCGCATACCTTGTCTTTTGATTTGCTGTCGCCTGTCGCGTTCTGATTCTTCTTTCATTCCAAGATATCTCAGCTACCGGTTGCGTCTGACTGCCATGGGCAAAATAAATCTCACAGCCCTTCGGGTTCGACAGACAGCACTTAGCCAATTCGCCAGTGGAAAGACCGGCAAATTGCCACAATGGGTCAGTGTCGTCGGCGAGATCCCTCCTGCTGAAACTCTCATCCGTACTCGCCCTCCCCAGCATGAGCTTGTCCAGCAGCGGTTGAAAACTGTCGCTGGGTCATCGAAGCCGCAGGTCGTCTTCCAGGTCCAAGAGAAGCGCAGAAAGCCCAAGAAGCCTAGTCGACTTTTCCAACCCGTCGAGCTCAAATATGAGGAAGATCAATTGCGAACTCAATTCTTCCGCGATCACCCCTGGGAACTTGCCCGGCCCCGTGTGCTTCTTGAGAGCACTGGCAAGGACTTTGAACACTATGATTGGAGCCGCATCCAACAGCCAGGGAAGCGGTTAGATGGTGAAAGGTGTGTTGCCAATTTTTCTACTTCCAATGCTATATTATGTTTCGCGAATGTTTCCCGATGCTAATGTGTTATTTTTCTGGTGCTAGTGTTGTCCAGCGCCAGCTGTGGCTTTTGAATAATGTCCCGGATATGAACAAGAGTGCTGCCTATGATATTGCTCGTCGAGAATTCTACAAACTTCGGTTGCAGGAGGACATTCAACGTCGGGTGGCTGCGGAAGAAGCCGCGGCATATGGCGCACAGTTCGGACCATCATACATGGATATTGGTATGAAAATGGAGAGCGAGCAGTACGACAAATGGGTTGTCTGGGCCCGAGAAACATCTCTAGTCCAGGATCAGCGAAAATCAGCTCTCAGCGGCGCACCAGATCTGGGAGAGACTACTGAGTCAAGTGAGCTCGAGGCCGAAGAAACGGAGGCGGTCACTCTGTAAGAGTCTGAGATGTTAAAAACCGGAGTGGGCTCGAAGGTCAATATGCTATGATTCTTTTCCCGGGGGGTTTCGATCCCCTAGTTTTTATGTTGATGGCCTATGTATATTATTTGATCTGTTCTGCTAGACGTTGTACTTCCCTAGCTCCATTTACGCGATAGCACATGCATTATTGGTCAATTCAGTTCCTGTTTTAGCACACAAATTGTAGATCCTAAGCTATCACCAAATCCTTGGTATTTCAAAATAGTGACGCAGGCGGAGATGATACGCAGAGATGCGGAGGTCCCGGTGCTTGGGCGTGTTTTTGTCCAATCAGAAGATATCCAGCCTCGCCCAACTTGAATGTCCTCAATTCCCTTTATTCCAAGGCCAAGTCTCGGTTTCGGTTTGGTTATTGGCGTCAGTCTTGCACTTGAAGAAGTTTGTTGCTTCAATAAAAGTATTCTTTGACCTGCAAGATCTTAGCCAATCTCTTTATCGCACCCGTGATTGTCAAGCTCCGTGAGAGCTTCATTGCACTATTTATTTCCTTGCGGTTTGAATAACTCTGCTCTGAACTCGACTACCTGTTACCCCGGCCGATTCGTCAGTTGACGATTCCGATCCCTCTTCCTCCACCCCGACTCCGCCCAACGACCGCTTCGAGCTCCGTTCCCCGTCCAACGTCGAGATATCCCGCCCCTCCGACTTTATCACAATCAACGATGCTTTGCACCGGTGCTCCAAGTGTGTTTATATGGTAATGGTCGCTGCATTTGGGAATTCTTTTGGGTTTTGGCTACATCAATTCATCAACTAAAGTGCAGCTTTGGGGCGTATTTGATCGAAAACAGTCGGGTTTTAATCAGCCATGGCATCCTCCATGATTCGGTCCGAGGAAACAATGCGTGGGCCGCGCTTGAGCCGCGGTGAAACAGATGAAGATGAAACGGAAAACGGAACGCTGGAGTCAGGTGGCTTCCTAGCGTCACAAAGCGATGACTTTCCGTACCCAGAAGAGGGAAGTCGACCAAACACTGCTTTGGGAGATGTCTCAGAGAGTACTAGCAAGCAACCGACTGGACCAAAAACGCTTAGCCCCGAGGAAACCATTGAGCTAGCACGAAACGCCGTCGAAAGTGGCATTCAAGACACCAAGCGTTCCCTGGCAGGCAGCGAGGCCGTCACAGATGTAGTCAAGCCCAAGCTGACTATTGACCTTGGCCATTCCCACATTGCCAGGATCCCTGAGCCAGTGGTTGATTTGATCAAAGATGAAGTCGAAAGGTACGTCGGAGCCTTGCTTTGAATTGTTATACTCAAGTCTTGCGTTGCCTGTTCATAGACTACGGCATCACTACTCTGAACTACACTAACTAAGAAATTAATAAAAAGGCTGTCTTTGTCGAACAACCAACTTTTCCATATCCCTTATCGTTTCGCAGAGTGCTCGCATCTACGGTATCTCAATATCAGAGCGAACAACTTCCGTGAATTCCCAAAAGGAGTATGTACAATCATAAATTTGGCTCGTACTTGCAACACGCTAATCCTGCTTGCTAGGTTTACAAACTACCATTGCTCGAGATTCTTGACTTGAGCCGAAACAAAATTAAGGAGCTACCAAATGAGATCAGCAAATTAAAATCATTGCGGGTTCTGTCGGTGATGCAAAATCGCCTCACTGACCTCCCAGTTGGCCTCTCCGAGATGCATAAGCTTCAAATTTTCAAGTGTATTGGGAATCCCCTGCGAAAGCCACTGCGTGATATTCTAGAGGAAACCGAGAATGACGCGACACAATCTGGGATGACTGACAACGAGAAAGAAGTTGCAGCCACGACCAAACTCAAGAGATTCCTCAAGAAAACACGACAACAGACGAGTACACCCGAGCCAGAAATCGTTGTTGACACAAGGTCTGTTTATCTTACAGTTTATGAGTGGACACAAGCTAACACTCGGTGTCAACGCAGTGATGGTGCTCTAGACATTAAGCCAGTACCAACACCAATACCCTCGAAGCGGAATTTGAGTGGCCGATTTCCAGTAATTCCCAGCACTGGCGATAGCTCAGCAAACTCATCTCGGTCTCCCTCGATATCACGGGCACCGCCAATCCCAATCAAATCACACTATCGAATGGCCTCTGGACAACAAGGCGCTACTTACCACCTGCCTGGTCTCCAAAGACCTGGTGTGGCGCCTTACTCTGTCAACGAGCGCAATCGAAGCAATAGCGAGGGCATAATTCAAGGATCTTCGGTTGCTCGTAGTAAAAGAATGGGATTGATCACTCGGAAGAATACCGATCTCGGTACCTTGGATGAAACGCGCCCATATCGAAACAGCCATCTACGGGGTCTCAGTCATGGATCGATGCTTCTACCGCGTCAGGCCGCGCCGCCAGTAGCCACGAATGACAATACTCCCCCAAGCCCTACCAGCCCAAGAGAGCGTCGATGGCCGCGAGATGGTTGGGTAAATCGGATGTCTAGCCTACCTGAACACAAAAGTGAGCGTGGATCCGATGAACCAATTATCAAGAGTGCAAAAGGTATTCTGTTTGCTCTTGCTCAAGTTCATTCTCATATTGATACATTGATAAACGTGATCAAGCATGATGATACCAGACGCCATAGCCTCGAGCTTGTCTTTTACAATGCTTCCTCGCATGTTGACCAACTCAACGAGGCTATCGAGAAAGCGTCAAATGCTTTGTGGCATGACTCAGAGTCAATCGCATCGGTCACAGAAACGGTCAAACGTGAGTGCGAGACGTGCATCTCCGCCTACATTCATGTCGGCACGCAGCTTCGCAACAACGTCGCCAAGATCGTTTCCAATGGCGATCCGCGCTATGTACGATCGCTGATGCTAACGATGTTTGGTAGCTTGGTGGAGCTACGGAATGCTTGCGCTATTCTCAATGTTCCGCTCCAAACTATTAACAAACGTGGCTCTGCTACAAAGCGCTTGGTTTGCCCGAGTAACCCCCTCCCCTCGGTCCCAGACCGATCTCAACCATCACTGGTCACTCCAACAAGAGATCCCATCCCACCCAATCGACGATTGCGAAGCGATACCACAATTCGACATCCTCAATACCCTATGACTATGATATCCAATCAGACCAGCATTAGCTCTCCTGGTTTCATCGCGTCCTACGCACGCAGCCGCTCAAGCAGCAGATCAAACGTGATCAATACATCTATGCCGCACTCGTTGGCAACCCCTCGCTCAGGCGAATCATTCCCTCCTATGCCTGTTCCTGGGGCTCCCCGGGTCAACACACTGACTGGACTAGACGAGAACGAAGAGGAGCGAATATTCGAAAAGATCTTCCACCAACTGACCGCTACATATCATGCCGCATACGGGGCACTCCCACTAGCCCGTCGGCAATTCATAAGGTGCCTAGAAGCTGCCCAAAGATCACGCGATTCAGAGGGAATCCAAATCCTCTGGAACAACCTCATCCGCCGATGCCAGTTTTGCTTGGAAGTTTCAGACGCCCTAGGGCAGCGTCTCTCGACTATGAAAATTAAAGAACCGGGCGGCGGACTTCGCAACCAACGCGAGTTCTGGCAGCTATGCAAATCATTTATGCAGTCATTTGTCGACCTAGTGAACGAGATGCGTGAGTTGAGAAGTATGCAGCTTCTACCTGCCGACGTCATCATCCTCCTACGCCCAGTTCAAAAGGCAAGCCGAGAAGCAGGCCGCTTGATCGAGGTATCTCCTTGGGCCTATCTTGCAGACCCGGATCGTCATCTCCCGCCTAGTAATTTGTACGGCCCTCCGCTACAGATCCCACACCTGCAACACCATCAGATATCCATCTCAACATCCGCACTCACCAACAATCCCTCTTTTCAATTCAACATGATGTCGCCCCCGCAATCGATTACCGTCCCTGCCACTCCGCTGAGCGCGGCCCTCGGACCTGCTGCGCAGGCTACTGTCCCGTCCACGCCGGCCAGTGCTTATAGTGACAAATTCTTCGAGGGCGATGTCTTCCAACGTGCAGACTCGCTTCTTTCGTCGAACCAAGCCCCATTTTTCCGTCGCTAAGCGTCTATGAAATATTTTTACACTTCATCTCAGAGAATTTTATTCTCTCTATGCGTCATGATTACCCCCCATGCTCATTCTTTTCTGCATCTTATGATTATGACTATGAGCAATCTATCGTGCAAGCCAGCAACGTTACATTGGTGGTCCCTTGTCATACCATCTCTGTCCTGGCACTCCGATCCTCTGTATTCTGTTTTCCACGATTTAGCGGGTTGATCTTTTTTGAAAGAACCGAGCTACGAGCAATCTATTGTGCATGCCATTGAATCTCTTTTGACCGTCAATCACACATGCAATTAAATAGTGCTCTATTTATTTCTTTTCTTCTATGCATTAGCGGGTTATAATCCCGTGAAAGAACCGGGCCTTTGTTACCATAAGTTTCAAATGAATTGACGTTCATTCACAGCTAAATTTCCCTTCATACATACACACTCGAGCCTTCGACTTGTTTGAGATTATGAAATCATCTAGTTATGCATCTACTACATGTCGTCGAGGTGAGCGATTGAAGATATGTGCGAAATTTCTATTATACAAAATAAGGTGTCCAGAACAACATGGCCAGATCACCCACAACTGTGTGAATCGCCTTTCACACAGTAGTTTCAGGATTCAGGAAGAAGGTCGACGACCAGAGGCTCCACTAGAGAGCCTTGAACTTCCCCAGGACTAGCAAAACACAAAAAGGTCAGTTCTGAGTACTACTATGCTAGCCATGGAGTCGATGGTTCACGGGTACAGAGTATACATACTTGCAGCATGAGCCAGCTCTGCCTGGGAATGTGCCAGGACATGGAGACTGATATCCTGGAGCTCGTAGAAGAGGTGATCTTTGTTTGAGGTGTAGTAAGATTTATCGTGGAGGCCTGCAGCTTCGGGCACCCTACACGCAATTTCAACCGTCAGTAACATGTACCCTTCGTCGATTGTGAAATCACCCCCTATCTGTGGGGTGAGGGTGATTCAAGGTGTCCAAACATACCACGTGATGAAGACGAGCTTGCTTCGCTGGCCATCGCCGGCAGGAGAGTCATAGGTGAAGTCTACGACAGCATATCGGGGAGTGTCATCCTTGAAGTGGGAGAGGAACTCGGCGTAGTCCTTGTATTTGCCGGACTCGGCGACGGTGATCTTTTTGTCGTGTGCGGAAGCGTTATAGATGACGTAATTGAGGTTGTCGGTGCCTTTGACCTCGTCAAATACTTCCTCGCATTCGGGGGTGATGGTTGCGAATCCTTTTGTCATGGTGAAAGATGTGAGATGTGAGGAAGAAGCAGAAGAAGAGAAAGAAGAAGGAAGAGGGAAGAATAGGGAAGAAAAGTAAAAGGCGAAGGTGTGGGCTGATACTTTGTAGGGAGATCACCTGGTTTACCCCACACTCTGCAAGTAGATCATGACGTATGAAAACAATTTAATTACTGGGACTCATTTTGACCTGAACTTCTTATACATCAGCCCTGGAGATTCACGAGAGTACAAATACCAAGCACTTCATCTCCTCAAGCCAAAAAGTCTCAACGATGTCCTGTCGGTACTGAAAGCCAGCGCGACCGCTGCACGCAGGAGAAATGAACCACAATCAGTACTGGAGGAGGGAGGAGGGAGGAGGGAGCGGGAAGCAGTTTATTATCCACAATGAATGCGCTAAAGATGCTACAGATGTCAGTAAATTCACGGAGAGAGTTGATTATGCGGTCTAGGATAACCCCTTTAGCCCAGTGTTGCCTTGGGCCTATATGCTTTTCCTGCTGCACTTGACCTTTTCTAGGATTGGAGGCTTTGCTGCCATCGTCGAAGGAGGGGAAAAGACCAGAGAATTTACCAACGTTGGATTCTTGAGGCATTAACGGAGTCGTGCATGGGAGAGCACTACTGGAACAGCAATTTCAGGGAATCGGAAGACGGCGGAGTTAAATATCTTGTCTGGTGCAATGTTAATACACAGAATAAGCGTATGGTACACCAGCGATGGCAGTGACAGTGTCGAAGGGAAAGATTTTGCTCCATAGCGAAGTAAATATGTCAATGCCGTTATGAATGCTATTGGCGCTATGCACAGATACTACTAGATTGGGATGCGGATGTCGACGCTAAAGGTGGAGAGTTTGGTATGATTCTAGAGGCTGCACAAGAGATTGGAAACAAGCCGGGAAGAAAGACGCTCCTACAAATAAAGGGCTATAGCAGCATATCGGTTCCATGTTCTAGATAGAAGTTTACACACTCAAATGTTGCGGTTGTGCTCGAAGTGTGTAGGCTTGATCTGTCAAGCATGTGGTCGCACAGAGCTTCCATCAGCAAGCGAATGCATCGTGGTGTATAACATCTCTTGTATTATTCAACGTCGTCAAGGGTCCATCTATTGGGAGATAATCTCAGTTTGCTATGTTTGTTGCGGCTATCAGGTGATAGCAGCCTTTCTCGGGTGAGTAGCCAATCGAACAGATTCAAGACTTTCATTTACTCGGAATATGACGAGGCTGTAGACAATTCTAAGCTTCTTGATAATCCGAGCGAATGTCTACGGAAAGATACATAGTCATTGCTGGGAAGCTAATTGGCGTGCACCTCCCACTTTCCGGGACACACCATAACTCAGGCTGGCTCATTCTGGTCCCGATTGACAGCTATTGGCTAATTCTAGGTATAAGTGACTTAATCCTTCTCTTGATATAAACAAGTTTCGTCATCTTCAATTTGTGATTCCCGTAATTATTGCACTATGGCGGAGATCTGGTAACATTGTGGCCTCCGTGGACAGGACATGGCATGCTGTGGAAACAACTCGATTTTAATATGAAAATTAATCTTAATGCTGCCTTTTTTTGAATTGAATATGACTTGATTAGGATATTCCTTGTAGTTGGGACATTAGATAAGAAACTTCGCCTGAAACGGTTGTTATGGTGAATCAGAATGGTGGTGTATACATCCACTTAGACAAAAACCATTGGAGTGATTTGTATAATTTTCTGATTACTTGCGAAAATAAAGGCAAGAGACAAAAAGACCCGTTTCAACACAGAGATCACAACGTTCTTGGTAATTTCCTACATGATGCAACCTTATTGTCGACATCGTGCGAAAGCCTTCCAGTATTGTCACTGTTACTAGTTCGACATGAATTTGTGATCAAATACTAACCAGACCATGGATTTGTTTAAAAAAAGAAAAGAATTTTAAAGGAATTACATATCATAAGCACCAATTTCCATAACCAAAGCCCAAGATACCCCAGCACCAACCCCGAAAGCCCCCATCATCAACCAGCTCTTGGGGCAACAACCATATCCCTCACAAAGGAAAACATCTCCCGTGGCTTGTTTACAAAAACACTGTGACCAGCCCCACGGAAGAAATGATAAGAGACACCACGCTCCATAGTCCAAGTACCCGCAGCAGTAGCAGTGGGAGTGGCCGCCGAGAGCGTGGTAGCCACGGATGTATGCTCTAACAGAAGCTGTTTGGTCGCCGATGGCGCAGCATTATCAGCAAAGAATGGCATCTTCGGCTTCTGCGCGAAGCCCTGCGCACCGCGCCACGTCATATTCTGCAACGACAATTCCGCGCCAAAGTGGTTGATCAACATATCCCACTCACCGGAGTAGATATGGAGTGAGACGTTGTGGTTGGTAACCAGGGACGGGAGGATGAAGTACTCTGGGGGCATGGGAGAGGGTACCGAAAGGAGCGTGCCTAGGATTGTGGAGTTACAGGCACTGTAGAGTCCGCTGTTATCAACATGGAGAGCGGCCTGGACATCTGCGCGGCTGAAGTACTCTGCCATTAGTGGAAGCTCCGAAACGGCGCTGCAGTCGTGGGAGATGTCGTAGATGTCGAAACATCCGCGGGTTGTGCGGTTGGTGGAGACGGCTGTTAGATAGTCACTTGCTGTAGAGAAGGCGGCGCAGGGACCGTAGCAGGTTGAGTTGAAAATTGAGGAGCGGACTTCCTCTGCGGTTGTGGGTGAGATGTCGCATGCAGCATTGACGGCATTCGTCAGGTCCCGACGCCGGTGATTGAAGTACTCTGGGTTTCCGGGAATATGGAATTTAGCTTGGGGAGGATATATATCGGATTTTGCGAGCACGTCGTTGAAGCCGCAGGTTTTGTCTGCTTCGTCAAAGACAGACAGGACGTCTTCAGGGATTTGAAGGAGGCCTAGCTGCGATCTGAGATATTTTCCCATTGCAACGGATGCCATGGCAGCTCCATTTCCCCAAGATCCATCACCGAGAGACATTGAACGGACGTTGAGAGGCAAGGAACTGTTGCCCTCGAGCAGCTCTGATGCAAAATAAGGTATGTATATTCCTGCATAAGACTCTCCCATCAGATGGATCTGTTTTGCCTTCAGATGCGGGAAGTATTCGAAGAAGCCACGCAGCCATTGCGTAAAGTCTGTCGTTACCCGGCCATTGTTCTTAACCGGGTAGGGGAAGCTGGCCGTGGAGTACCCAGTGCCAACGGGCTGATCCACGTAAAGCACATTACCCAGCTGCGTCCACGAGTGCGGATTGCGAACGAAGCGAGTTGAATTGCCATCGAAAGAAATAGGTCCATTCCCGGTCGTCAGACCTATCAAGGATGAGCAGCCAGGGCCGCCATTGAACCAAACTATACAACCTTGTTAGCAACCACCTCTGTATATTCTTTCCAAGTCAGACTGACTGATCAAATTGTCATCGTATGCCGGCTGCTCTGACTGGAATAGCCAAAAGAACATTTTGTTCCCATCCTCTGTCCCCGGAACCGGAAGGCGACCAGCCCAGCTGGGTGGTAGGTCCGATACGCCGGGCAAGGAATGCACTTCAAATCGTGCAGTATCATATGAACCAATTCCTCGCGAAAGAACAAAGCCAGGAGCTGCCCATAGGACATGAAAATAATAAAGCAATGCAGAGATGTTCATGATCGAAACTCGCCGTGCTTCGCACACGTATGATGATCTTTTTCTTTCCGGCAGGCACTCAAGATGATACTGCAAAGTAAAGATCTAAGATGCTCCTGCAGACAATTTTCCGCGCGGAAGTCAGGTTTCTTTTTATCTCTTTCTTTTCAGACATGGTGGTGGTTCATTGATCTATTGAGCGGGGAGTTGTTGAGCTAGATTTGGGTATCAATAAGGCCAGCCGGGTTTATTGGGTCCAAAGACATGGCCAGTGGAATTGGGAGCTCGGCGGGAGCTCATATCCGTCTATAAGCAGTGGATATTTCCTGAATCACAGTAGTTTTATTCAAGTGCCCGCTGACCGGGAAGATCAATTGGAAGCCAAGTGGTGAAGTAGGTAAGCAACCTAGACGGTTGTTTGGAGGGATGTAGGGCCTTATTTATCAGGCATCAAGGCACCCAGGCATGCAGACCCTAAAGCATTCCGATCTCGACGAGAGGGGCCCCGCTTCCTCTTTCCTCGAAGATAGTGTACTTCGTACTCTGTGAACACTTCTTTGCCAAGATGGAGGGTGCTATGTACCTGGTAATGCGCAACTCGACTGCATCCAGTGGTTCCCCAAGAAAAGGAGACTTATTCTCACGTGGCCAGTACTGGTTTCAAAGTTCAAAGTGAGGCGAATAATCCATCTCCCCCTTTTTCCCAGAAGCAACTTCAAAGGCAGATACAAGTTCAAATCGGAAATGGAAAAGATATTGCAATTGTCGAGATATCAAGTAGTCGAGGGGAGTCTGCTCGCGGGTAGCAGCATGGGATTGCGCTGGTTGCGTCCACCCGAATCCGGTGTAGATCTGGGATGCACTCACCTATATCAGTTCATCCCGGTCGCTTTGCCAACTCCTTTTCTTTCTTTTCTTTCTTTTCTTTGATTTATCCATCTGAACTGCATCTCTGTGCACTCTCGAGACCAATTTGGGCTTGTTTGTTCTTGAGAGTATACACTGGCATTTCCCCCCCCCCCCAGGTTTTCTTACTTTGGGAGACCCGTTTCATACTCTACAACTCTTTGTTTTAAAAGATTACATTCTCTTTCATTCGGAAACTTATCCACTCTATTTGTTTCAAATCCTCTAATATCCACCCCTTTTTTAATCCTCTCCCTATCTTGCACCCCTAATCGGAACCACGAGGCGATCGACGCAGATTCAAGCAATCCTCGGCTCCACAGGAATTGATAGCTCACTCGCATCACTTTTCGGCGACAGCGGATTGGCTGGCTGCCTGAGGCAAACAGGAGCTATTGAATTTGTGAGTTGTGTTAGATGCATAGGGGCGTGTTCGCCTCGTTCTGTGCCTAGGCGCATGGCGTGGTTTCGCCATTGCCACCCCAAAATCTTCCTTTTATCTGACTATTTGAGTAGGGGAGGTTCAGGCAAATTGTGCTCAACGATGGATCTACAAGGCACAAAAGAAGCCCGGGCGCAGGAGGAGGGCGCCGAAGGCCCTCTAGAAGCATATGGTGCTGGAGGCGGTCGTTCTAAAGAGTATCACAAGAACGAGGGGCGGGATTCTCATAATCATGATGACCGATCTTCCATTAATCCTCTCCGTCGTCGTCAACAACCCTTCGCCTATCCTCATGGAGCCCGACAAGCTGCAACGCCGGTACCAGCCGTAATATCTCGGCCTCGAGAGCCCTCCCCGTCACCGGAGGCCATCAGCATACCCCAAGATTTGGGTCTAGATTCCCGCGATCAACGCCTACTGCGCAAGGCTCGGAGATCTCCACCCGTTACAAAGAAAACACTCAGCGAGCTTGATCTGCCTTGCATCATGAGCAACATCAACCTCCGCATGGACGCCAACTTTGACCGCGATCTGCACTTCAAGCCCGACTTGGATGGAGAGAAGGGCAAACGCAAGCGGAAAGAAGCTGCGGACTATTGGGACTCCTTGGCCGCAGAGATTACTATCTATTCTTACTGTGCTGCAAATTCCCAAATCACCACCGAGAAAGTCAAGTCCAGCGATGGTACTCGACGCACCTTCGATCCCCGTTTGCCCGCCCTGTTCGAGACATTGCAGGACGTCATCAAGACCCTTGTTCCGGAAGGAGATCACCCAACTATCATGCAGAACCTGGAAGTTCCATTGCTGATGCAGCAAATACGAAAAGGCGTTCTCGACATGCTTACGCTGGCGAAATGGCTGGCAAAACTTCTGAAAACACATTGTGCTCCGATGCGAGACGAGTGGGCAGATTCTATGGTCGAGCAAATCGAAAAGGGTTCACAATCTCAGGATCCCCGGGAGATAGTCAACGGTTTGCGAACATTGTTCTCTATTCTAGAGGCAATGAAGCTTGTATGTCACATTTGAAACCTTCTGTCTTGCAACGATTCTGAACTAATTCGTGCCATAACAGGACGTCGCCAACCATCAGATTCGAGCTTTCCGCGTTCTCCTCATCGAAGACACAGTCCCCTTCCTCCAAGAATACTTCCAAGGCAAACTGAACCGTGGCGGCTTCCAAGTCGAGTCCGCCCGCAAATGGTACCTATCCGTGCGCGACCAAGCCCGCCAAGAGGACGCCATTGCCGAAGCCCAAAAAACAACCTTCATTCCAGAAACAGAAGACACTCTCAAACCCCTCGAAGCCCTAATCCGCGGAATCTCCGCCCAACTCCTCCAATTCGCCCCGCCCACCGACTTCCCTGAAACCTTCCTCTTCGACTCCGAGCGCCTCTGGCAACTCCGCTCAACAGTCCAAAATCTAATCAACCTCGACATCGCCTGGTATATATTCGAGTCCTATGTCAACAAGCACAAACGGTATCTCTCCACCCCAGAAGAAACCTACTCCAGCTTCCGATCACGAATTTGGTCCCTAATGGAAGAGGGCATGGATCTGGAGAACCGCGTCGCAGGGAACCCAGACAACAACGAAGAAGATCCCGACAACCGCGGCGGAAAGCGCTGGACACAAAACATGCGCTGTATCGCGCTCGAGATTGCCCGCTTTGCCTGTGCCGCGTTGCAACTTGATCCTGTCGTCGCGGACGAGGTCATCGTTCCCATTGAAGAAGCACTAGAATGGCATCTCTCGAATGAGTCCGAGCTCTTTGTTTTCTTCCAAAATAGCATGCGGGCCAAGGTTCTTGCTACCACCTTGGCAGCGGCTCGTAGATACTTGCCGTTGTCGCCATTGGCGATCTGTGAGTCGCAAAGGGCTCCACTGTCTGTCACTTTAGGTCCCGCTGCGCCGCAGACCGGGAGTGCGGGTGCGTCTGGCTCAGGGAACACTTCGTCGCTGGCTCTGGCGCCGCAGCAGTCAGATGTCGAGCGCATCGGGATGCGACTTGCTCACATGGGTGTGCTGCACTGGCGTGTTTGGGCTCCGTTGTTGTATCTCCGAGATGAGATTGCATTGGGGGAGGTTGAGCAGCCAGCATTTATATAACTTGCCAGCATTTATATAACTTGCTCTTGCTTTGGTTTTTGGATTTTTGGTGTTGGGTGTTGGTTGTTGGTTGTTGCGTTGCTTTCCTCTGCATGTTTTGTTTGACTTGCCTTTCAGCGCCTTGCATTCACTGCTTCTTTGGGGGGGGGGAGGATGGGGGGGGTGTCTTACCATTCAAATCGGGGTTTTACCGACACAAGGGGATCTCGGCGATTATATTTTGTCTGGGTTATAGAAGGCGCACAAAATATCTATTTTGTTTAATCAATTATCAACTGCCTAGGTGCTACAGTGTAGTAGAGGATGCTCTACTCAACCCATCCTAAACCTCAACCACACCATGGAAACAGACCAAAGTAACGAACTCAATCCGACCCAGTGCCACGGTAGCGAACATCAGTGGTCCGTGCACCGATCAACAATCCATCCACCTAGAAGAATCCTCCCACAGCTCATGCATCCAGCCTTGAATTGCCATAACAGATCTGCCGCAGAGCTAGAAACTGAAACGCGAGACTTGCCGTGCTCGTGCTTATGTCGTGCTTGCACCAGCAGCCCAGACCCCATACCAAATGCCACCCTTAGCAAGCAAGCATTAACAAGCCCCCCTCCAATGCGTCTCTCTGCAGCATTGTACTCCCCAACGCACCCTTGGCTCGCATGCTTGAAATCGGCACAATTGCAGCGCATCGCGCGTGCAACAGGTATCCAATCGTCTGGTTCGAAGGGTATTCTTATTGAGCGCATTGCAGCGGAGTTGAAGTTGCAGCTGGCTGCCACAGATGATGATGGTGTCGCAGAGGGTGCCATCACCAGTAGTTCCAATCGCATTACCAAATCTAGTTTTAGTGCAAGCGCCGACATAAGCCAGGATCGACAGTTCGATCGACGGATATCAACAGAATCTGGCTCGAGCAAAAGCAAAGCGAAGACAATCACCAAGTCAGCAGACTTGTCAAAATCAAATCCTGCACAGCCATGGAGCATCCTCAGCATCGATATGGGGGTTCAGAACCTTGCATTCGCGCATCTACGATTGCCCCGCGCTGGGGGTCCAGGTATCGGGATAGATACTGCGAACCCAAGACCGCCAGAGCTAACAGCCTGGCACAAACTCGCTGTCTCGGAGATTTCAAGTTTGAACTTGAGACCCAGGGATGGGGATCTTACCAGTGCAATCAAGTTCGCTGAACCAATTCCAGGGCCCGGTGACGCCACTGCATCATCTCAAGCGATTCTCCCAGTAGAACCGGAAAAGGACTTGCCCGTCAAAGTGAAGATCGCCAAATCTGCCCCGAAAGAACAAGATGGCTTCTCTCCAGACCTCTACGCTGCAAATGCGTACACCCTTATCACCTCACTCATAGCTGCATATCGCCCCACGCATGTGCTCATAGAGCGTCAGCGCTTCCGCTCAGGCGGCGGGAGTGCTGTGCTTGAATGGACGCTGCGCGTTGGCCTGCTGGAGAGTATGTTGTATGCCGTTCTCCATACGCTGCGACAGGAGAGGGGTGGGGATGTTGCAGATTTAGTTGTTCGAGGCATTGACCCGAAGCGGGTAGTCAGGTACTGGCTTGAGGGTGGATCTGGGTCGTGTGTTCGAAGGAAAGGAGACGTGGATGAGAAAACACAAGCCGAGGAAAGGGTCAAGGAGAAGAAACCCACTGCACGAGAAGTGAAGAAGGCTAAGATCGATCTTATTGGACGGTGGCTTTCTGCTGCGATGCAGAAGCAGATTGCCAATGCTTCTCTAGAGACGGACGGGGATCTGAAGAAACTGGAGCTGGGCTTTGCTGCCGACGATAAGATTGTGCTCGCGGATAAATCCGAGCATCCTACTCTGCATGGCGTTGCGGGTGCTTATATGCGGAAATGGCAGGGCCAGAGGCAGACGTCGAAGAAGGGGAAAGGGAATGGGTCTCGTGCTTTGAAGAGTGAATCTCTTTCCCTATTGCCCACACTCCCTGAGTCCAACATGGGGGATGAGGTGGCTGCTGTTGATCCGGCGAAACTCGATGATTTGGCGGATTGTTTATTGCAGGGTGTGACATGGGTGGAATGGCAGATTATGCGGGAGCGGATTGCGAAGGAAGGGATTGAGGCATTGGAATCTACAGCGTAGTAGATATCAATGTTCATTCTGGGTGGAGCCAGGATGGATGATGATCGAGGATGGACGCCGTGAGCTATTTTAGGGCGAGATTTAGCGTTAGAATCGTGTCTATTCTACATTGTACTTGATGTGCATAAATGTTTTGGCATGGAGAAATGACACGAGATCGGAGATACCAGCTCAAAGCTTTACTAGACTACGTGTCCATATCCTTACACATCTGTTTTGTTCCCGACACAGCTCAAGAAGATTGACGCTAATCGACAGTTCCGTCAGTGGTCAAGCCTTACCATCGCTCTCCAGGACGGAGAGCCTCATGTAATCTGTTTCTACTCATCTAACAAAGCAGGGGTTCTTTTCGTAAACAGGCAAAAGCCTCAAGTCAATTCAGGTTTCTATCCTAAGGATACCGACATTTCTCACCCTCATCGGCCTTTCACCTAGAAAGAAAAACATGACGACATAAACAGCGCAAAAATTGAGATCATTCGCAAAATGAAGATCCGTAGAGATTAAAGAAGATGAGTTTTCCGTGAAACACAATAGACAGGGGCAAGGCCCAGTTCTCGAAGCAGACGTGTCATCACCCGTCAAAACGATACGTGAGAAATTGTTCCGAGTCCAACGGAAACCGGTCAGATGAATGAGTCAATTTCACATTGGGAGGGAAAAAATGTAACGCAAGGAAATGCCACACGAGAAGTTAATAAGAGTGTGCGCGGCCTGCGAAACGTAGCCAGCAGGCAGGGAAAGATTGGGGCCCAAGGCACAATCCAGCATGACAAAACCATTGCAAGAATCGAAGTCGAAAGGAAGAAACATGGCAAAAATTGGAGCGTAAATAAGAAGTGAAATCGAAACCGTTTGTACCGAAACTTGGCAAAAATAGTCACAGTACCAGCACGCCTCTGCGCGAGTAGAAGGAAATGGGAACTTTCTCTCAGATCATCAACAGGCTCGCAACTCGCTGCCATGCGGAGATAGACTCTCTCACATTAGCAGTGTGTTGTTTAGATGAAGCGGCGGCGCCACTTGGCCAAGAAAGCCTTTCCAATGGGGGAGCTGGTGGGCAAGGGCTGGCCGCCGGAGACGGGAGTAGGCGTTACGATGGCGCTAGCGGAAGGGGTCCGGGTAGCGAAACCGCTGGGCGAAGGAGTAGGAGTGCGGGTGAGGGGAATACGGGTGGAGCCAGTGGCAGTGCGGGTGGCGGAAGCAGCGGCAGTCTCAGTCGAAGCAGCGGCAGTCTCAGTCAAAGCAGCGGCAGTCTCAGTCGAAGCAGCAGCGGTTTTAGTAGAGGTGCTCTGAGCACTTTCACCGTTGCCATTGTCAGGGGTCTGAGTCTCGGTAGCGCCCTAGAGAATTATTGTCAATTTTTGACATCTGAGCGAAGGGAATGAACATCACATACCACAGTCACAGTCTCGGTGACAGTAGCAGTAACAGTAACTGCGGCGCAAGCACCAGAGCCATTGCCGGCAGCACCGGAAGGAGTAGGAGCTTCAACGAGAGTGACAGTCTCGGTTCTGGTGCTGTTGATGATGGAGGTGCGAGTGTGGGTGGTATTCTCAGCAGGCTTGGTAGCAGAGACATCGGAGCCAGACTCCGTCTATGTCAAGGTTAATCCAGTACAAAGCATGGGAAATCAGATAGAGCACTTACGGCAGTGACGGTGTGCTGCTCAGCGGCGGTCTTGGTGGCCGAGACATCGGAGGCAGACTCAGTCTATATCAAAAATTAGTTCACTACAAAGCACAAGACATCACATAGAACACATACGGCAGTGACAGTGTGCTGCTCAGTGGCGGTCTTGGAGATGGTGGTGGTGATGACGCTCGTAGAAGTTCCAGAGGTCACGGTGTAAGTCACAGTCACGGAGTCATCGCCAGGGAGGTCAGTGCCCGCGGGAGCAGACAGAGTGCTGGACAGAGTGCCGGAAGAGGACTTGGTGGGACGACCAGTAGGACGCGAGCTAACGGGAGTGCGGGTAACCACAGGCTTGCTAGAAGAAGCAATAGGCGAAATAGAGCCAGCAGGCACAGAGGAGCTCGCACCAAGAATGACCGAAGAAGAGGCAACGCTGGGAATGACAGACGAAGCAACGGAAGGAATGGCGCTAGAAGCCACGGAGGAGACCGAAGAAGATTGCACAGCAGAAGAGGACTTCACGGTAGAATAGGACTGCGCGAGAGAGGACTTCTCAGCGGGAGCAGAAACAGCAGTGGAAGCTGTAGGAGCTGGCTCGGCAGGAGTAGGCACCACGAGGACGGTCGAGGTGGAAGCCTCGGCACCAGGGGTGACGGAGCGAGCCAGGACGCGACGAGCATGGAGACCCTCGTGAGTGGCCTGGCCAACAGCAGCCATAGCGGCCACAAGGGCAACGGAGAACTTGTTCAAGACAACCATGATGAAGTTATTGGTAACGACGGTGGAGATCAAGAAAAAAGTGAGGGGATGAGAGATGTCAAGATTGCAAGACTGCAAGACTGCAAGAGCAAATGGAGCAAGTGTTTAAGTGAGTGTGTTTGGAAAGAGCGATCGAGAGCAAAGCGAAATCAATTCGCAGGGAAGGAACGTATGGCTTCTCACAGAGAAGAGAAAGAAGTCAAGGACAACTCGAAAAAAAGGAAATGGAGACTTCTAATGAACTCATTTCTTTAACGTTAAATTAAATCCTACTTATCATTTTAATTAAATGATTGTCTCCAAGGCTACTTAGTACCTTGTACTCCGTATCTTTTGATCCAATTCCCTAAATGTCAGTAATACCGATCGACAGTATGGGGTATCCACTGTCTCAGGCACGGTAGTCTCATTGGTCCAAGTGCATTTTCTCGAGAGCCCGTGGGCACTTGGGCGATGACCTTTAATCTCACGCAAAAGCAAAAAACCATATGACATGAACAGTTGAAGCCCATGAGCCGTTTACTGAACTTCCTTGATGTGGCGTTGGTGGCGTCACTGACACGCTGTCTAAACCCCTTTCGATGGCTTAATAGGGGCTATTGGGAACTTATGTTGTGTACGGAGTACCTTTGATGTGTTGTACTGCAAACGGGGGGATTTTTTGAGCGCACGGACGGAGTCCATGTGCATCTCCGAAAAAATTTGATCATATCTGGGGCCACTTTTATAGGCCCATCTACAATCTATGGAGTTCGTCGATGCTAATGGGGAAACACACCCCGAGAATCTATAGATGAGAAGAAAAAAAAAATTTAAAAGGCGACGTTTGGGAAAGAGGTACGGAATACGGAGTACTCCGTAGTACTCCGTAACTTGAGTACAACGTTGATCTCGGCTGTAAAAATACGGGATTTGCGATACACCAGGCCGAAGGTTTCATATAAATCAGCCTGCCGTGTCCCAGGGTCCCCGCTTCCGCCGTTTCTTGGAATCTAAAATTGCTTTTTGAGCAATCAAGACATTCTGGACTCCATGCCGGATATCTATGTACTCATTTCCGTAAAAAAATGAAGATTTGTACTCCGTACAACTCAGCCGTCTGTATGGAGTGCGTGGGGCAATTTTTTTAAATCAGTCCATGCTGTACTCCGTATCGGGTGAGTTGATGAGGTCTAGGCTTCCAAGGTAAAGATGCACGGCCCTTGGATTTCGCTCTTCAGTGTGTGTGTGTTTTATTTTTTTTATTTTTTTAATTTCCCGTACCAAAGTGATAATTTGAAAAGCCCTATTTGTGGAGGGACAGGGCCATGTCTTGCATACCCGAAGTGGTCAAAATCGCATTATATTCCATGGAAATTATCAAATTCATTGTCGACACGGGGAAGCTTTGTAAGGTGAAACGTCCGGCTTGGAATTGCCATGAGATTCTGTCCGAAACCCCTCCCAAACACCCCCAGATTGCTAGAAATTGCTGTAACGGCGCTGGGAGATCTCAATCCTGCGAACCCTGTTGAAAATTAGAGCCATTTTCTCGAGATATCTTCACTTGATATGTCGATCTCTATGTCAACCTCGGGAAGGCGGTGACAACATGTGATCTTATCGCGGTGATAACACGCATCCCTCATGCATCGCAACGTTTCTTGTAGATCATGACGCACAATTAAGAAATTGAGAAGCATGTCCTCATTCCAAACCCTCCGAACCCATTATGTCTCACTACTGAAGCGGTTCCTAACCTCGAGCAAAGACCTCGAGGTTCTGACAACTATCCCACCCGACCACGCCGCAGAATCAGAGACCCTCTATGTCTTAGACTCGTCCTTCAATCCCCCCACCTGCGCCCACCTCCGCATTGTGAGTACGGCACTGCTAGAAAATCCCCGGCCCCGCCCTCGAGTGCTTCTTCTTCTCGCCATCCAGAATGCAGACAAGCCATCCAAGCCGGCCTCCTTCGAGGATCGGCTCGTGATGATGGAGCTGTTCGCTCGGGATCTCCGCGCCCACCTCGCATCAGCACCAGCCTTCGCCGCTTTGGGCGTTACTCACGCTGTCGAAACTCTCCCGTTGGTCGATATCGGCATCACGAAAAAGCCTTATTTTGTCGACAAGGCAGCTGCCATCGAAACGTCCGAGCCGTACCCCGTGCCGCTGAAGCAGGTCCACCTTACGGGCTACGACACTTTGATCCGGATCTTCAATTCCAAGTATTATCCGCCCGAACATACTTTGAAGCCTTTAGAGCCTTTCCTGTCAAAGCACAGGCTGCGTGTGACCATGCGACCGAGCGATGAGTGGGGTGGGAGAGAGGAGCAGCTAGGATATGTGGCGGCCCTTGCTAGAGGTGACCGAGATGGCGAGGGCGCGAGTAGAGAATGGGCCAAGCAGATTCAGCTTGTCGAGGGTCGTCTCCCTACTGACCAACCCGTGAGTTCAACTAGAGCCCGTGAGGCGTTGCAATCGGCTCCCCAGGACTTGGACTGGCTGGTGCCTGAACAGGTGCGACAGTTCGTGCTGTCGGAACATCCGTATTTTGGAAACTCTAATATGTAGATACTTAGACGAGATAGCCACTGAGAAGACTCCTACGGTCTATCTCCAACTTGTACAATGACAATGCAAGAACGATTTCATGAACAAACCAATATTCACCAACACCGAGACCTGAAGTCACCTATGTTCCAAACGCACAGCTGAACCACTTTTGAGACACATATGGTACCTGGTAGAGTGCGACGCCAGTGAGGCACCGCGATCTTTGCAACATTGTGAGTTGTCACCTTAATCATGACGCATCCTCTTCCTCCTCCCTCCTACCTAGAGTGTACGCCAACCCACCCCCGACCATGTTGACCAAAGCCAAACCCATAGTCGCACCGCGTACGACACCCCGAACACCCAGTTTCTTCATAAATGGCTGTCGACGGCGGGCCGCGAGAAGCAGATACAGTCCCGAGAAAGCTGCGCTGATGCCGGCAGTGTCTGTCTTGAAGCCTTGCAGGTTGGCATAGCTGGAGAAGATCAGTACAGGCGGAAAGAGCATTGGAAAGAACTGGAAGGGGCGCATGTGCTGGGCTGTGATCAGGGAGGCAAGCAACGTGGGTGGGAACGAGTTTTCTGTGTTGATCAACGTCATCAGTGATCACTTGCGATATGGTTTTGCCTCGACGTTTGGCCGACAAAACTAGGATATCCATAGACCACTTACCACCCCAGGCCCGGAAGCGCTGGATAAATGTCTGTTTTGTCTCTTCGACCGTTGAATTGTCCGCCATGGTGAGGTATTGAGCTTTGGAGCTGGATATATTTGATCAAAGCGGAAGACAGTTGGAGTTTTAACAGCCAGGTAATGTGTTTGCTGCGAGTATATTAATTAGCTATGCGTGTTTGAATTGAGCTTGGCGGACTTAAAAACAACTCACAGTTGAATATCACCGACTTGGAGATGTTGGCAGGTTTATCAGTCCAGCAAGCGATGTAATCGCAGTGTCTAGTGCAATTGACGTTCCGGCGCTTGGCAAAGACACCTAAGACCACGCTTTTCCCCCAATTTATGCCCGCCGAACCAACCACAACTGTTGCCACTCTGGTTTTGCTGCATCTTGGTTCAGGCTGATATTTTACTCTGGCTATTTCATCGCAAGCTTGAACAATTTGCCAGCCAAACCATATCGTGTGCGGGATTGCTTTTCCTTTAATCCGCGGTTCCACGCCTCTCAACGACCTCCAGATTCTCTCGACCTCCCTCTCCCATCCACACTAGCAAGCAAGCGCCGTCCGGTATCTGTCAGATTTTCCTCATAAACTGCAATCGCTATGCCCCCAGCTTCGGCATCTGGCTCTGACGCCAAACGCGGAGGTGCGACGTCGCGCGACCACAAGCAGGGCAACCAGGATCGCAAATACACGGATGAACAGAAAGCTGCTGTGCTTCGGATTCGAAAATGCCAGCCTACAGCGTTTTATGAAATCTTGCTAGTCGAGCGCTCGGCAACGGACAATGAGATCAAGAAGGCTTACCGCAAACAGAGTTTGTTGACGCATCCCGATAAGAACGGTCACGAAGGCGCGGATGAGGCATTCAAGAGTGAGCAACAAGCAACCCCGGCCCATGTCTTGACTTACTGATTCTTACGCGCGGTGGCAGTGGTCTCGCGTGCTTTCCAGATCCTCTCCGATGAGGAAAAGAAGTCCAAATACGATAAATTTGGCGGTGATCCTGATAGCAGGTTCCAGCCCGGACCGAGCGCTTCGAGCGGTGCATCCCCCTTCGGCGGGTTCAGCGGTGGTGGATTCCCCCGCGGGGGTCAAAGATTCGACGAGGAGGTCTCAGCCGAGGAGATGTTCAATAGGTTCTTCAACGGAGGATTTGGCGGAATGGGTGGTGGTGGATTCGGTATGACTATGCGTGTCTCTGATATTTGATCCGCCTGAACTAATCATGTGCTACTCTAGGCGGTCCGCAATTTGTCTTCAACATGGGAGGCGGCCCAGGATTTCGAGTGCATCAATTTGGAGGCCAGGCGCCCCGCCGCAGGCCTCGCGCAGCAGCAACTGAACAGGAAGCTCAGGTTGATGCCCGCAGTTTTCTTCGCCAGTTATTGCCGCTTATCATTCTATTCATCTTGCCGCTCCTCTCCTCTCTCTTCTCTGGTTCCTCAACCCCATCCGGACCCTCTTATCGATTTGATACCCCCGTCTCACCGCATACCCTTGGCCGCTCGACTCCTAAGCTCAATCTCAATTACTTTGTGAACCCGCTGGATGTGGATCACTTCAGTGCCCGAAACTTCAGAGAGCTAGACTCGCGCGTGGAGGTGGAATATGTCAGGACACTGCGGAATGAATGTGAGGTCGAAAATCATGAGCGGGAAAGGAGGTTGCAAGAAGCGCAGGGGTGGCTCTTTCCTGATGTTGAGAAGATGAAGAAGGCTCGCGCGATGGATATGCCGAACTGCCGGCGTCTGGAGCAACTGAAGACAAGGGGGAGATATTAAATGCACCGCGGACTTTGGAGGCTTACACTGCACCTTCTGATGGCATCCTGTTCAATTTTTGGGCGCTTTTCTGCGAATGAACCTGCTCTAATATCATTAGCCCATCCACAATGGTGGTATCTGCGGGGGTTTCAGTTCATTGGCTGTACATTTTGTTCTTCTTGAGAGTTTCGAATGCATCTAAGATCATGCTGACTTTGTCTTCTTGGCTCTACTGAGATTTACTTGGGACATTTGGTTTTCAATTCTGACGCCATGTTTCAAAAATGAGATGGATGAATTTATCCATAGTGATATTGGGGTCTGTTGGGGTTGTGGCCACAATTCTGAAGCTTAGAAACAAAGCCGGTGGTTTTTATGGCTTGGCTGGTAAGTTTCAATCGTCTAATATTTTAACGTACAAAAGAGATCTAGGAAGATCTATAGCACGAGTCCTTGTTTTTTTACAATCGTCTAAACCATTCAACGTATAGAGCAGAAAAGTGACTTTATAGGTACATCACTTTTCGCGGGCAGTTCCCGCAAACTCACAAGTACCTTCACTGTATCTCTCGCCCAACCGTGGACCACAAGATTTGCTTAGTCAAATTTGATCACGGCGCTGAATCGAATCAGAACAAAAGCGAATCTCGGCGATCATCACGGAATCACAAACACCTTGCTCACCTTCTACGGATTCTAGACTCTATTGCCCCCACTTCAAGGCTTTGAGGCAGCCTTATTCCGCATTCACGCTTCCTTATGATTCCCACACGGGTCCGACAATATTGAAATTCTGCCGACCTAATCCACCAGATTAGCGGTCTTGCCAACATTTCCGAAGCGGCTTATTGCCTGACTTTCAGCTAACATGTCGGACACCCTTTCCGATGCAGACAAGGTCAGTTGCCTGTTGCGCTTCAATTATGAAGCCGCCCCGTCAGAGCAGTGACTCGAAGACTGACATCTACTCTCGATCAAAAAAAAAAGATTCGCAACAAGCGACTTGCAAAGCTCTCAAATCCAGCCCAGCCCTCCGTGGACGGCAACTCTGAATCGGCGCAGAGTTCAGCTAACACATCTCCATCACACTCACCATTGTCTACCCAGCCACCGAGCCGCCTTTTGAACGCGCCACCAACCCCGCAGCAGTCAGAAGGGAAGCGGATCAAGATCACACCGGTGGCTACACCAGAGCGAGCACGATCCACCGCTCCCTCAGCCCCCAGCACCCCCCCACCACAAAAAGTTGAAAGCATTGAGGCATTTGAAGACCGGACATTAAGTGCCGTGTTCAGAGTGACCCTCAAGGAAGAAGGGCAGCGTGACATTCATGGCAACCGCACATACTTGCCTAGACTTCGGAGTGAACTGCTGGATGAGGGCCAGGATTTGCGCATTCAGGTCGCGGTTCTAGACCAAGCCCTTTTAGAAGCTGCGTCAAAGGCCGAGAGGAACCGTCCTCTTGATTATCTGCTACCATGCTGGAAGCGCATCACAAAGCTGTACAAGGGATTGAGGCGGACGGGAGAGAATGACCCAAAGTACCAAGTTCTGTGTGAGGCGCGGCGGTTGTGCATGAGCTATTGTATCTTTGCGATTACAATGCCTGAGATGTTTGGGTTTGTTTTTCTGACATGTTACTATACTGGCACTTCGTACTTACGATCTGGACTATAGGAGCGAATGGTCCCCGCAATCATCGTTAGCCTCGTACCTTCTTATCGACCTTGAGGACGACAAAGGAATCGATTTCGACTTTATCAACGAGGCTGTCAGAAGATTCGACGAAGACGACTCCGTTAAGCCTGCCTTCATATCTGCTGTTGAGCAGTTGAGTGCGCAACTTTCTTCCATGGACGTTAACGATGACTACAAGCCATACGCCACTGTAAGTCAAACGTCAATACCTCTCTGTTCTACGTCTGACCGGTTTGTTCAGGCTCTTCGAAATCTTGTTCGCAACGGTTCCATTGCGGCTGCAATCACGGAATCCTCTATTTTTAACAACACGAAGGACCCTGCTCAATTCGAGAAAGCCACTCTTTTGGGTCCATGGTTCCGCCTCTCGCCCCTTCAAGCTAACGTCACCCTGTCTTATTTCTCTAGCCCCAAGACCAGGGACCAGGCTTATATCTCCAATGCCCAGAGGTCGCTTCGAATGACACAGCAGATGCTTAGCTCTGATCTCCTTGACGTTGTGAACCACCTGATCCGGGCCTCGAAAGAGGCTAGGGATCGCGTTTTGGACTGGTTCGCCACTGCTATGAATATCAATCACAAAAGACGGGCGATGCAGGTCGACCCTGCACAAGTATCGTCTGACGGCTTCATGTTCAACATCACAACGTGCCTCGACCAGCTCTGTGAGCCGTTCATGGATGCAGCATTCACTAAAATCGACAGAGTTGATGCGGATTATCTCCACCGCAATTCTCGGGTTGACATGCGGGATGAGACCAAAATCAATGCCGATCAGCATGCTTCGGACGCTTTCTATTCTAAAAAGGTCGAAGGAACCTCAAACTTTATCACTGAAATATTTTTCCTGACTGTCGCCGCTCATCACTACGGCAGTGAATCATTGACGTCGAAGATGGAACAACTTGAGAAGGATGTGCGACAGATGGAGAGTACAATCACTAAATTCGAACTCGAGCGGGTTCGCTGGATCAACAATCCCCAGCAATTGCGCACCTTTGATACCGCCTTGAAGAAGTACAAAGACAAGCTTGATCTGGGTATCGCTCTCAAGTACAGTCTCCAGGGTGTGTTGTTTGACGAGCAGTGGCAGGCTCGTTCCATGCTGTTCATGCGATATGTTACCGTATGGCTTTTGAGACTTGTCTCGGGAAAGAACTTCCCCAAGGAGCAGGTTACCCTTCCTCTTCCAGAGGAGCAGCCCGAAGTTTTCAAATGTCTGCCAGAGTACTTTTTGGAGGACGTTGTCAGCAACTTTAAATTTATCATGTGGTGCATGCCACAGATCATTACTGCCACCCAGGGCGATGAGTTGGTAATGCTATGCATCACATTCCTGGAGAGCTCCGCCTATATTAAAAATCCTTACCTGAAAGCCGGGCTGATCTCTATTCTATTCCGAGGCACCTGGAAACGCCCCGGTGGCGCCAGTGGTGTTTTGGTCGATCTGCTCAACTCGATGCCATTTGCCAACGAGCATCTCCTCCATGCGGTGATGAAATTCTACATTGAGGCAGAGTTCACGGGGACGCATTCGCAATTTTACGACAAGTTCAACATCCGTTACGAAATCTTTGAGATAATCAAATGCATCTGGCCCAACACTCTGTACCGGGAGAAGTTGTCCCTTCAAGCCAATCAGAACCTGGATTTCTTCGTGCAATTCGTCAACCTCCTATTGAACGATGTGACTTACGTACTCGATGAATCCTTCGGTGCATTCAAGACTATCCACAACACCCAGACTGAGCTGAGCACACAGGGCCACTCAATGGATGCCGCAACTCGCCAGCAGCGGGAAGAGCATCTGTCATCAGCGCAGCGTAGTGCCAAAAGCTACATGCAATTGACTAACCAGACCGTCGCAATGCTCAAGCTATTCACCGATGCTCTTGCTGACTCGTTCACCATGCCTGAGATCGTACAGCGACTCGCCGACATGCTGGACTACAACCTCGATGCAATGGTGGGACCCAAGAGCTCCAACCTCAGAGTAGACAACCTGCAAGAATATGGCTTCAATCCTCGCGCTCTTTTGAGTGAAATTGTCGACGTCTACCTTAATTTGATCGGCAAGGAAAACTTCATCTTGGCTGTTGCCCGTGATGGCCGATCCTACAAGCCAGCCAATTTTGAGAAGGCAGCCGACATTATGCGAAAGTGGTCGCTGAAATCCCCTGAGCAGCTCCGTCACTGGAGTCAGCTGCAGAAGAAGGTTCAGGCCGCCAAGGAGGCCGATGATCAAGCGGAGGAAGACATGGGCGAGATTCCTGAAGAATTCCTTGGTATTTCCCCCTTTTCTGAACACCACTTTCCGACAACAACTAATTCTTTAAGATCCTCTTATGTATTCACTCATGGATGACCCGGTCATCCTTCCCGGCTCGCGGATCTCTATCGACCGCGCCACAATTCGCTCGCATCTCCTCAGTGACCCACACGATCCATTCAACCGCGTGCCATTGAAAATCGAAGATGTGGTTGCTGGTACGCAATCCCTCTTTTACTGGCGTTGTTCCACTACTAACCACTTTCCCTAGACACCGAACTTAAAGCCAAGATCGAGGCGTTCAAAACCGAGAAATTAGCTGGCAAACGGAGGGAAATGGTTCATGATCGGATGGACACATCGAATTAGGAAGCAGTGGCTTTTCTGATTTAATCTACAAGCTTACTTGTTTGGGGGTATTTCCAGTAGTGTTCCTGGGATAGAATACTACACGCTGTTTATATGGAATTGTGGAATTTCGCCCCGTGTTACTGAGGCGTGTGACTTTCTATCAAGCAAAGAATCAAACGAGCGCAGCCCTCTTGCCAATTTGCCCCTGCTGTCTTACCCTCTGTAGCTGTAAACGGGTTTTGTTTGCGCGACCTTTTTTTTCCAGAGTGGCACAGAGTACATTTCCTAGTGGATGATTCACGCACTATCCTCGCCGGTGATTGTCCTCTTGATCAGTTTTTCTGGCACTAATTGCTTCTTGAAAAAAAAGGAGACAACAAAATAAGGTATAGAAGTGAAAGAAGGAGAGGAAGAAGGAGAGGAAGAAGGAGAGGAAGACCAAGAACCAAGTGAAGTTGCACCCCATTACCCCGTACCCACCGCCTTCCACATCACCAGCTTTTCTTCTTAAGCTTCTTTTTTTATCCTCCGTGGTCTCTTCTCTTCTTCTTTCACCCCAATTTTTCAATATGGGTGCGACCATTTCCACTTGTTGGGAAGTTTTGCCATCCATTGCAGAGCTCTTCCCTCCAACCCCGGCTGTCTATACATCAATTCTATGCTGCTTCCAATACTTCCCCCTGGTCAGGACCCTCAAGCCATAGATGATGTCACAAATCTAACTCGGTGCATTTAGATAACGGTAGCTCAATGGGTTTTATCCTGGCATCCAGCGGGCAAAACCTCTTCGCAGTCCATCTTTAATATCCCAGGACGTATCGCCTGGTCTGCCATGGAGATTGTCGGGCCTATCAACTTGATATATTGCATGGTCACTCCATCACCATATGCACCCTCATTCACTGATCTCCCTATGTCCAACATCCTCGTTGGAACTCTGTATTGCATCCACTATTTTAACCGTGCTATCATCTCCCCTTTCTTCTCCGCCCCTAGCATGTCCCCAATCCACGTCACCATCATGTCCTTCGCCATGATCTTCAATTGGTTCAACTCAGCCTGTCTGGCTGGCTGGTTGCGTGGATATAAAGTTCCGACTATTCCAAGCTTTCCTACAGCTAGCAGCGGAACTCCATCCCCTCGCTCTGCGGTGGTAGATCTTCTCTCCACTGTGGGCGCAATCTTATTTACCGTCGGAATGGCCGGCAACATCTATTCAGAGACAGCACTATTCCGACTTAGACGCGAAGAAGCCCAAAAACGTGCGGCCAAAAAGACAGATGGTGAGGTTCTGGCCGGAGGCGAAGCACAAGCCAGCCGAAACAAGTTCCACAAGGTCTACGTCATCCCACCTACCCGTGGTGTCTTCCGATACATTCTGTATCCGCACTATGTCTTCGAGTGGCTCGAGTGGATTGGTTTTGCTCTCGCCGGTACGGCTGTTGCCCCGCTCTCCGCCCTCACTGCCCCCGTCTCAGCATCCTCCATTGCGATCGCTCCCCCGCTGCGTCGTGCGCCTTGGTTAGTGCCTGCTGCGTGGGCGGCTGATAAGCTTGCTGTGCCACTGCCGTTGCCTGCTATCGTATTTGTTGTCAATGCGGTAACAAATATGTTGCCACATGCGCGCTGGGGACGGAAGTGGTATGTTGAGAAGTTTGGGGAGAAGGCTGTCGCCGGAAGGGGCGCTGTTCTTCCTGGATGTTCGTGGATGTAAATTGGAGGGAGCGTCTCCAGATGGAACTATTCTTGTCTTTTCTGATTTTTCGTAATCACCTTCTCGGGCTCTAATATCCAAATACAAACCAACTCTAACTGTTACTGGACGTACATTACTCAGTGCATTGTTCCTGAACATCGGATATCAATGAAAGTAAATCAAGCAAGACACCACCTAGACATCACTTAAGTTCAAACCCTATCATCTGCATTGAAATGCCAACAATCCAGCGACCCCATCATGCTCAATCTCAACAAAGCAGAAGAGCTAGGCGGCAGTTCTGAAGGAATGCGCTTGCTCGAAACTTTCCGCCCAGTTGAACGAACGATGCCCTCACCCTGAATCTGCATTTTCCAGATTTTGCTAGAACTGCTCCCTCATCTTCCTGCATATGTCACCGAGCCTATCGCAGAAGCCCTACACGACCGATGGGTCGTCGGGTCAGCGTCGCACTCGACGACACTGAGATTACTACCTGTACATCTTCAGGTTTGAAGCGGTAGGTCTTTTGATCGGGGCGTTCAATGCACTGAACTTTCTTGCTGCCCGGGTACTTGAGTTAAAAGCTTTAACCCGTACAAGGGGGTTTACTTCGAGGAAGTTAAGTTTATTAATGTAGTTAATCCTATTCCGTCTCTTAAATTTAACTATCCGTATATAAGCGTTTTAATGCCGTAAAAAAAAGCCGGTGTGAAGAGGTTATAAAAGATAGTCTACATACGCTAGTATACAGATTTATATCACTTGGGGTTTTTTTTTGGTTGATTTCGTTAAAATTTCTGTATGCCTGGGCGCACTCCCTTTTAGATATAAGGAAGTACTCCTAATAAAGAGCCTTGAAAGCTATCGAAGTAGAATTTTATTAGAACTCTAGCGTTAGGACTAACTTCGAAGCGCTAATCCTTAAGGAGGCTATCTAACTATAATTTAAGAAAGTTATTCACTCCTCGCAATAACCTTTATAGTAATATTAATTAAAGGATAGTTCTTGGAATACGATTAAAGCACTCCCTAATAATTTAAGGGTCTTTGTATTTCGTACGCTCGTAGTTGTATCGTTTCGAGGAGAGGAGAGGATTCCTTTAAATCAAATTTGCAACTTTTTTTTCACCGACTTAAAGAACCGCAATAGTTTTATGCTTTGAAAGAAGAAGATCCGCTTTTTCTTATACACTAGAGTGCCGGGTGGGCTACTCCACGAGAATTCACTTGATCTTGCGTCACGACGACATCTACGACTTCCAATTGAACATGCAGGGTGTTCTCGGCAGCGGAAATGTCGGCGTTGACGGTGCTGGTCATTACTCCATGGGCGGTGATCCTTCCGGTGATATCTTTGTTAGCCCTGGTGACCCTGCTTTCTGGCTTCACCACGGTATTTGGTGGATCTGGAAGAACTTAAACCTCCGCGAGGGTCTAAACACTATGTCTGATACTGATACTTTCTTGGACGCCCCTGCATCGTCTAACACTACTCTGGACACACTCATTGATATTGGTCACGCTGATGGCGAGATGGTCGCCATGTGGGATCTTTTGAGCACTATCTCTGGTCCTTTCTGTTATATCTACCGATAAATGGTGATGGTTAGTCTTTGGAGGTCTAAACGTAGACCTCTAGAACATGCATTTGGTGCTTAGAAAACGACATGAATGGACGAAGTGGGAGGAGTCTGATTACTCAAAAAGGAACCCCCCCCGGGCCCCCCTCCCATCCCGTATAGAATCCCTGAAACGGACCTCGAGAAGTGAGTCTCAAAAGTGCTCCATAACTTACCTCTCTCTCCTCGTGCAAAATCTCTAAATCGAATTCGGAGATCTGAATTAGTTCAAAATAAAAATTATTTAGCAATCCACGTCTAATCAAGATAATTACATTCTCCACCGCGAGAGTATCATAATCGGAATCCACCACCACGAAAGAGGAAGCAAAGAGGCTTGTGTGAAGGAGTCGGGCTTCACAGCACCATTAGTAACAGCAAGGTAAGGATCCTGTCCGTAGGTTGTGTTTAACGTGACACGAGCCTGGGTCAACCCATCTTCTAATCGAATCCACGTCTCAGTGCCATCTACGAGATTGTCCTCGTGGAGTAAGATCTGCCGTCCACCGCGGACTAGATCGCCGTAGCCACCATACCCCGTATGCCGACCGTAGCACATGTTGATACCATTCCCGGTTAGATCATGGTCGACCAGAGAGCCATCCCATTTAAAGCACCTGCGATGTTTGATTAGCGTTTGAGTCATCCAAGTGCCAATTTATTGCCTGCTAGAGACACATACCAATCATTTTGGTGATCGTGGCCGCTAAATCCCGCGATTAAGCCTTCGGTGTGAAGGAGCGCGTCCATGAACATGACATCCTGGCCGTCGTAACTCCAATCGCCCGTTCCTTGTGGGTGAACAGGCTCGTGATTCACGCCGGGCGTCAGACGCGGATTTATGCCTCTTGTTTGTTGGTGTTCGAGCATTGCGTGGGCGGGGATGTGGTAAAATGCTAGTGATGGGATGACTTTTCCATACTCCTTTTTCAGTTTGGAATTGGTTTTGGTGAACCACTCAACGACCTGGTGAGTGCAGCGATTTAGTGATGTCGTCGAAGAAAACGAAGTATGATCGGGGATTTTCATACTGATTCATGGATCCAACTGGGTCTTTTAACAGCAGGCCCGCCGTCCCCTTGATTTTTATAATAGTGCCCACCCTTCGAATCAAAAAACCAGAGTAGCAGCACCGGTGTGCTGGTATTTGCCTCTCCATGGGAAAACACCGGTAGGTAATAATTTGTGATTCCGGCTTTGTCGCCGGAGATCCTACTCTGCGTCAAGCTGTTGGGGTACTTCTGCTCGGCCTTGAACATGTCATCTTTCGGATTCAAATTAATCTCACTGTCATGGTTGCCGTAGGTCGATGCCCAGCTGTACCCCTGCTCGACGAGCGGGGAAACGACCGAGTGGATATATTTGCTGGAATCAGGTTTTTGTGTTTTTTCACCAGACACTAGGTCGCCGTTTATGACTACGAAATCGATATCCTCTTTCGAGAGGATATTTGACATCACTTCTTTAGACTTCTTGTCTTTTTCGTCATCTGCTAGGTATCAGCAAAGCCCTTTTCTTTTAATTTATCACACCATACCCTCAGCGAAATGTAAATCCTCAAAGACTCCAATGTGAAATGTTCCATCTTCTCTAAATCTCAAGGTTCGATCCTTTGGTGGTTTAAGTACGATCTGGTCCAATGCTCTGATATCCGGTCGGGGTACCATATTGGAGCAAGGTTGAAAAGTTGTCCTTGAAAGTGCGGGGAGATGGAATTTCCCAAGTTTTGGAGACATTCACGTGCTGTCTCACAGTCGATCACGTCAGTAGCTTCATTCATGCCAAGACATTCCACGTGAAGTCTTTTTAGCTGAACATTCTAAGAATTCACATCGTTACTGATACTGGCCCACATTATATTCTGAGTTCGGGTTCCTCGGACTGTTTCAAGGTTGATCCTTCTTTGCTTATGATCATGCCGTCTCCATCTATGATAACTGCTCTTTTACACAGTTACACTGAAATGAGTAGGAAAGGACTGATACATACAACACGGCAAAATGAATGTGGGGCGTGTGACGGGATAAGAAGTGGTTGCCCAGCGACGCACCCAAGAGTCTCAGTGGCGGTTAGTATCAGCCTAACCCTATGAAGCCCTAAGTTCGGCGATCTTACGGAGCACGGAGTTCTGTTGGTCCCTACAGAGTATATTGTACGAAGTACGGAGTACTCCGTACATCTTAAAGAAAGAGGGCTCCACACTTTAGCTTGATGGGGAGTCTATCTTGGGCACGTGCCACTGATGTTATATTACATGGTTCATCTCTCACCCACGTCCTTTACGGCGGTATGCCATTGGAGGTGCATTTGTGGCCGTCTGACAGCGAAGCAATCTTGGAGTGGTTGTAGTCATCGCTTTCTGATTGGGTACAAATCATGGAAGCGCTTCCATCCTTATATTTAGCGAAGCACTACGGGATGTAAGTAGCTTTCTTTGGGAAGAGTTGAGATGCACGTTCATCACAAGGCGCGTCATCGAGCTTGCTGCTTGGTCACAGGGTATTTCGTGGTAAAAGAACATTTCACATATATCTTGACCAAGAGCTCAGCGTCAAAATGCTCCAGTAAGGAGGAGATCCAGCGTTGAAACGTCAAGAAGTCACATCACTTCTAAAAATATCCGATCATGGCCAGTCGATAACCACCACCCATTAGCCGCCCAAGTATATCCTTAACAAAAAGGAAAAGAACTGGTTGATTGATACGACTTTACGGCTTTGCTTATAAAAACGACATCGTTCTCCGGGTCCATTGAACCAAATCCTACTCCTCCGGGTATCTTAACTATCTCAACAAAACACAACAAAAAGGTGATGATGACGATGATGACAATGATGGGTCTTTTATGACTATGCACCAATTCGGTCCGTGGAACACACTAGATAAATCACATATGCGTGATCTGGGACCCATTCTCTTGGCAATCAGCTTGCAAGCTGATGCTGATAGCAAAGCAGTTTAGTGCAGTTGTTACATGGGTCAATGAGGGTGCAGGGCTACTTCATTTACAAATATTGTAGGAACCTATTAGCTCAGGATTGCATCTACAGTGTTATATGTTATAGTAGGCCAAAAGCCGGCAATTTTTTAAAAGCAGCCTCAAAGCGTTTTGTACCGCAACATACAACATACTGCTTCATTCATTCAGACGTATATGGGAACAAAAGGTAAATTCTTAAGTCCAAAAATTCACCAAAGTTTAGTCTAGTTTGATTGGAGACTTGTACACCGGAAGAGAAGCCGTGTAGCTTCTCCGAGGCATAGCAAAACTACACGAGACACAGATTATTGTAAATTGTAATATTGACAGCTGACTCTACACGATGATAGAGACAGCAGGTCAAATTCGACAATGCGAATCTGACCAAGCAAGGTTGTAGAGCTTGCTGTGTGTGGAAAACCACACAATGTTGAAATGGTAAGTAAAACCAGCACCAACCGAACATCACAACGAAAGTAGGTCATAGTGCCAGCCAGTGCTGGTTTTAAAATCGTCAGTCATGTTGAAACTCCAGGCCCGCTTTTAGTATCCTCTAGAAAACCCGTTGAAACCCATATGTTGAACTTTTGGTATCATCGTCGTAACTCATCAATAAAGAAAACTCCCCAGTACCGAGACGACAGGTTGATTGTCGCCTCCTCATTAAATTATTGGTTAATCGAAAACATTTACTGCGCGTACTTCTGGCGGAAGTACTTGGCAGCGTTGACCATCTGTTTGTGTTTGATCAGCATTTTGCACGTCATTTTTCCAGGAAATTGCGTTCTCTTACCGCAATGAGAGCCGCCTTGGTCTCAGGCCAGCCACGAGTCTTCAGTCCACTGTTAAGAGAAATGTATTAGCATCAAAAAGCAGATTTAATGGGATTTTGCGCCAGGATAACAAACCAGTCAGGGTTTAACCATGTCTGCGATGGAGTCAGGTATGCCAGCATCTCCTCAATACGGTCCTTGATCTCCTGCTCGGTGGGGATGCGAGGGGAGTGGATGTCGTAAACGCCAGGGCCAATGTGGCGAGGGTAGGCCTCGTCAATGAAGACCTTGAGGAGCTTGGCGTCAGACTTGCTGTTCTCGATGGACAGGACATCGGCATCGAGAGCGGCGATGGCGTGGAAGAAGTCCTGGAACTCAGAGTAACAGAAGTGGGAGTGGATCTGAGTGCCATTGCTGACACCAGCGGTAGACAGCTTGAAGGAATCAACAGCCCACTTGAGGTAGGCAACACGGGCCTCACCGGCGCGGAGGGGAAGACCCTCACGGAGAGCAGGCTCGTCGACCTGGATCACAGCAATGCCAGCGGCCTCAAGGTCAACAACCTCGTCGCGGAGAGCGAGAGCGAGCTGCTGAGCCTGGACGGACTGGTGGACATCGTCACGAGGGAAAGACCACCGGAGACAAGTGATAGGCCCAGTGAGCATACCCTTCATGGGCTTGGGGGAGATGGAAGCAGCGTACTTCGACTCCTTCACGGTCATAGGAGCGGGACGAGAGATGTCACCGACAATTATGGGGGGACGCACGCAGCGGGATCCGTAGGACTGAACCCAGGCGTGGGTGGTGAAAACGTAACCAGTGAGGCGCTCACCGAAGTACTGCACCATGTCGTTACGCTCGGGCTCACCGTGGACAAAGACATCGAGATCGAGCTCCTCCTGGATCTTGACGACCTCCTGGATCTCCTTTTCGATGAATTTCTCGTACTCCTCAGGAGTAATCTCGCCCTTGGTGAACTTGTTGCGCTGGATGCGGATCTCCTTGGTCTGGGGGAAGGAACCAATGGTGGTGGTAGGGAAAAGAGGGAGCTTGAGTGTCTTGGTCTGCTCGGCGTAACGCTCAGGGAAAGCAGACTTGCGGTTGTGCATCTCAGGGGTCACAGCGGCCTGGCGGGCCTTGACAGCAGGGTCGTTGGTGCGGGCAGAGGAGGCGCGAGCCTGAACAGACTTGGCGTTTGCCTCGAGCTGCTCACGGACAGCTGCGGGGCCCTCGGTGACAGCCTTGGCGATCACGACAACCTCGGTGGCCTTTTCAACAGCGAAGGAGAACCAGTCGCGGACCTCAGCATCAAGGGTCTTCTCGCTGGCGAGAGTGTGGGGGACATGAAGGAGAGAGCTGGAGGTGGCAACAATGACGCGGTCCTTGCCGAGCTTCTGGATAGCCTTTTCGACCTTCTCAATGGCGGCCTTGAAGTTGGTCTTCCAGATGTTACGTCCGTCGACAACACCGGCAGAGAGAATCTGCTTGGGGCCGAGAGCGGCGACGACGGTGTCGAGCTGCTCGGGGTTGCGGACCAAGTCGACGTGGATAGAGTGGAGGTTCTGGAGGTCGGCGAGGACGTCAATGTTGTGGACAATGTCACCGAAGTATGTGGCGAAGGTGATGCGGGGAGCCTGAGCACCGAGGGCGCCGAGCTTCTCGTAGACGGGCTTGAAGGCAGCCTTGGACTTCTCGGCAAGGTCAAAGACCAGAACGGGTTCATCAATCTGGACATCCTCGACACCAGCAGCCTTGAGCTTGGACAGAAGCTCAACGTAGAGAGGAAGGAGCTTTTCAATCAGAGTGATGGGGTCAACGCTCTGGCCACGGTCAGCCTTTCCGAGAGTCAAGAAGGAGACGGGACCGAGGAGGACGGGACGGGTGGTAATGCCAGCAGCCTTGGCCTCCAGGAACTCAACAAGGGGCTTGGGTTCAGCAGCGAGCTTGAACTCCTGGTTGTCCTGGAGAGTGGGCTTCACGTAGTGGTAGTTCGAGTCGAACCACTTGACCATTTCCTGTAGATTGAGTCAGTATATACTGAATTCGGACCGGTATATTGTGTTGATTTGCACCTACCAGACTGGGAACATCAATGCCCTCCTTCTGGAGACCACGGCCCATGGCGAAGTACTCATCGAGAGGGTTGAGCTTGTACTTGGAGTAACGCTCGGGAATGGTTCCGAAGAGTTGGTGGTGGTCAAGGACCTGATCGTAGAAGGCGAAGTCGTTGCTGGGAATAACATCGACACCAGCATCCTTCTGGATCTTCCAGTGCTCCAGACGAAGACGCTTGCCCTCGGCGAGGAGCTCATCGCGGGAGATCTTGTCAGCCCAGTAAGCCTCGGTGGCCTTCTTGAGGTCACGGAGTCTTCCCATGCGGGGGAAACCCAGAATAGATCTATCCAGAATATCAGCAATTGTCTCGGCAACTGTTGAGAGCAGTCGGGCCAACTTACGATTGAACCATTCTGATATGTGTGCGGAAAGGGGAAAAGAAGAAACGGTTCTCAAGGATAGAATTTTCACAAATCCGATGCCTTTGAGAGAGAGAATGAAAAAAGAGAAGGGAAAAGGTTTGGGAAATGTTGAAAGAAATATGGAGGGCGAGGAAAGATACGCTAATCCCAATGGAGCCTTAATCCACACGCAAGTTAGAGGGGGCATCAGTACGGTATGATACTTAATACAATACCTGTGTGTACTCAAGTTTACTAAGAATCCAATGTTTCGAAGTGGATCCGGTTGGATTTTGTGTAATTTACTGTTATGTTCGGTTCTCATCCAGTATCCATACCCCATGATCTCCGTGATCGGTCCGCCTATGGATGATCACGCCATTAAGACACCGATAAGGCCTCTAACGATTTCCAATTATTTTTGTATCTTCTCCTACTTTTTTTCCAGTAAGGGTCTTGTGCATTGTACGCACATGTTGTACCTAAATCCAGATTTCTCTCGATCAATTGGCGGTCAAGTCCACCAAAGTCAGAAAATGCAGAACTCAGGTAGCACGGGGTAACCGACACGCTGTCAATTGACCCCGCCACTTTACCTGGGAACAATACTCCGTAAGCTGACATGCAATAGTTAATATGTTGTGCTATCAATTGATAAATTTATTCCTCTGTATGAAAAACTCGGTACGAAATTGTAATTTTTAGCCAATTCTTGATGGTTCTGTCAATGTTGCTTGAAAAAAAAAAAAAAAAAACAAGTGACTCAGAAGATCCTCTAGATAAAGCCCCGGTGTCGGGGTCCATTCAAGCAATTGATCGGCCCACGTGATGTCGTCATGGAAAAAAAAAGTTATTTTAGCCCAACTTCTTTTTTTTCTTTTTGTTAAAAACAAAAAAAAAAAGAAATTGTTAAGTGGCAAGCTTCTCAAACAACAGATTAAAAAAGAGCAACCATCATGACCTTACCTGTTGTTGCACTCGATGTAATCAACTCCCCGCAAGATGTCCGGACCAGCGAATCTCACCAGAACTCCGGTGGAGTTTCCGTGACTAATGAAGATGATCGTGAACTCCTAAAGCTTGGCTATCGCTCTGTCTTGGCTCGAGGATGGGGCTCGTTCGATAATTTCGCCTGCTCCTTCTCGGCCTTGAATTGCGTCGGAGGAATCCGTGTGCTTTTCTACATCGCCCTCAGTGGAGGCGGGCCGGCCGCTATGTATGTTCTGCGTTTCCCGCCGGCGGTTCCCCGCACAATTTCGCAATGATCACATCGCTAACAACCCTCTCAGCTGGAGCTCCTGGGTCTCCGGTAGCATACTCTCGGTCATCACGGCCGCTTGTCTCGCTGAAGCTTGTTCAAGCTATCCAGCTGCGGGGTCAATTTACTACTGGGCCTTCAGATCCTGGGGAGGCGGAAAAGTCGGCCGCTTCATTTCCTTCCTCGTTGCCGCATGGACATTGGTTGCATGGACCGCCTTCCTCGCGAGTGATTCGTTCGGCGTCGCCAACTGCCTGATTTCCGATATCGTCGTGTTTAACCCGAAGACGAGCTTCCCATACAAGACCGCCGACGTCCGAGCGCGTGCCGTGGCATGGGCCATCTCACTTCTTTTCTTGGCCATAGCTACAATGCTGAATTTCCTGCCTCCGCGCATGTACTCCTGGGTGTTTCGAGCGGGTGTGACGGTTATTATGATCGATATGCTGCTCAACTTTATCTGGCTTCCCATCGGCGTCTCCAAGACGTACGGCTTCCAGTCAGCCAAATACGTGTTTACGTCTACATACAATGGCGGGGAGACCAGTCCCGGGCTGAACTGGGTTCTGTCTTGGTACATGGTCGCCAGTTGTCTCGTGGGACAGGATGCTTCAGGCCATGTCGCAGAAGAAACCGTATCGGCCAAGAGAGCCGCCGCGAATGGTATCTTCTGGGCAACCGGTGCGTCTGCGCTGTGCGGCTTCCCGATCATTATCTTGTTTCTCTTCTGCATGCCTCCGATTGAGACGTTTTACAACACTAGCGCACCCCAGCCGTTCATCAACATGTACGCGATGGCGCTTGGTCCTCATGCCCACGTTGTGATGACCATTATCTCGATGATCGGAGCAATTCTTAACACTTCGATCTCCTTGGTTGCTGTATCCCGACTTGTGTTCGCCGTAGCGCGCGATGGCGTGTTCCCATTCAGCAACGTGCTGTCGCGTGTGTCGGAGTCAAAACAGCCTCAAAACGCTGTCATCTTCATTTCCTCCATTGCCGCGCTTCTCCTCTGCACTCAGCTCGCGTCGCAAGTGGCTTTCTCCACCTTGGTTTCTACCTCGGCTGCGGGTTCCCTTGCAGCATACGGTCTAGTTGGAATGGGCCGCGCGTTCATCACGCGTACATCCTTTCGCCCAGGCTTTTGGGATATGGGCCGATTTGGCGTGGTCGCCGCTGTTATTACGTTCTTATGGAACGGGTTTGCTTTCGCTGTTCTTTGCGCCCCGGCCTACTCGGATAGTGCAATTAACAAGAATTCCAGCTTGTTCAACTATGCGATTGTGATTATGGGCGGTGTGACTACCATCGCGATTGCCGAGTGGTGGCGGAAGTCCAACGGCGTCTGGTTTGAGCATCTTAAAATTGCCGACTCAGTTGCCGAGACAGGGCACTCTCTTGGACATGAGGAGAAGACGGGTGCCTCGGCCGGTACGACTGCTGTTTGAACCAGGGAGCAGTTTCACAACAGCTTCTTTTTCGTAGTAGTCATCGCGACTATGGGATGGGGGACATAAAGAGGGATGATCTGACATCCATGTAAGGGTGGTTTTGGTAAGTGTATTTCCTGCTGCACGCATGACGGGTGTTCGAGGTCTTGCGCTTTTGGTCTTCCGAAGGCGCGAGTCTCGTTCTGAGAAATTACCGTTAAAACTTGATCTGGACAATACCAGCGAAAGGACATGCATGCTTCACTCCTATTCTCTCCCTCTTGGCGTCATGCCTTGAAGATCCTATCTCAAGGCAGATGCTGCTGACTGCCCCTTTCGGGGTGTAGATCCGCGGTTTGCTACCGACAGGCTCGGTGCTCAACCATTCCTATGTTGGGCTGGGCTTAATTTCCGTTGCCCCCAAGCCACACGTGAAGTGTTGTCTATGATGAACCGTTCCTGTCATCACCCACCACAATGTCGTCTCAGAGCACCAGCGGAGATTGACCTCCACTGAATGAGCCTCAGTCGCAGGAGGTCCGAGGGTCGCTGTCCAGTTTATGTGGCTGTCCACCTCTCTACCGGACTTCCTTGATTGTTAGTTCGGTGCCGTGTGGGGCTGGATTAGCAAACCGCTTGTAGACTCGTAGATGTGATTAGGGACGTAGAGTATCATCGCTGTAGCATCAGATGACCTATTCTTCAGGCCAAAAGAAGGCATACATGTAGCGGGCACCAAGTGCGGCCGAGATCAGTCTTTAGCATCCTCGCACCGCCTCTTCAAGCTCTCCCGTGGGTCTGCACGAGGTAACTCACTCATTTGTTTCCTCAACAAAGTCTTTTGGCACCCGCCAATCACACACCTGGACCCCCCGGGACCCTCACCCCCATGATGGCCGGCTCACACGTCGGAGACAGCCGTCACCAACTGGCTACTCAGCCCTCGCATTTACGAATGCATGAACTGCAATCTGTGGAGAAAGATCTTTGTATAATAGAAACCATAGCATTGCAGGTCGCAAGCGAAAGCTTGCTCCCTGCCGGACGTTAATTAAATCTACCTACCTACCTACCTATCTTCAAGCTCTCCCACAGTGGTTGCCTCGACATCATGATCGCTGTCCAACAACAGAGCACTGATCTAGTCGTTGCCTCATGGGAGATAACCTTCGCAAATTGTTCAACTGTATGGGAGACATGATGGACGATAGCTGACATCCGGCTGTCTAATTGAGTTGTCGTCAGCGCATGACACGCAAGCCTTTGAGCTTGAAATTCGATCCCACCAAATGTATTCTCTTCAGCTCGGCATAAAGGACTGAGTAGACAGACACCTGCACGCACGCGACGCGAAGCAATCCTTGCTAATCCTGCGCAATCCCCGCCGGAGATAAGCAACTTTTGATGCTTTGTGATAATGTAGAGTAGCACAACTGTTGGTATCCATTTGGTGGCTTTGATAGATCCCTAGTCCATTTAATCTTCATCAAAGTGGAAGCAAGCAAAGATGGTCATCTGTGCCCTCCATTTCCAAGGGATACAAAAGTGTGGAGATGGGGTGATGGATGCTGGGTCGATCATTCCCGAATGCGTTCAGCCGATCCTCTTGCAAGCGGAGAATGGGGTAGCTCGAAGTTCAAATTCCGTAGTTATGTCTTTTTAACACTGCTCCCACCTTGATGCTCTGTCGATATTCAAATGAACTCCGTAAAAAAATGGCATTCGCTCACAGATTAGCGATCATGCCTGGCGGCTTGGGTAGGAACACCAGATGAACACCAGGCCGGAGGTATCGAGACCTAACTTCTCCACAGGTGGCCTTGGATCAAGCATAGGCCAAAAGCTCAGACAGCAAGGTGCCCGTCTCGCCATTCTCTACGCACCTTTCGAAGCCGCACGTCGCGATGAGCTTCTCGAATCGGGGTACGGCGCGAGCGGCAATCTCGACGACATTTACACCTATGAATGTGACATTACCTCGCCAGACTCTGTGCAGGCGGCCTTCAACTCTCTAGAGAAGGAATTAATTGACCCATCCTCGTCTTCTCCGTCCAAAAGAGCCTTTCCAAGTCTCCTGATCAACACAGCCGGATACGTATCTCTCAGCGACATGGAGACTGCACCCCCCGAGGAAACACTGATGCATCTGACAGTCAATCTCTACGGCCTGACGCTCTGCTCCCAAGCCTTTCTCCGACTGCGGCATTGACGGAACTGGGAAAGAAGGCTTGGGGAGAGGCGAATGTCCGTGACCCTTTCTTGGCGATGATCCCGACGGGCAGATTTGCGCTTCCAGAGGAGGTTGCTGATTCGGTACTGTTTCTTCGTCAGGTATACTCCTTTGGCTTGGCTGACTCTCTCATCAATTCTGACTTTTGCCATAGGATTCTAGCGGCATGATCAATGGTGCAGATATCAGAGTTGATGGTGGTTTTACCGTTCGATAAGTCCACCCCCATTTGGTTATTTTCTTACCTGTCCATGGAGCGTTTGGTTCTCGCAACTTACAAGAGTCTCGGAGAGGGATCTGAATTGCCTGGAAAACGCTCACGACAGGCCAGGTCGATACGTGACTGCCCTTGGCTTTCGCATTCCCGGATCCGAAAGGACTGGAGAATTTTCCAGCCAGATTATTACATGGGGCACAGGACCAGAAGGGCACATGCAGTATGAATGGACCTGCAAAGTAGTTTAATCCCCGTCGTCTTTCTAGGGAAACAGGGGCTGTTAGTAAAATACCCCTGACCCGACAATCACGCCCCAAATGCTTACATGGAGGCACTTTTGATTGGTTTACTGCCGTTGAAATAATATCCGAACTGTCGATCTGCTAGAACGGACCACAGAAAAGCCCTAGGGCGAATCACAACAAGTTCGCAAGGTGTCGATGCTTTTAACCGCTCATCTCTGCCACACTGGCACAGTACGAGAATACTGAAGTTCGAGATAGCAGACAAAGTCACTTGGCCTGTTTCCGACCAGCATTTGTCCGAATCCAAATTCTGAACCTCATTGCTGAGAGATTGAGGCCGTGATAGGGCTGAGTTTGGAGATTTGATCACTCTACAAGGGCTGTACCGGTTCCGCCATCATCTGCATTTAGATTGTACCGCCGCGGACATGACACTACAGATCTCAAAGCTAAGCACAACGAAATGATCAAATGACATTTCACCGAAGGCAAAGTCGGGCTATTAACTACCATCAAATGGATGGATTATCTATCTGTTAAACTACCTGTTTTAGGGCCCAAATATTTCTGTCTGCATCATATCCATGTCAGCACATTGGTGCCCACGGGATGTTAATTGGTTTTTTGATTATGCTAGTAAAGTGGGAATAGCAAGGACAGTCTCTCGACTCTTACACTTCGTCACCCGCCTTAGCAGCAATCTTGAATTAGGGCTAGAAAAAAAAGTCAAGGGGGAATGGAACCCCAGGTGAGGTTAGGGATATAGTGCAATCGATTGGTGACAAGTCCAACTATAGTTAGCTCTCGTTATAACGAGCCCAATTACAATTAACGATGATACCGTTCTTGAGACCTTGGTGCCCCTTGTAAAGATTCACTCATGTTGTGTGTCTTTTCGTGATCCAGCAGGTGTACTTGGAGAGCAATGGCGAAGTAGTGGAAATTCGAGAAAGACTTGCTGCGTCAATTGCCCTAGCACGTGGATCTCCATGATATTTCTCATTCGCGCGTGATCTACTCCGTAGTCGAAAAATCAATCAACAGCTACTGCTATCTTTCGGGATTTCTCTGCTTCCCACTATCTTGAACTCGACACCTGTGCTAATTTAAATTCCAGCAAGCTCTAGATGATCCACATGATTCTGAGGTGTAGTTTCCCAAAATTGAACCCCCCCCCCCCACGACTATTCTTCACCCTCCCCGGGTGGTCCACATCCTCCACAAGTGTAAGTGATGTTTGGGCAAGGTTCTACCCCCTTTTATTAGTACTGCAGGGCAATTCCAATGAGTATGGAGGAAGAGAAAAGATCATGCATAGTCAAACTGCGTCTTAAATCATAAGGGGCCTTCACACCACCGCTACATGTACACCCAATGAACATCTCCATTCCGACACCTCCTTAGTCGCCTACGCAAAGTCTCAACTCTCTCAACTCCAGTTCCTAGATGTTGTCGCTTTTCATCAAAACTCCTAAAGCCATGCTAACCCGTGATATCGTAAAGAAAAGATCGGTTTCGGTTCCGCCGGGCTGATTGTCTATGCGTTGACACCGGGGAAGCACTCGGGAAGACCCTTGCTGTGCTTGTTGGAGGCGTGCTCGAGGAGGCTATAGTCGCGCCAGTATGTTAGCAAGGAAATCCATGTACATCCAACACTAGCGAGGAATATACGTACGCAGGCGCCTTGGTGGTCTGGAGGAAAGTCTGTCGGCAGACTTGGCACTGGATGGTCATGGCCTTTTCGTTCTAGATACGGATGTGGGTCAGTGACTGGAGGGACAATAGAGGCGTTGGCGACGACGTTGACATACGCTCTTGATTTGCGACTTCGCGGTCTTGGTGTCTTTCGCGTTGCGCTCGCGCTTCATGTTTGCCTTGGCTCCCTGTCGTATATTGTTAGTTCACGGCGCGTTGCGGGGGCCCAAACAAAGAGATCAGAATGGTCTGGTGTCTTCTGTGTAGCTTGGAATGTGTTTCTTACGTTGCCCATTTTTGCGGTATGTGACTTTACGTCGGAAACGAGAGAAAGGGTTTCAAAAGGAGAATGCGATGGGATGTGGGCGTGAGGAAGATCTGCAGTTTTTGGTAAAAAAAATTGTAGGCGCCCCCGGTCTTAGGCCCCACATGGGGCGGGGACAGGTTGATTACTAAGCACGTCTATCTCCTGACCACCCGTTTCAACTCACGACGGATGTGGGAGAAAAGTGAGGGGAGAAGATTTCCAATTAAGGGCTTCCAGAAGTGTTTTGAGGGCAATTTGAAGAGGGAACCTAGATGCAAATAGAAAATTTGGCCATGCAACGACGAGATTCGATCCATCCCTTGTAGAGCGAAAGATCTCAAATTCCACACTTGGGACTGAAGATGGATGTGTGACAATCGAATCTTTATCCAGCACTCTTTAAAAACGAAATGCAAAGGTCCACCGGAGACTACATGAAGGTATTGGACATCGCGACTACGTCTACATTCGCTCTGCCTCCGGGAAATGGGTACCATCACCATCATTTCAGCCTAGCTATCTGGAATGAGTAAAATTTCAACCTTGTTTCGATTGTTGGAGTCACAAATGAGTGGGACTCTGGGTACTATCTGCGATCAGTGCCGAGCCCAATTGCGAAGAATGCGTTCAGTAAGAGCGAGCAGCCACAAGTCCCGCGGAAAGAGAAGGTCAACGACAAAGTGAGCTATCACGGACGCTACTAAGACGATTATGAAGTACTCTGCACTGAAAATTCCATCTGAGCCGACCAGGTTAACACCTGCTCCTTTGGATGCAGAAGGTCTTCCACCTGTGGCCTGACTCGTTCCAGGCGTGCCAGCCTGGCTGGCAAGTGCCTTGCAACTTCCGGAAGGATCCTTGGCGGACTGGATTGACGCTGCTCCCTTGAAGTTGCACGCCGACTGGTCCTTCTTCTGATCTTGGTAGTAGCGATCGAAGACGTAGGAGAGTTGGTCCTTGCTGGCACAGAAGCTGTAGGCACCGTACTGCCCCGTTGTTGCATTCTCGGAAATTCCACTGCAGGCGCTCTTATCGCTTCCACAAACGGTACCGAATAAATCGCCATATTGGTCTGCATGTAGCGATTGACTGACTACACACGAGAGGCCATCCACCATGCATGAACACAGGTCTTTGTTCGGAGATGGTGGCAGGGGGCTGGACTTTGCCAACCACATGTCATTGACGGTGGGACAGGGGTGTGGAGAGTTTGTCGGAGTGTAACTGCCACTGATGATACCGCTGGGAGTTGCAGTCTGAATTGCCTTTGAGTAATAGCTGAAGTCTGGCTGAGTGCTCACAGAGTTTCCATCAACAGAGACAAGCCCGTAGTTATTCGTACTTTCGAAGTACATGTAGACAATGCCGCCACTCCAGATATTCTCCATGTCTGGTCCAAAGATCGCGGATATGTCACCAAACTTGCGAGGCCTGACCGTGTTGCATCCATACTCGGAGAAGAAGATTGGGACAGGGTAGTCCTTGTACTGCTCTGTGAGGTTTTGGTAACCAGAGCCCTGAAATGTGTTGTCTCCACACCACTCGTACATGTTGTAACCGAAGAAGTCGATGGCGGTAGACTCATCTCCACAGTCGAGATAGTCTGACAGCTCGTTGCGAAAATCTGGTTGGTCGGTAGTTGCATAACCAAATCCCAGGGACTTTCTGTATCCCTTCGCTTTGATGTATGCTTTCATGTCTCGCACTGCCGCTTTGACAAATGCTGTACCAATTGTCTCGTTGACTTTGTTCACAACCTCATTCCCGGCAAAGAATCCAATCACATTGTCATACTGGTGCAGTGCGTCAACCACAGCAATATATCGATCGTATTGCGCAACAGTCCAAGTTGGCGAGTTGGAGACAATCGACAACTGAGGAGAAGAGAGATCGGCGATCACGTAAATTCCTGCATCGGCCAGTTTCCGCATACAAGCGTCATGGTTTATGGTAGGGTCGACAGCGTAGATCCGGATGACGTTGGTCCGCAGTTGCTGGAGGTATGGGATGTCACGTTCACAGTGAGAAACATCCGCCAGAGGATCAGTGTAGTGAGTATCGCTTGACTGACCGGTGCCTTTGGCACCACCGGCATTATAGTCCTCTAGACAGGGTCAGTAGGGTCAGTTTAATGCCATGGGATAATCGGCATTTCCTAGTGTGCGTACCTTGATAGGCAATGCCACGAATGTAACTAGTTGGACAATTAGCAACCGAAACAGCACAAAACAGTCTATCAACTCACAATTGTGTGCCATTGTTGGAATAGAAGAACTTAGATCCCTGTGAATTGACCTAGTCAGCTGATTAAAATTCCCCGAAATAGTGTAGAGATACTTGCTTTGATCTCGATTGGTGGCGTACTAGCTATGGCAACTGCCATGAGCAGGAAAAGTCCTGCCAGAAGAAGATGAATCCGCATCTTGACTGTTGTCAAGTCAGTTCCTATAATTGCTAGGGAAGGATATGAGAAAAATAACCAAACCTGGTGGTGCACAAGCGGGGGGGTTGGTGTAACAGTAGGGCGCGTTGTTTACGGAGAAAGAAAGGAAAGAGAGGGAGGCGATAGAAACAACTTCATATCCATAGAAACCACGTGCTACTTGGGCAACTTCGACTGCCTACATAATAACTTTGAGCTCTACAAAGTGGGAAGCGACGAGGCGGTTTCTGACCGCCTCACATTCTGCTTGTTTTTGAAGAGTTTGGCAGGATTCTTTTCGAATGCCTGCGAGTATATACCCGCGCATTCGATTCAACTCAATATCCAACGCAGTGTGAAGATTCTGCTTGAGGAGTTGTACATCTTAATGCTTAGTTCTTCTGAGTGGATCTCCTTCATCTGTACTCATGCTTGCGTTGGGACATCCGAGAAATTTCGATTATCGCTGAACGATAGGGCTCGCGTATCGTAGGCCGTTGATTCTAATAGCGTTTGAAATGCATCTTCTTCGGGTACTTACAGTTGGGAACCTTTCAAAGCTGGTCAGGTTTATACACGCCGTGCGATTACCTCGATAGCTTCTTCCCCTTGGCATCATCAAGCGTCTCATATGTCGAAGTGGAGTATACATGTACATCCGGCCCCACTAGTGAGCAAAACGATCGGCTCCCAAGATCGGCACGATCCAATTTCTAAATGGTCCACATAGCCTTTTTTTATATCTACAAGATGTGTTACTTTGTAGGGTAGAGCCGATCACGTGTCATTCCTTGGCGGTCGATAATGGCGAAAATTTCCGCCTCCAACTACTTGAATCCCGAACTCACTCAACCTGCACCTTTTCATTTTGCAGCTCTGATTGAGTGCCCTCGCGTTTTTCTTTTTCTTTCTATGTTGTTGCGTATTAAACATCTGCAATATCCTGAGGTCCCAATTCCACTACATAGTTCGAGCGCCATGTGTGCTTCTATTCCTTTTTGCGTCAAACGTGAGGCTTGAGTGGTGCCTTTGGCAATTCAAAATCTAAGACTTGAATTTGCAAGGCTGCCAATACCTGTAGTGATCTGCTCGTATCTAGACATGTCCCATCACACAGAATACGGGCGTTAGCCTTAAAGTGGTCCCTCTGGGAAACAGACGATTAGAACACGTCGATGGGAGTTAAAAATGACCAACGGGGAAAACTTGACACTTTGTATCCCATCCTAAATTTCCGACATCTCAAATGAGCCATACTCCTGATAGCTACAAGTTACATTCTTTGAATCCCCAATCCTGTTGAAAAAAGGAAACACGCCGCCCTTCGCTTGTTGTGCTTCATTCAAGGTGCAGCAGCAACAGCAGCTGGTGGTAGTCCTCCTTGCTATTTTTGCTGCTATTCTTGTTCTTGCTTTTGCTTTTTCCGCTCCTTGGCTTCTGAATCTTCCTTTTTTTCACGAGCCCTCGTGATGATGCGTCACAAGAGCATCACCTTGATCTGTCGGGTTTCCGTTTTGAAGAGCATCGAAAGAGACTCCAGGCATGACCAAAACATCGCCAACTAACTCAGGCCGTTTGTTGTGCGTATAATCGCGATCATCGACGGGCCTGCCGAGCAATAGTTCAAGACTCGTCATGATCGCCACCGTCATTATCTTAGGTCCCGTCACTTCGACCACGTCCGAAAGCATTTCCAATGTAATTTCTTCGATGCCCACGGCATTTGCTCTAGCAATGCCTTTCAATTTATCGACGACAATGTCGACAATGATTTGAAGATTGCGCGAAGACTTCCGTCCAACAAATCCCCCAATTGCAGAACTGGGAAGCAACTTCCGTCCCTGGTCCTCGCCATTCAAAGTCGAACTCCAATCCGACAGTTAGGTCGATATTCTAATTTCGGTATTCCACGGTATCCACTCGGCAACATCTTTCTCGCACGAGGTATCTAAATCACCTCACATTCCGCCTTCGGTGAGAATAACTAAGTAACGGAACAAATCCCCCGGTAGGATTGGGATTGGAAGGGCTTCATTGATTTCGACGATATCTGGTCGAGTTTTAAAGTAGAGCGCGCGAACGAATACTTCTGCCAATCGATCGGTCAGCATTTCTTGTCGAAAAGAGGGGTTTTTCTTTGTCCAGCTGCCAGTCCATTCCCGTTGATTTTCAGATAGATAATCAACTTTGGTGGAATGCCAGATCTTGCCTGGAAGCGTATACAGGAGTGCAGCTGACTTTTTAAGATGATTATCGTTATTCGAATATGACGGTGGAGTCGCTGCTTTTGAGGCTGAGCTGCCAGTGCTGGTTATGTCGGAAGATTCCGGCATAGGCCTGGAGACCAAGGTGAGTGTTTTTCTCCACGAGTAAAGACACCAAATGAACGCAAAGGGAATTATTAAGGTGACCGTTAAGCACAAGGAGCGCGAGCTCTTTGAATTGGTTGGCATTGAAAGCATGAATGGAGAGCCTTGGATGTGACACGAGGAATGTGCGGCTATATAAATCCCATCAAAGAAACCGGGATGTTCAAAAAGAATCATCATTTCACCGTCTAACTTTACTTGCGGCCGAGCCCGAAGGATTCTCCTAATTTCCACTGCGCCAAGTCATTCGAGTACCTCACAGAGTACGATTGAGCCATGAACTATCCACCGGCCAAGATTCGATTGCTGAATACATAATTTGGTGGAAAAAACAAGTCGACTCTCATATTCTCTGAGATTATCCACATACCCACTCTGTGCTAGTAGCCTCGTTCATGTCGACTTCATGAAAACCACAAGTATCTTCCAGTCAGCCCCCCATCCTGATCGAGCAATTGCTGAAGCGCAGTTGGTATAAGCAAGACGGTTTTCGCGGAAAGCAAATAGGCTAAGCTGCTGGATCATAATCTTCGATTGTGGTCCGCCCCTTTCTGAATGTTAGTCCACCTGGATTGACTGCCATCCTTGTCGGTCTTGTTCAAGTTGATTGATACCCCAGCTCAAGAGGGGAAGCAATATGTATTCACTTCATTGTCGCGGTTTTGGTCATGTATGACGCTGATATTTCTCGGCGGAGGTCTTTGGTCCTATGGAGTCCACAGCCAGACCACCAAGTTTGACACCTCACTACAAAGTGAATCTTGTTTTATGGGATGGTCTTTTGGCCCGTCAACCAGTGAGGGTGCCCTCCATGACGAACAGTTTTACCCTTCATACCAAATTGACTAACCTCCTTTTCACAGCCGAGGCAATGATGGACCCACATACATGGACAAAATCAGGGACCTATGCAGTCGGCTGCGATGAAATTCCATGCACATTTACCACAGACTGCAATAATAACATGATCACGTATGATGATGGCGGTAAAAGTTCTTGGTGAGTTGCTCCTCCGCGTCAGTAGATTCTAACCGATGAACATAGTACTGACTTGGCCTTTTTATTTACTACAGTGGCATCGCTATATGTGTCATTATGACAATGTTTCAAGTGTCCCCTTTTGCAATCCCCTCGGCGAGTAATATCTTTTGTGGGCTTGGCTGGGACGCAAACACGATATATCGTGAATTGCAAGCAACAACAACCGAGTCAAGTACTGCATGCCCATTGTGGTCCTTCCAAGGTACAAGACCTGTAGATCGAATACCCCGACTTATGACAATTCCAGGCTCTTCTTGAACCCTATCCACTACGATGTCACGAACAATTCCATCTTCGACAACGACCACAGCTCTAAGAGCTGCGGATTTGCAAGCCAGTCAATCACTAACACCTACTGCGACCCCAAGTGAAAGTGCCAGCAGGGCTTGGATTGCGGGTGCTGTCATTGGCACTCTTGCAGGTGTCGCAATTGTAGCCCTTGTAGCCTGGTTGATACATCACTGAAAGCAAAAAAGCTACCCTCGTTATCCCAAGAGGAGCTGTTGAAAAACCAAAGTCCCCCACAAGCATCAATGAGATTATCGCTGAAACCATACAAGGACGCTCACGAACTACTGGCAAAGCAAATGCACGAACTTTCCACTACTGAAACCCCGCAGGTACATGAGATCGGCACCTTTTTAAAAGGTAAGAATTTTGCGGTTGATTGGACTGGTGAGTAATTCCGAGTTAGTGAAGGTTATACACAATCCACTATGAAGGTTTAATTGGGGCTGGAATTATATTCCACGCGTACGATTGAATTAATACCTCTGGTGTGTCGGATTGTAGGTTGAGACGTTATTGTTATAATGAAAAGCTTCTATGAAAGCTCACCATGCAAAAGTTCAATCCAATGTCATGTCTATTGAGTAAATAATTCCATTTTCACGAATGTTGTAATTCTACCCACAACCGGATTTGCCTCGTTTCATCTTCGATGATAGACTGAGACTGTTTAAAGAGGAGCTAGTCTACTCAAAATACGAAGGTGTGTGTGTGAATGACTGGCTTTCTGGGATTCGGGTTGGACTTCGTGTGGTTGGAGAGAATTTTCGCCATTGAAGTGGAGCATCACTTGTCACCTCCAAGCAACAGTGACATGTATACTCATCACCAGCCCCATCGCGATACCAAAATTTGCCATAGCCACTTACGGTAGCATAGTCCACATGAGCTCCCTGGTGTCAAGCATATCTTGCATATTGCCATTTATGACAGTCCTCGGAACCGCAGACCAAAAGCTTGCGACGAGGTATCCCAAAACCCCTGCAGCAGGCGACTCTGCCACCGAAACCAACACGCAGAAGATACTATACAATGCAGTGCGGCCCACATACTCAGTAGCCTTTTTCGACCGTAGCATTCCGAGTAAGGTGACGTTATTATACAGCCAAGACCATGCGCGAGAAGATGAAAATTTTGGTTATTTTCATGCACGCATTTCCTTAAATCAACTCATCACGACGGAGAAAGAGACTTAAGTCGCTATTTCCAAAACTACAGATATTGTGTCGCAAGTCTCCAAGTACCCCTGTGTTCTTCTGGCAGCTGTATCCTGCAAAAAAAGTTAGCATTTGACAAATAATGTGATTCTAGATTCCAGGTTGACCTATGCCCTTGGGTTGCCTGTGGTCTTATTCGCAATAACATCTCGCCCCTCAACTACCCAGACCTGAAATGGAACCCCATGTAGATAATCGGAAGACGAAAATAAGTTTAACATCGTACGCCTTCCTCGACTAGCGCCAATTCTGCGGGTGGCACAGGTGCATGGTAGCCCCAACCCAAGAGATTTTTCTCATCTGCAGTGTGCTTCAGACCTTGCAGCTCTAGAATGCAGCTTGAATCTACCTGCTGTTAGGAATAAAGGATGCTCATAGTGCTTGAATAATTAGTTCAGTAGTAAGAAAGTCGTGTACGTGACTGGTAGATCTGGTAGATACACGCAAGGGATAGTGCTAAGCAAAAAAGATTTTGAAGTCTTTGACCCACCGTGAGGTTAAACATCATAATCTATATAGGAAGTAGTAAAAGCTATGTTGATCATGCCACCGCCATGTCACCTCTATGGCTTATTCTACACATTCTCAACACCGTTGAAGAATGTGAGGCAACAACTGGGACTCAGGTTGCTCTTTGCAGATGATCTGCGTGAGATCATGAACATCTGCAGAGGAACCATACCTAGGACATTGAATGATGCTAACCATGGGCATGATCAATCATTCATATGGATGATAATTTAGAACAGTTCAGACCATGAGATAGTTCCACTCTTACGACGAGTCTGTCTTGTAGTTTTGCAAGTATGCTTCTCGATACTTTCACCTTAGATGATTGTTGTTGAAAATCCATTAGAAATACGGTCAGATAAGTAGTCTGTGATGCAGTTTTATATATCCACCGGGGTGGTTGACTTTTCTAGCCGTATCTAATATCGGCATTTTGAATGGGGTTTTAAATAGCAAATTCTGAAACAAACAGGAAGAAAAGCTTCTCGAGCAGCATCTTCATTTGCTTTTTAGTTTCCTTTCTAGCTCTGCTGTCACCCTATTTGATCGCCACATGATAGAGGCCAAGAAAAGCCGGTGATTGCATTATTTCAGCAAAGCTCAATACCAAACACGCTCCTGTCAATCTGAGGCTTCAATGCCGTACCACAAGTATGTTGTAAAGCCCAAGTCTCGGCATCTTGTATCACTACATTTTACCGCCGCTTGTTGAATACCATTGGATGATATCCTGGCCACTTTCACGCATATCTGACATAGCTATCCGTTACAATGAAACAGACCTGCCGCATTAAGTATCTCCAAAGCTCTACCTTTTAGCTTTTTTCCGGTCAAGATTCAACAATTAATCAAACATTCCATATTGCTTCGCATACGCAGAGACATTGCAGCTGGAATTTACAGGTGACGAAGTGTGTTTCGCGGGTATATAGTTGTATTGGTCAATATCATGCCTAGGTGGATTCAGAACGCAGACGCACAATTCTTTACCTATTCCTTTTCTTTCAATATATATACGATTTTTTAATGGAATAGACATATCATTGCACAGTGTTCGATTCAATCAGTTTAGGACTGGTTTCTGAGTCATTAAGCGCCTAGCACAGGTGGTAGTAACCCTCTGGCCCTAAAAATCCACTCCAGGTCTTGACCCCGGAACCCGAGGCCCTTAAGAATGTCAAATATGAAGAGGGAGTGAATGTTCCCTAGGTTACATTCTGCTGTCAGTAATGCTCAATTGCAAATGGGAGTCGAGGCCCGCGTCGCACAACTCATCGCTCCTATGGATCTACGATCGACACCATCAGCTGCATGCAGGAGGCCTATTCAACTTCGCCACTGGTGAAACAAAGGCGGTCTTAATGTGAATCAATGGATTCTTCCCTCACAACTATTTAAGCATGCGGTCACATCTTCCATTTGACTATGAATCTATTCCACTCGATCGTAGGTAAAATCAGTTATTTTGCACAGATCAGGAGAAAACCCAACAGTGTCATAATAGTTCGTACGCAGGCTTGTGATACTTCCCGCACAATATGACAGACAACATGGCGACTGTCAATCTACTGGAGTATCTCCGCTCAAGAACACAGATCGATATTGACACCTACGATGCTGAAGGTTGTGAATCTCATGACTCGCGTTAAGCTGAAGACTGATGAAATTGTCACATCAGCTTCCAAAGAGATCGGACCTTTCCAAGATGCAACAGGAAACCAAGTAGGAGAAAGTGTTTGGATGCTCTGTGGTGGTATTTGCTAAATCAAAGACCAGTTCGAAATCCAAGCGGAGATTGTCAAGCCCAGCAGAAGCGCCGTGTTATTGAGATCAATAGCGTTGGCGACCACAATCCACCCACAATTTGCCACTATCACCCTCGAGGAACTCGCCGTGGAGGTAGTGGTAGGCGATCAGTAGATTGAGTGACACGAACTTTTGAAGTTGACCGGTCCAGGGTATCGAACTTGCCCTTGAGGTCATCCAAACTGTCCATGGAGATGTCCATGTCATGGTCAACCCGAGTTATTCTTACAATACAGAAGCAATAGTTACCAATGCTCAGCGTAAGATCAAAACATTCAGATTCGACGTCCAAAAGAGGAGTATTGATTCATTTCCTGCAGGACTTCATCGTATCTGCCACATCGTCGACCCCGATTTCGACACGTCTCGCCTGGTTACCAAAGTGCCAGCGACATGGGAGGGAATGCAAGCAGCGCGTCAGCTCAAGCAAAGTGGAATTAAATCTTTGGCCACAACTCTCTTCTCGATGGAACAGGCGATTCTTGCGGGCGAAGCTGGCTGTATATCGGTCTCACCGTTTGTGCATGAGCTCAAAACTGAGACTTATCAGGGGTCGGTACCATATCCCAGGGAAACTTGGGTGGATCTCTAATTCCTTACAGATATAAGGACACGGACCCGATTCTTGGTGTCTGTGTGCAAGCACAGCAGTTCTATCACCAGAACTCTCTACCCACGCGGTTGAAAGCCTGTGTGACACTGGATCTTGATGAGTTGATAATGCTCGCCGGAATCGACGCACTGACTATAACACCAAAAGTGCTGACGGCATTGGCAGCTACAGAGAGACCCCAACGGGAGGTGGAAAGTATGTCCTTGTTTCCGAAAACTGCTACGGCCACAGAGGCTGTCAAGTATCCTTCATATATCGACTCCGAGAGTCAATATCGGGTTCATTTCGCTGCGAGGGAGGGTGGAAAGGCGCAGTTCAAGACAGCGCAGGTATGAAGATATTTCCAAATTTTGTTTCTGGTCAAGGTTGCGCCGCCAAGACTGACTAATCTCCAAATTAGGCAATTGCGTTGTTCTGTGATGCTCAAACTGCAGCGGAGTTATACATCATGTCTCGATTGGAGGACTCTTCTAATATCCCAATAAATCTATGAAGTGCTCTAACAGGGTAGAAATTCTCTGTTTAACCCACAGTTTGTCTACATGAGGGAGACTTGACAATATTGTTGAGGATATATATATCTGCAGAAATGCTCCCAATCGAATGTGTGTAGCTTTCATTCATTGAACAACTGTTCAGACATTGTAACTGGAGGTCTGTCTTGACTCGTTCTCTCATTTCGCCACTCCGTCGTGACACTGCGGTATTATGCTGTGCTGTGAACCGTCAAACAACTTCAAATTTAGTCAAGCAGTGATTGGATAGATGATGGATTGAGAGCTAATGCTGTGCGAGAAATTTCGACTCGGACATTTCATGGCTCTAGGGTCACCCTGTCAAACTGGGAGATAGCTCTAGGCCCTCCACATCAACCGAGGTGTTCGTTATGGTCTAGTGGTCAAATTGATGCGGCGTTAAACTGATCCATCAATCCAAGTCATCTCGATAAACAGCAAGAGCAACCTCGGGATGTTCTGAATTGGAAGGCACTGTAGTGCCTTCCCCCAAATGCCCAGAAGTGGGGGG